CACCTTAAGAAGGCCCACGAGGTTGATGCTTCTCTGGGTTACCCTAGTTTCTTAAAGGCATGGGCGGTCAATGCAGCTACGAGCCATCCCAGTCTCCGAAAAGCAAACGCGGTCAATGCTGCTGCGGGTTCCCCCAGTCCCAGGAAGGCAACTGATGCATCGAGAGCGAGGGTCAACGCTGAGAGGATTGCAAAAATTAACGCAGTTGGGGGTGCGATAGAGATTAGACAGTTTATGGCTCAAGGTCCAAGTATTTCTACACCTCTCTATAACAAATGGGTTAGGCTTCAGAGAAGGGTAACCTCGCAGCAAACAGAACGCAAGACAATCAATAACCATGCTATATGGTACCACCCCACCGAGGCACCGTTTGGGTTACGTTGGCAGGGCGATGGTGTCGGTCGACATTTAACGAGAGCGAGTACATAAGCAAACCAAATCCTGCAATCTCTGTCAGACCAGCGCAAGACAAGCTGGCCTGGGCTACACAACTACGTCACGAGGTCAGTAGCGGAAAGTGAGAGCTACCACATATAGCCTGGTTGGGTGTTTCTTTATACTTGGATTTAGACGCTTTGCCCTGTAGGCCCATGAACCGCAGAGCCTCATTCTGCTGGCGTGTCGGTGAAGCCTGATCTAAGCCGGGCTAAGCTACATTGGTCATGGCCTCTGAGCTGCACTTCTCTGTGCTGGCACATACTTGGCGTCTCTGCGACCGCATGGCCGCGTCTAGGCAACAAAAGCACCCTATTTATCTTTATCCTTGACGCGCGTCATGGCCCATGATTTACTCTACTGCACTGGTGCTTGGGTACTCAGCCCCTTGATCCCCTCCCTGCTCTCTTTGAGCGGCCTGTCCTCACCGACTTCTTAGAGCGGCCTGTTGTTACGATCCTGGCTCAGGCGCGCAGAAGGCTGCACGGAGCATCTCACTATTGGCTAGCACAAGGAAGTGGGGTAGTTCTCCGCTTCGCTTGAGTGCAGCCAATAACGAAGCAGTCAGCGCGATCAGTGGGAACTGATTGCACTGAGTACACTGACCGCGCTGATCATCTAAGGCCAACGCCCTAATTGGCCTACCTTAGATAGATATATACGACGGCCGTAGCCACGGTCTTAGATAGTTCTTGCTTAGTGCTTCAAGCAAGCAATACACATTCACTGCACTTATACACTTTGAGTGGCATTCCAATTTGACTGTATTACCCGTGCGATAGGAGCTTGCCCTTTGTTCTATCTTCATAATTACCAACCCCAGCATCCTGTGGAACCCGTGCTCCCTTACAGACAGACGACCCTAATAGTCGAGTGGTTTGTAATACCTGTCCCTCCCTGCCTACGCTTTGAAACCCCTTGAGCCTTTGCGCCTTTAGCTGTTGGCTTTAGCTGTTGGCTTCTTCGACGGCCAGCCGTTGCGAGCACCTAGGCTGCTCGTTGTGCGCGTGTTCAAAAGTTGTAAAGAGGCTTCGTAGAATTAGTGGTTCGGTCGCGTCATCGGGTATCTAGACCAATGAAGATGAATTTCCGAGCCGAGAACGCAGTCACTAACCTTGATGTAGACAGCCGCCATAGGCTGGCTGAGACTGAACCCCGTCTCCGTCCCTTCCTCGGCGACAAACGTGCCGGGCTCGTCCAGCCTACGAGCCGCGATTCCGTACGTCATTGCCACCACGGCACCCCCCGTGACGGGAAGCATGTGCCGACTGGCTGCAGCAACTTGGGACGTGGTCTATGCGTAGCCCTGACACGTGGCCCGTAACCTGCCTTATTTCCTCGCGCCCCGCACAAGTATTGGAACCTTCTTTTCTTTTTCTTTCCTTGGCTCCAGATTCCACAAATACAGCGACCATATTGCAGCCCTGCCACAATCAGTTGACTGTACGGTGACACGTGGCTCAATTCTTCTGTCATTCTTTGGTACCGCGTCCTCTCACAACCCGTGGCTTATTTCTTCCTTTACTTCCCTTCTTACGTTGGTACCTTCCGGTTATTGTCTACGCTCCTATTGTTAGCTTTGCGCTTCGGGTTTTCCGGTTTCCTCTCTAGGGTCTGCACATTTCGATTGGTTTTTTGAGTTCCTCTCTAGTTTCTACACATTTCGATTGGCTTGCCGACTTCCCTCTATGATCAGCATCTTCTGACAGTTGATCTCTAGAACCGCATAAATTAGTCAATATGGTGGAGCGTTTACTCGGCAACCCGGTCCCATTCCTAAGCGCCAAAGACTTGTACGACCTTTGTAAGAGAAGGTAGGTACGCCTGATCAAGGTGGTCACAATGCAGGCAAGAAGGTAGGGGAGCAATGACTTGTATTGGTGTAAGACTTCAACCTGGCCCTCGCAAAGGAAGATGGGCGAGGGCCATTGTTTATATACCTGCTCAGGGGTTCGGCCCGGGCATCAGTCTGCGGTCGTGGCGCCACGGCGTAGCGTATGCCAGCTGGCAGTGTTCTAGCCAGTTGGTGACAAGTGGTGGGCGCGCACCCTGTGCGCGCAGTTGGTGTTTGGGGTGTCCTTTTCCTTACAACCTTCGCGGGCTCACTTTCCTTCTCAGCAAGCTCGAGCCTATCAACCCAGACCGAGGAACGAGTAACGTAAAAGAGTATGGCGGCTCACGCGATCTACCCGATAGCGCAAACTGGGTACAACTCCGCTTGTGGAGATACACAAACCACCTGGCGAATTTCTTGGTGCGGCACCACGAGGTACTGGCAATCATGCCAGCCTGCCAAGGCAACATATTCCGCTTTCAAGTGGTTCAATCGGAAGAGCCCACGCAGGCCGAGGAGGACCTCATGTTCAACCAAGTGACCACATCCGCCAACTACCGGCCGGATGATCAGACTGAGGTGCCAACCGCGGCTATAGAGTCCGAGTCGGGACTATTTTTCGAATCCATTGTTGCCGGACACGCAGAAGTCGACCGTACGTGCGAGGGATCTATCGCCGAAATGCTTGTACGACGACTACTTGGACAAGACAAAATCGGCGGGCGAAAAACGTGGCGCATCGATAAAAAATTTACCGAGCATTGTCACATCGTCGTTCATCTCCTCCGAAGATCCCATATAAATATAATCGATAGCCCAGTTGAGGAATACGCAGCGCACCTCCGGCGCTATATTGTCGCGACCTCGTACGCCAAGATATATAGCCGGTTCAACCGCGGGATCATCGCAGCTAAAGGGTCCGGAGAAGCGGACCAAAATAAGCGCGCAGGTCGCCATTTTTTCGCTGCTCTGGCCGTAGACGGTGATATGTGCTACGCGCCGTACCGGATGCAGCTGCGCGCTCGCCCTGCACTCAACTCGACAACCTACCTTGGCCACGGGCAGAGGGGCGGGAAAGTATGACACGATGGCTGAGAAACTGAAAAGGGGCTAGCGCCACTTGTTGTACTTTGCGAGAAGGGAGAGATGGGCAGCGTCGGCGGGCAGGGAAGAATAGATCAGAGAGAAAATTGCTTCACTTTGATGCACACCCTGTCACGGCATGGCCTGGACAGGCTCCTGTTTGGAGTGTGGTCTGTGCCTGACGTATCACGTGGCCCACAACTACCCATTTCCCCGCGCCCTGCGCGGTCCCCGTCATAGTTTCCTTCTTCATCTTTAGATTCTACGAATTCAGCGATGATTACTGCAGCCCTGTCTCTTTACGTTGACTGAGCCGTGATAATCTAAAGATCGTTTCTACGGCCTTCCTTACCGAAGCCTGGATCCTATTCTCCTTCTTCAATCGACCGAAAGAACCCGCGTTTTCTTTGTGGCTCGCACGACCACGGTCGCGCGTAGCGGAATCCGCCGCTTTTTTCCACCTCCACCTTCGACCTAACGCCCTGAGTGCCAAGGTTACTGGTAATGACCGAAATCTTCCCTGCTACACCTTTGGGGAGCTTCTAGCTACGTGTGTTCAAGGCAGCGGCAAGAGAGTAGAATCCAAGGCCAAAGCCAACACGTGGCCTGACAACACAAAGATCTCCCTACTACGCAAGGGACTCAACAAGGTCACACGTACCCGGCTTGATACCCAGGTCATTGTCCCCAAGAACTACGATGACTTCGTCAAGTTACTTCAGAAGCTTGGAAACCCTGGCTCAGGCTCGTACAACAGCCATTCCAACGGTGGTCAATCGAACAACCATGCAACCCCGATGGATATCGGCGAACTTGCTTCTCTCGACCTTGCAGTCAAGCCTATTGACGGCATTGCCAAGCCAGTTCCTGGTCGCGAATACCTTACTTTAGCTGAATTACGCGAGCTGAAGGACCGTATGGATCGCGAATTCATCAACGACCTATCTGAGTAATCAGATATCGGTCCTGTCACAACACCCTGTCAGGCCACTACGCGCTCTGACAGCTCTGTACAATAACAACACATGCAGTCTATGCAGGACTGTCAGCCTCCCTTGACAGCCCTGGCCAACTGACTGTCTTCAACTACGGAATAGATTGATGGATCATGAAAATTACGTAAGCTTCGGGGCGAAGCTTTTCCGCCGGGGGGGTAGTGTCACGGCATGGCCTGGACAGGCTCCTGTTTGGAGTGTGGTCTGTGCCTGACGTATCACGTGGCCCACAACTACCCATTTCCCCGCGCCCTGCGCGGTCCCCGTCATAGCTTCCTTCTTCATCTTTAGATTCTACGAATTCAGCGATGATTACTGCAGCCCTGTCTCTTTACGTTGACTGAGCCGTGATACACCCCCCCCCCCCCCTCTCGCGCTCTCTGTTTCAGGGGGCCGAGATATGCCTTGTTGCGGGTAACTACGGGAATGATTGGAACTTTGGCACCACAAACAGCCTGTGTGGGTAACTACGGGAATGATTGGAACTTTGGCACCGCAAACAGCCTGTGCGGGTAACTATGGGAATAATTGCAACTTTGGCACCACAAACAGCCTGTGCGAGTAGCCACGGGGACTTTGGCACCACAGATAGCACGTACGAGTAGCCACCAACAGCATGTACGCTCCCTACTCGTCACAGCAGCCGTCTCGGACTAGACGTCGGAGAACTTGGCCAGGGCCACTTGAGAAGCGCTCCCCGCTAAGTTTTTTGCTGCGGCGCCAACGTCTGGCCTGGAGATTTGCTGGCCAAAGACAGTCCTTTCGCGCTTCAACTCTTGGCCGAGCGCCGAGCCTGTCCGCTCCGGGACGTCGCCGCGGGGGATGGGGTCCCCAGTAAACCTGATTGTTTCCAGAGCCTAGATTTAAGTTCTGGATACATGTTGGATTGGCCGGTTCTGGTAAAGACTGACAATCAACTCCCTCAGCCGCTCACAGTGCCGAGGAATGCGAAACATGTGTAATTCCGACAGAAGCACGACAACACAAGCATCGTCAACTTCGCCGCACAACACGAGCATCGTCAACTTCGCCGCACAACAACACGAGCATCGTCAACTTCGCCGCAACAACGTCAGCCTCGCCGCTGCTCTCACAAGCCCTCCCCGGTCTACCGGTGTCAGACGCGCCGACACAGCAGGGACGTGGCACCTAATCTGAGCCATAATAACGGCGACGCAAGACTACAGCATGGGTTAGTAAGCGGACAACAAAGTACGAGATGGGGGAATCAATGCTTACCATTTGCAGGATCGTCGACTTGCCAGCGGCGTTTGCACCCGTGACGAGGTTGATCTTGGCGTCGTCGCCGCCGAGCTCGATGTTGTTGGGAATAAAATCGGCCACAGTATTGAGCATGCAAGGGTACCGCAGCTCGCTAAAATCGAGTACGCTCCTCTCGTCATCCACAAACTCGGGGCGGCAGCTGGGCGAGCCCAGGACCGACGATGCCTTGGCCATGCTGATCAGGCAGTCTGGTTGCGAGATGATGCGAATGGCCTGTAGCCAGACCCGTAGTCGGCGTCGAACTTGAAAAACAATTGTGATGCAATCTCCACGATCTGCGAATGCGTTTCCTGGGCCTCTCAAAGTTCCCGCACCAGCTCTTCCAGCTGCTTGAAGCAGTAGCGCTTAACAGCGGCCGTGGCAGACATCTGGCGCAGCTTGCAGGGACCTTGACCGACTTGGGCGCCTCGATCTGATAAACCTCTTTGCCTACGTCGGTGAACTTGAGCGTTTTGCACTTGAGCACTCCCTTCTGCTTCTCAAGCAGCTCATGAAGCTACATGATACGATCCAGCTCGTTCTGGCAGCTGTCAAAGTCTTCCTCGATGCCACGCTCAGGTATTAGAACCTTGCTCTCCCGAACCTTGCGCTTGTCGAATGCCGTCTCCCAGAATGACAGGGGCTCGGAAAGGTCCGGCATAGCGGCCAAGAGCCTATCGACGAGGCCGTTGCCTCCGCCAACGTGCCGAGAAGGCTTATAGTCTTCCTAATCTATTCGAACCCCTCAAGGACCCTGATAAAATCTGTAGCCTTGCAAACACCAGCGTGGATACGAGAAATTAACCTCTCATCTAGTCTAGTGTGGCAAGTTGCGGCAACTGTCGCCTGGCCGGACAGCCGATCCGGCAGGAACTGACTTTTATTTGCGCCAACACAGTCGGCCTCTTGAGGTTGTTTGAAGGAATCAGCGTCGCTCACTCAAATGCTCTCTAAATTCTCGCATCCAATAGGCATCTGGGTTTACCATCTACATTTGTGCCCCAATCACTCATATCAGGTATAAGCTCACACGCGCAACTCTCAATCTCCTGACGTGTTTGAATCTCGGTCTCTGCTATGCCACTACCCAGCTACGTTTCCAACTAGTCCCCGATCAAGGACTACCTATTTCGCGGAACCCTATCACATTCCCTAACCCCCGAGCAAGGTCTTGGTTACTGCCTGTCTGCGAGGACGTCGTTTTCTCCATCCACGATGGCGGGTGTAAAGCATGAATGCGGAAAAGTGTGGTACGAGATGTGCGAGACAGCCGACCGTAGTTGCCGCAGGCCGAGCTCGATGCGGTGCCTGATGAGTCGTCCTGAGCAGGGTTCGAACTCAAGTTGCCAATGTAGGCCTGCCTTGCACACCTCCAGCGGATAAGACCCAGAAGCATATTTGCGCGCGGTATAAAGTAGCGCCGTGGCATACCAAATTGTTCTCGGGAGCATGCTTGCCCCTGAGATAATTACAGCCTGCAAACGTCCCCGCCCCCGGCCGCAAGCGGTAGCAAGTAGTCAATACAAGAACAATCTAGTTTGAGATAGGTAGCAAACTATAAGCGGAATGGGCTGCTCGCCTGATATTTTGGTAAAACACGAGAGACTGTTCTTGGCACAATGAGGTGCTTTCGGTGACTTATTTTCCACCCGACATTTGCCAACTTGAATCTACCTGCCTTCCTTAAAACATAGAAGAGAATATCTTGAGGAATGTTATTGTAAGGAAAGGACAACCCGAACACCAGCTGCGCGCACAGGGTGCGCGCTCACCACCTGTTACCAACTGGCCGGAACACTGCCAGTTGGCACAAGCCACTACGCCACGCCATGGCGCCCTGGGCCTGAGCCCCTGAGCACGTATATAAACAGTGGCCCTCGCCCACCTTCCTTTGCGAGGGCCAGGTTGAAGTCTCACACTAATACTACTCATTGCTCGCCCACCTTCTTACCTGCACTGTGACCACCTTGATCCGGCGTACCTGCCTTCTCTTACAGTTATACAGGCCCGAGTTTAGTTGATATTCGACAATACGACGTTTGCTTTCGGGTGTCTATACCGTCTTGTGTGCTTCTCCTTGACTCGCCGGTAAATTTGTCATCTCGTACCGTCTTACGCGCCAGTCATACCAGACCGGTAATTAAGGCGCCCTACATGAAGATATGACTTATAGAGCCACAGACTCTTCGGTGTACAAACGGATAAGACTATCTATCACACGTTGCACGTTGCACGTTACACGTTGGGATCGAAAGAGGTCTCCCCGTATCGGCGGGAATGGCAGCAACGCCAAGATCAACGAAGATCCTCCAAAGATTTTACTCCTGCTCAAAGATAGCAGTCAGCCATCACTCCACTTTAGACCAGACGGCTGTATCATTTCAAGTTGGCCACCGTTGCCTGCACGATCACACTAACATATTTGTCCTACTACTAAGTACTCGCCATGGTAGTCAAAGGTGCCTTGTTATGACTCATATTTAAGTCCATGACAAACGTAATCGCATGTTGACCTATGGTGTCATAGGAACTCAAGCCGTTCGGCCTCCTCAGCATCGGTATAAATATCCGTCAGCAGATCCCTTTTTTGATTCTTATTATATCGGTACTGTTATCATCACAAAAGACCAACGCCATCACAAACAGACCAACGCCAAAACACAAGTCCTAACTAATCTTTATTCCTTTATCAACCAATCCCCCAAGTTATTATTTGCTCCTCTAGGGCTGAGTGTCTCATGGAAAATCAACCTATGGAAAATCAACCTAGTGACTCGGACCGGGAACGAATACAACTTCAAGATACTCAACACCCCCAATTATTCCGCTGGTCTCTCCCTCCAGAAGATGATTCCGAACCTAGCAGTATCAGAGCCGAAGCACCGCTCATCAGACAAGTTCCGTTAGCAGTTGCCTCAAGTTTCCGATTGTCTTTATTCTTTCGAGGCCGTGGCCGTCACCCGTTGCCTATTTCGCGGCCGATGCGGCCTATCTATATTGATGCAGGTACGCAAACAGACATCACGTCGATTGCTCCGCGAGGCATAACTAGACCATCGTACCGAGGTCGATCCTCTTCAAGGAGCCGGCAAGACCTCCAGTCTCGTCTCAACCCCATCCCGCCCAGACTGCTGCCAAACGTAGCGCCGACGGCGCCGGCGTCTTTTGCCAGTGCTGCCGCCGCTGTGCTAGCAACTTCTATTCGTTGCTTCCCTGAGAATCTCGCCGAACAGATGTGTGCCATACCGGTCATACAGCTGCAGTTGATCTCGCACAGGAGCTACCCGTCGCTCGGCCACAGTTGGTCGCTGTTCCTGCTGAGCAACAACACGCTACAGTCGGGGATCCAAATCGACATCCTGCCCCGCAGTGCGCCGACGCCCGAGGAAACTAAGCTAGGGGTGTATAAGACAACCATGAAGGTGCGGTACGGGCTGGCGCGTAGCTTCCCCGGCGCGACCAGCGGCACGCCGCTGCACCGCGAGACGCTGGGCGTGGCACCGGGTCTCATTGTGCGCGACTTTGTCGATGCGCTGCGCAGGGTCGGCGCCCACCGCTACGAGTTCACCGTGCCCATCACGGGCAACGTAGCCTGGGTCCAGGACCAAGTCTCCGTATTCCACGCCCAGTCGCTACTAGCCGACGCCGACGAGGTTCTACGCGCTGTCCGCAACGTCCGCCTCAACTACAGTACAGATCCCCCGCGCATCCCGTCCAACAGGCAGTCCGAGGGTCTATACTACCCGTAGCGTGTACCTTGCCGTGATTTGACGATACGATGCGTTTTATGGCGGTGATACGAAGCTAGGTTGTGTCTTTTGTGCTTGAAACTCGAAACCTGATACATGGCAGCTTCGTATATATTTTTCTCAGCGAGATGGACTATTCTTTGAAGTCGGGGTACGGTTTTGTGCCTACCGTTCGTAGCATTAGGTAGCTCTTTAGGATTTCAAAGGTTTCTGTCTGTTGGTCTTTTTGAAATCGGATTCTGTGGCGGGGTTACCTTGCACATGACTGGGCACGTAGGCATTAGCCCCGCCCTGAGGATTTCGCCTACACGTTTAGTAGGGAGATTTCCTCCTCCACGAATTAGCTAGCCAACGCACACATTGTCTACCTACAACAGATTCCTTTATCAGAAATTAGCCTGATAGCGGCGAAGAATGTTACTGAATTTACTTTATTTGTGACCCGTGATTTCAGTGGATGTTAAAGTAGAGGTCAATGTCAGAGTCTCGACCCAAGGTACCACAAACATGGCTATGTAGTATTAGGTACCTAACAGACTGCCTCTCATGACCCGTAGTCACATATATACGCCAAAGACATTATACCTAGAACTAAATAAAATAGGTTACCAGACTAACCAGGAAGGGGTCAGCTGAACCAATGCCTCCGGCGGCGCCTGCGGCGGCCTGTCCTCGCTTCGCTCGAGAGAATGGGTGGCTGGGCCATTACGCGTGAGACAGTTACATAAGTAAGATCTGAAGAGAAATCTCGCTCAGAGATGTCAAACACAGCCCTGTCAAGCGTAGCTCCCTGTGACTTGTGAACCGTGATGGCGTACGCAATGGTAACCGGGAACTGGCGGCGCGAGCATGTTGTATCCTCGCCCTGAAAGTTCCGCAAAGACTGGAAGATCAGTACAACGTTTCTAGGAACAGTCTCATCATCGGGGAAGTATACCGGGTTGTTATACTTATCCATCTTAATAAGCAGGACAAAGGGAGCTTCTCGGCGAGGGTCTTCCACGTCGGCAGCCGAAGTTATATCATGAATATAGCCCGTAGCCCCGTTAACCAAGCCGGCAGCAGTCCAAATGTTCTCTGTCAACATAATCTGGGCACCAACACAAAGGGAGAGCGTATTTTGAAGGTTGCCCGCATCACGAGACTCAACCTTGGAAGACTCAGGGCCTGTATCTGTTGCCTTGGCAACGAAAACCGCACGATCCAGCCGTTTCAGGAAACTAGTGTTGAACTCCTTAACTAGGGCATTGGTTGGATAGATGCGTACAGCGTCATTAAAGCGTTGAACCTCATCGAGAGGAAGAGCAGACTGTACTCGCGTAGAGAGTAATTCCCAGTGCTGACGAGTAAGTGTGTTGTTACGTAGGCCGAGGGCATGGCGGAAACCAGCCTGATCATCGCCAGCCTGACAGACAACAATCTTGAGCTCAACAGCTTGTTGACAGTCTTGTTGACATTCTTGCTGAATTGTTCGTATTCAACACGGGCTGCTTTATCACGATAGTCACGGAGCGTTGACAGCATAGCCAAGTACCGATCATTGACTTGTCGTCAAGGATAAGGTATTCAAGGTGCTCAAGCCGGTGACGAATATTCGTAGGGTCGGCGATTTCCAGCGCAGGAAGATGACTAACTATTGTAATAGAGAGGCGTAGTAAAGAGTGAATTTTCTAACCGTCAATTGCGTTTGCAGCAGCTCCCGTTCACCGCCAATTGCGTTAGCAGCAACTCGCGTTGACTGCTAATTGCGCTAGCAGTAACTCCCGTTGAAGCAGCCTTCTCAATAACCGAATAGTCAAGGCCGTGAGCAGCTGAAAAGCGTTGAATCGCAGCAGATATGACCTTCAGGGTGTAGGATTACCGGTACACTACGGCCGTTGACCTGTAAAAGAAGCTGGCGATCCCGAGGCGCGTTGTAACCGTATGAACCAACGTTGAGGGACTCCTGATGTCCAACAATAGTGTCGTACAGCAACCGTTGCTCAGGGTTTAACCGGTCAACGGCAGACTCAATATCGCGGTTGCCAAAGAGATCAACGTTTTTGGTATCTAGGCCTCTATTCGGAATCTCGCTAGCTAGAAGCTGCTACTCTGCCTGCGAGAGGTCACCCTGAACACGGTCATGAACACGGTTATGAAGACGATTAGGCTTCTCAACGAGCTGATCCTCGACGTCAGGCTCACCGAGAACTGTGCCGTAATAGTCATGAGGGTGTAGGTTCGGGTGGACCTCGGTGCAGTAGAAGTACGTGGCAACAAAGGTTTCAAATTACACCTGCTCAACCTTCTTGAGATGCTCAATATCTGTATGAGGGTGAAGCATGAGCTTCACGCAGGCAAAGTGCTCAAACTCAACGCCATCGCGAACTCAACGCCATCACGAACTGGCTTGTAGCAAGGGAAGAGTTGAGCACACAAGGCTTTGAGGCTTCGGAAAAGCGAGACCAAGGTTGCCGAGTATGACAAATGGTGGTTATGAACTCGAATAAGGTAAGCTCCTCCCACTCCGCCAGGTTTCGATTACAGTACTTTTTGTAGATCTTCTTGATATCCTGGTTTTCGCCGCCAATAATAGCCACGGCATGGTCTTCGTAATCAGCTGCGCCTCTTCGCCACTCTTGCTGTGCGCGTCTCAAAGGCCTGCGAGTCTACTGCGGCCGCATAAATGGTGCCCTATAAGTCCTGATACCAGCTCTGGTGCTGCCTCTGTTCGCAGTGCTTCTCGCGCGCCCGCAGGGCGTACTGCTGCTGTTAGAAGTGTTGCACTCCTAATAGTAAAGATGATTTTTGTTTAAGATCTTGTTCAATTCTGTCCTCTCTGGCTGATCCAGGGTGCCTATAATATAGTACAGTGGGTGGCGATAATAGGTGCCGTTAGTTGGTAAGCATGCTGACAAAATTTAATCTAGTTCTTTCTACCCCTTTCCATCTGACAGCTGCATATCAACCTCGTCGCGGCAGCAGCCATGGCGGCGCTTCTAGGGCTCGAGATGGGACCATTCGGGGATGGCCTTGACCTGTTGCCATGTGAACTTCTCGAGCTTGGTGGCGTACTTTGCGTAGGCGGTGCTCTCTTTATTGTACTTGCGGCAGTTCTCGATGATGAGGCGGGCGTCTCGGATAAAGTCTTCGGGCGTTGCGTACTGGTCGGCCTCGAGCTTGCTCTCCATAGTGCTAAGGTCCATGGGCTTTTTAATGACGTCGTAGTAGTCGGCTACCTCATCCTTATTGACGGGCATCGGGAACGGCCAGCTGCTTGCGTGGTTCTGTAGGTCGTTAAGCAGGTGCAGCAGCTGGTTATAGTTGGGGCCGTGGCGAGGCTGGCGCGCCATCTCGTCCATATCGGGGCTCTAGCCCGAGGCGCGGATAGCGTCGATAGAGAGGAGGTCGATGGGCGTGGCGGCGCCGCCCTTCTGCTGCTGCCATTGCTTAGGCAGTAGGTGGATGATGTGCGATTTACTAAATGTACGTTTCATTGCCTGCACGTACTCCTTCTGCTTCAGCAGCATGCGCCCTGCTTGTTTATTATCTTCGCGACCAAAGAAACCATGGGGCGAGCGATATTAACCCTTTGAATTAACCCAGACAGTATCTCTTTATATACCTGAGTCTGTTGCTCGGCTTTGGTATGATATTTGGCGATATAGTGAAGTATGGTACGAAGAGAGGTGCAAGGTGTTGAGTCCGTGTTGGCTAGCCAGCCCAAAACAATACCTCGAATATAGTTATTCATCCTCTAGTCATTCGGTCGGGTACCGTCAAACATGTCATAGTTGGGGTTCATTTCGCGCGTGAGGATAGCGAGCTCGTAGAGAGTACGTTCGAAATAGAACCGGCATAGCTTATTGCGTGAGAATATTCCACCGGGAAGCCGGCGGCGCCGAAGACAGTATGCTTCGGTACAGTTATGTCTCTGAACACGGTTGAGAACACTCGACAGAGCCGCAAAAGAAGTATCAGCACCGGTAACGACGTTAAGAGGATTAGATTCATGCGGAGGGGGGCGAAGGCCGGGCTCCGGGTTGGAGGCGGTAACATGAAGGCCCCAGAGGCGTAAGAAGTCATCCTTTTGGACTTGATTGACGAATCCTTCCATTCCCGGGTACAATCCCTGCCAAAAGTCTGTGTGCATTGACCACCCCATCATCAAATCTTGAGGCGCGTCAAAAACACCCTCTTTCTTCGACTATCCATAGCTTTCCACAATGGCGCTCAATTCCAAAGTTTTTGGCACGGAAATAAGCGAAAATCGCGGCCCTAACCAGGAGCCATCGAAAGAATCGCGTTTTTCCATTGTCACGGCAGTTCTGGCCGGTACAACTAAGGCCTAGGTTGCGCGCGACTATTGCGTCTACCGCAATATCATTGATAGGATCTTGGAACGTTTAATAGACTACAAAACCTTGGATTTGCTCTCTAGAAGTGGCTGCCCATGAAGTTCAGTGCCGCGGATAAGCGTAAAGTGCAGTGCCGCGGATAAGCATAAAGTGCAATGCTGCGGATAGGCGTAAAGTGCTTCGTTACGTTTGAAAGGATCCCAAAATCAAGTGGAAAACTCTCCGCCGTCTTTTAGGCCAAGATGGCGTCTCCATCTCTATCAACGTACCCCGACTCATTATCGACGCATCTAGCATAGGGCACTAGCGTTCCCCAGAGAGACCAAAGCTTACAAAAAATGATGCACGCCTCAGATTTGGCTATTGCCGCTCCTGGCTCCCGCGAGAGACCAAGCTTATAGAGGCAATTTATACCAACAAATGCTCAATCTAGAACGACCCAGATAAAGGTTCTAGGTGGAGATTTCGTTACAACCACGAGAAATTTGATAGGCGCATAGTCTAGAAAACCTAACAAGATGATGCTTCCATCCACACTTCTCGCGATTCCAAGGCGTACCTCGTAAGGCACGGTACCGAGCTGATCGACTGGCTACTTCATAGCCCAGATCTGAACCCAATCGAGCATGTTTGGAAGCGTTTGAAGAACCTGGTGTATGAAATTCACCCTGAATTTGAGGACCTGAAGGATAACGAGGCTGACAGAGCTCTTGCGATTATGTGGATCAAGGAGGCGTGGGTAGCTATAGATCAGGAGTTCATTCGGGCGCTCTTAGAGTCTGTGCCCCGCCGGCGCCTTGCAGTGCGCCGGGCTAGGGGCTAGTATGCCAAATATTAACCATCTGTCTTTAGGCTTCATTTTGATCTTGTTTTCATCTCGGTAGCTACTAAGTTGAGTAAGAAATGCATGGTTGGCACCACACTATTTGCTGTTTGCCTAGATACTTTCTACGTCAGTACCGGTCATGGTCAATGTAATAAGTCATGCGCAAATCGGTATAGAAGGTATAGAGTTCTCAGGTAGTCCATTAAAAATGCGACGACGAGCTAGATCTAGGGCAAAATATACACAACAAACAAATATCTACACGAAAAGCTGATTGATGGCTCCTATCGCCACGCCCAACAACGGCACCCATCGCCACGCCCACCATCGCCACGCCCAATAACGCCGCATCCTCAAAGGCACACCTCCAAAACCTAGTAATTATTTACCAGATATCAAGCGCGAGCTTGATGAACTTCAGCGCATCCTTAATCTCCTCAGCAACTCTCTTCTCGTTGTAGTCCGACACCTGCTCGTCTAGCCGCTTAAGGCGGCACAGGGCTACGAGGACAAACGGACACAGCAGCGCAAACGGCACGACGATATTATTCTCCCCGAGCGTCCTCTTTATCAGCCCCGCAGAGCCCGAGTTGAGCTTCTCAGAGCCGCGGAAGCGCTCGGCGAACTCCTTGGTCGTGAGCTCCGAGTCGTTCTCGCTCCACAGCAAGTACGAGTACGTGTTATCGACGAACCTGTGTAGCGTCGGCCACCGCTGCGCCCGCTCGTAGGCTGTCAGTTTGGAGAAGCCCTCGTTCTCTGAGTAAAAGTCGGATTCGGGGTACTGGTCCCTGATCGGCGGCCGCTGCTGCTGCTGGTTATCGGCAGCCCCGTCTGGGCCGGCGCGGTACAGCGGCCTCAGCACGGGAGGGCGAGACGGGCTATCACTACCACTACCACTACCACTACCGGGCGCAGAGGTTGTTAGTGCTAGTGGGGGCAGCCGGGGCAGGCTGTCTTTCTCGGCGTCGAGAATTTAGGCGATGTGTGCTAGCTCTATTGGCGCCTTTGTTTGCTGGTACTCGGCCATGTACGTAATGGTCTTCGTCTCGGTAGCTGCGGATAATAGGTGAGGGTAGTTGTGCTGTTGAGTAGCCATGAGGGTCCGCTGATTGTAGGTAGACGGGGCGCAATGGGGTAGTTGCGCAGGCTGGTTGTCGCGGCAGGCGCGCTGGGACTGGAGTCCCGAACCAAAAGGTTGTAAGCAACGGCGCGCCGAGGATATTCGAACCCAGCGCCAGATCTGCGTGGTCCTTCGCCGAGAGAAGAGCGAAGAGCAGGGCCGGCCATTTGTGCAGGACCCTCTGGACTACCGCCGCGAGATGATGCGCTGGAGACAGGGGCAAGCTGATCGACGAGGTACGGCCCGGCGGGAGGCTGCTGAGTAGGCATCTGCGGTGTGGCAGCGCGACGACTAGGAGTTTGCGAGCCCGAGGCCTGTTGCACGGGAGCCGGACCAGGAGGAATGGGGAAGCCAAACCGAGAGAACTCTTCTCGGGTCTGCGAGGCGAGGCGATTCCACGCCGGGCCGCGCTCCTTGAAGACAGTAGTAGCGTCGCGGAAGATAGGGAGGTAGAAAGTCCGCCGGTGGTTGATGTAGTGCGGCGTGCAGATGCCCTGGTGCGGGAGCAGCAGGGTCCGCAGGAAGGTGAACTTCTTTCTCTCGTCGTTCTGGTCGTCGTCGGCGAGGGCGACCTCGGCCACCACTAGCAGCGGGATCTCGTCCTCCTGGGCCACGACGCAGTCTTCGCCGAGCTGGTAGCCGACCGCCCTCCTCTTGGTCTGCGAATCGTGCTAGGCCATGCACTCGGCCGGCAGGTTCGCATACGTCAGGCCCACAAGCAGATACGGTCTGTTCTCTGACAACATGCTGTCAAAATTCTGCTGCCCCGCGACAGGCTCAGGTGCCATCTTAGTGTCTGGCTCGGACGACTCCTCACCCAATGGCGCGTACAAGGACTCCCGGCCTGGTTCAGGCATTACCGGCCCAGCTACTGCCGCTGCCGCAACTACAGCCTTCCTAGCACGCGATCGGGTCATCCTGTTTGCCATTGCTGCTGCTGGTAGAGGTGTATATAAGGAGTAGATGTAGAAATGGGAAAGTCCGTCACTATGAAGATAACGGCTATGGAGGTTTTCGCCACTCGCGAAATCAGAACAACAGAGTCAACGTTGATAGTGGGCGCTGAAATTTCAAAAAGGAAGAAGCGAGCCGGGGTGGGAGTGTACGTGAGAGGTACGTAGAGAAGCGTGGGGGCGTAGAGAAGCGTGGGGTACGTAGAGAAGCGTGGGTGACCAGACTGGTACCAGCACTGGGAGATTACCGTACAGCTTACGCAAGGATTACCGTACAGCTTACGCAAGGTACCTTGGCGCACCTAGAACATTCAAAAGATATCCGGCGCCATCTTATTTATACAACACTGCATTAATTAAGGGCAAAAAAGTGCTTGCATTCGGAAAAAGTCAATTAAGGAAGAAAGGGCAGGTGCCCTAGAAGAAAGGGCAGGTGCCCTTAAAAGGAAAAGTCTTTGTTCGTTGAGTGGCCAGAAATGGTCAGCCGGATTACGTGTCGCGGCTTCCCTCCCAGTGGGCGGCTTCCCTCCCCGTGGGATGGTGTAACCTCGACGCCGAGGCCCAGGACGAGGCGTTTAACGAGAAGCAGCTGTTGGCGAGCCGGAACGATTCCGAGCTGAAGAGCACGGCACAAGACCACGAGACGAATTCCGAGACCGAAAATAGCGCAGAGATTGTCTAGATGCCTAGCTTGGTCAAGTTAGCAGGTGGCCAGTGGGCGTGGCACGTAGGAACGCCGTCTTGCCTTCTTATCTTGCAAGTAATTGGCAGTTCGAGTCCCGTAATATAAATACAATGTCTTCTCGCAGTAGCCATGGCGCTGTTGCTCTCTCGCAAAAAAAACGTCCTCTCACTCTAGATTCATTAGTTTTGTACTAGTCCCGATCGGCGACCCGCAAGCAAATAATTCGCACTTCGGAGTACGATACCTTGGGGGACGCGAGTCCGCACTTCGCTAAGTGAAATCCAAACCTCCCTCCCAATCGTCACGCAATCCACTCACAACTCTTGATTCATTTGTTATACCAGTCCCGATCGGCGACCTACAAGCAAATAATTCGCACTTTGGAGTACGATATCTCGAGCAACAAAGTTCGCACTTCGCTAAGTGAAATCCAAACCTCTCTCTTAATCGTCGCGCAATCTACTCATAACTCTTAATTCATTAGTCATGTACCATTCCCGATCGGCGACTCGCAAGCAAATGATTCACACCTCCGAGACGCGCCTCCTGTAGCGACAACCTCTAGCGACTCGGAGTATACAGATAGCCAGCCGGCCATTGACGGCAAGCGCAAGCGGCTCACATCTATCAGCGCTACCTCGGGCTCATTTTGCGTAAGTCTCCCCTTCCTATCAATCCGCGCCTACTCTCGCTGACCCGTGTACTGAAGCGACCGCCAGCCATGCGTACCGCTGGCGTAATTGAAGACACGGTGGCTTCCGACACCGAGCGCGTAACTATCTTCTTTCCCTCGCCCCGCTAGTCTGCTAACCGGCTCATTATAGTACGGCGAAGAGGGCCAAGTTTGCGAGCCCCCTTGCTTGCGCTGTCTGGCGTTGGGCAAGAAGTGCCGCTCGCAGGCCGGCGGGCGCGCCTCTCCCTGCGCCCAGTGCCATTATGCGCATCGTCAATCCTGCCGGCCGTCGCCGCCCATCATGTTGAAAGCCAAGTAGGCCTAGGAGGCCGCGAAGCTCGCTGAGGAACGCGACCTGTCGGTAGGGAACAAGGATGCTGCAGCCAAGGCGCGCCGAGTCTTCCTCCCTGCAAGCCAGATAGCGAGTGCTGGCCCGTTGCTAGTAGCTGCGGGTATCTTCGACGGGTATATAGGCTCCTACTGGGTTTTGCAAACCGTATTAACTTGTGGCGTAGCATGGTTTTTGAATGGACGCTCGCCGGGAACCTTGAGGATCTCGACAAGTCCACGAACGAGACCCACATATTACCAACTGGTATCAACCACTCGGCTGACTGCAGATGACCCTCGCTGACCACACTTCTGGCCCACTATATCTGCGCATCACCCAATCTGGCGACGCTAGCCAGCATGCGATATTCGCTTCTTGGCTTGTGTTTTCAGCGCCGTCGATGATTCTATCGCCAGATTGAGCCTAGCCGGCCGGCTAGGCCCCTGTAATACAGGGGCCTCGCCCACCACAGGGCTAGCCCGGATGACTGGGCCCCTGTTCACGCGCTATAGATACACGGTCTCCGGCCTTTACGCGTCTTCCAAGTCCGCTCTCCCGCCACACCACACCATCTACCATACCGCCTACCGCCCGCACCACACTGCACCGCACTGAACCATGGCCCGGACTTCGCAACGGAAGGCGGCGCAACTGCAAGACTCGATTACAGTGGCGGCCGTCGAGCACGCTGAGCGGACTGCTCTGAATAGTGCCGAACTACGCGCCAACGCGCGTAATGTGCACCAGCTGATCTAGCAAGACCTGCCAAAGAACACCACCATTGCGTACGAACCAAAGAAGCGAGAATCCAAGAGTTCTGTGTTTCCAAGCAGTATCACGATCGTGATACTGTTACAGAAGACAAGCTCCTCCTCTTCCTTGTCGAGCGTGTGGTACAGCGGCCGGTTAGAGGCAAGAGTTATAAGACGGCCCCTGAGAACCCCCGGACGGCTACTCGGCTAGCATGGCGATCGGTCCGGAGCTACGTCACAGCTATTACCGACCTATATTGTACCCAGAAGGCTCTAGGGATGAACAGTCACCCGTCTCCTCGTGAGCATAGCGTACGGGAATATATCAAGTCCTTACAACGCCGAGATGCAGTACGCGACAAGGCCAACTACGCTGACAAAGGCCGTGACACCCTCCTTGACGGATATACGGAGCCCCAGCTTTTACGGGTCTGCCAGGGGCTTTGGGCACAGACTGGCGAATCGCCTGAGTGCTACCTCCGTACAATTGTCGACATTCTTCTTAGTCACTATATGCTTACTCGCGGTGGCGATCATCGTGCTTTGGAGCTCTCGGATCTCTTTACCTTCGAGTTTGTCGGAGAGGGCCCTACCCGTTGTATACCGCTAATTATGACGACACGTGCTGGTAAGCAGAATCAGCACGGCCGGCTGGAGACTGCTGGCGCCCTACGGAATCGGAATCCTCAGCTTTGCCTATTAGGCGCGGTAGCTTTCTACCTTCTTTTCCGCTGGGACCTTACCAACGAGGCTTTCCCAGACTTCAGCCAACGCTCGGCCTGGTACGATATCCGACTGATCAAAGGCAATAGCAACAGCTCTGATCGTACGAAACCTTTCTCGTACAATGCGCAACGCGAGTGGGTTGTCAAAGCCTTCTCGTACGCTGGGATCACCTCCAACAAGAAGACCCATATCGGCCGCAGTTCAGGGGCTAAGACGGCTGAGTTAAAGGGGGTTTCCGAGGACCAGATTCGCCGGGCTGGCCGTTGGAACCAGGAGCAAATGGTCGGCTGTTATATGAATGCGTTGCCTCGAGAGTTTATGCGTACCATGGCCGGCCACCCGAAGCAGATTGGGTGCTTTGAGATCCGCCGCGCTAACCTCGTACCGCCACCTGAACTTTTGTCAATGATATGGCCAGAGCTTAGCCAGTGGGAGGGCCGATTTGGATCTGGTCCTGGGCAAGCCAACGACCTTGCAGCAATGGGCTTGACGAACTTGCTTTTCTACCTTCGCGAGGTAGTCCTTCAGGACTCAGCTTTCCTTATGCTGAGGTATCCAAGGAGCCCAGTCTGGCTCCATCCAGTCTTTCAGCATAGGGCATATCTCCAATACGCACAGGAGATCCGGGCCTTTACGCAAGAAGAAGAGAGGCCAAGCCAACTAGCAGTATTGACACAGGCTATGCCTGTCCTCTCTGACTTCCTCCAGTCGATCGATATGCGGAACGAGGTACGGATTACTCAACTGGACCAGAAGCTTGAGAAGACACTTAGTAGCCAGTCACAACAAGGCTCCCATATTCTATCACTGCTCTCAAATGGCCTAACAGTCCACATCAAAGCAACCAATACAGGCTCAGATGGCACGATGGGAGTTGCCATTACAGCTACCACAGGACCGGCAACCTCTGTAGAACCGGCACCCCCTGCAGAACCGGCTATCCCACCTGCAGCGCCGGCTAGCCCACCTACTGCAGGGCAACCACCGCAGTATAGCATGAGCCGCGCCATCAAAACGGTAGAGGGTCTTTGGAAGGAATGGACTGTTGGTCTACACGGCCAGCCAGCCGTACGTGATTTAGATAGTCGGTGGGGCCATAGTTGGTGGGCAGGCCGGCGGACAGAGCTGCAGTGGTATTCTCTACGGCTGGAGGTCATTAGGGAAATCGAGCGTATTGCGCGGAACCGCCGTATTGGCGAGGAGGCTGCGATGTATATCGTCCATCTACAACAGCAGCGGACTAGCTCTTCTATGGACCAGTTCTGTAAGCAATTGCGAGCTAACCAGAAGGCACAGCTTGTAGTCAAGAAGAAGTAGTAGAAAAATGGAAGAAACGGAAGCCCTGCAGGGGTCAGTTTGCTAGGTTACGATATGGGCGAATATTTTCCACTGCTGACTGGCGCTGACGGCACGGCCGGAATTTGGCGCTAATGCATCAACAAGCGGCTGACCAAGCCACCAAACGCGGGGTGTGGATATCTTATTGATATCACATACAACACTGCGTTAATTGAGAGCGAAAAGTGCTTGTATTCGGAAGGAAAGGAAAGGTGGGCATAGCCTAGATACCAGATTGCTGGTGTGACGGCAGTTAATAGCAAATAGGAAAGAATCGCTAATGTAGCTATACCATTGTCCAAGGATTCTGAGATGAAGAAGAAAAGAAAATTTACAGAGGTGCTATTCAGGGTGCAGGGTTTAGGTAGGAGCTGGGGAGCGCACGGGCCTACAGGGCTTGGCGGAGTCTCCTACCCTCAGCCCGATCAGGACTAGTGTGAGGTCAGCTCCAAAGAGGGGTCACACTGCTGGCGGTCCTAGCCGTGACAGAGGGGGATACATATAGTAGCATCACTAGCCGCAGCACGGATAAGGAGAAGGCAAATGTCACGGCACAGCGCATTGTGAGTTCATTATCGCTGGCCGTGTTACGTCATCTTCCAAGAAACCTAATTAGGCTTAGTTTGTGGGTCACGTGTAAACTTCGCCCGCAAACCTCCTTTCATAGAAAAAGCCCAATTAGGTTAGGGTGTAGTCACGTGCAAACTCCGCTCACAAACCTTTTTCCACCAATCGCAGCTTCTGCGATCCTTCTTTCTTTTTCTTCTCTAGCTTAGTTTTACACCAAATCAATACTTTATCTTACTGGCATTGTCCTTTAAATCTTATTAACCGTGACAGCAAAGGAGAAGGTAAAGGAGAAGGCAAAGGAGAAGGCAAAGGAGAGAAGTCAAAAGGGAGAAGGACTAAAGTAGTCATCACCAGCCACAACAGGAACAAGAGAAGGCGAAAGAGAGAGAGACTGACATAGTACCATCACCAGCCACAGCACAGACAAGAAGGCAAAGGAGAGAGGACTGACGTAGTCACTACTAGCCACAACACAAGATAAAGTAAGGAGAGACTGTATTTTTTCCTGCTTCTCTGTCCAGTTGTTGTAGCCTGGGTAAGCACGGCCCGTGGAAAACGAGGAGCGGATGAAGTCGTCATTGTATCATGCCCACGCTTTCATAGTCGTACTAGAGGTTGGGCATCTGTTAGACCCTGCGGGCCAACTCAGCACTAGTTGAGCGAAGCACTTTCCATAAGTTGTGTGGTGGAAGAGTGGCGCTCTTCGGCAAGAATCGGCGCGTACGTAATAGCCATGCGAGAGCGCAAGCGGGAATCGGGTCGAGTATTCATGCCAAGATGCTGAAAGAGTCAATGTAGCCCGTGTCGGCTTGGAAGCCGTCTCGCTGAGCACAGATATCCGCGCTAACGGGGCAGGGCATGGGTCGGATAGTTGGCAGGGCATGGGTTAGATGGTTAGCGGGAGTCATGGCACGACAAAGCCCTTGTCGCAGGATGCACGCTTACTCCAGCTTGTTGAGTTGTAGCAGGCCCGCGTACTCTAGCCTGTTGAGTTGTAGCAAGCCCGCGAATACCTCAGGTTGTCGATGATGGCCTCCTCGGGAACTCGGGAAGTGAGGATTATCCCATCGATAATCTCGGGACCAGCCATCTCTCCGAGTCACCACCAACTATGACAAACCACACCAACCATAACAAGCCACACCAACCATAACAAAACCACGTCAGCCCAAATTACCGCACTAACCACCGCATCTGAGTCACGTGACTCCAATCAACCCGCCGCCCAACTAGATTTTCCAAGCTGCTGCTCCCAAGGAAGCTGCCCTTTTTTTTCCCAGGTTGCTGCTCCCAAGGAAGCTGCCTTTTTTTTTTCAAAATAACATTACTACCCAGGTGCCAAACGTCTTCCCTATTCTTACTGCCCGACCCATTGATTTTTCGAGCCCCCCACTCTACCGGAATCGCAAACGTGCGTTCTCCCCGCTTATTTAGCTCTCCTCTGCCGCGTCTCTCCTCAGCCGCGTCTCTCCTCAGCGCGTCTTTCTTCCTCGACATCTGCGGATTTTTGAAAAATCCCCCAGTGCCCCCCCCCGGCTAACATCGTACTTAATCAGACTTGTTTACCGTCCCACAACACCAATCCGCAACACTAATCTACTCCACGCATCATGGCTGAACCTCAGACAATCCCCACCTTCAAGCTGGTCCTAGTTGGCGATAGAGGCATTGGCAAGGTGAGTTTGTCGGACCTTTGATCATTCTTGTCGTCGCGCCCCTCGTCTCTCGCAAGACGGAATACCGGGGCTGTAGGCGGGCCATCGGGCTTAGCCTTTTCATTAACAGACTTGACTTTGCGCGTAGACAACCTTCGTCAAGCGCCATTTGACAGGCGAGTTTGAGAAGGAGTACATAGCCACGCTTGGTGTCGAAGTCTACCCTCTCGATTTCACCACGGTACGTTAGATCGCCCCGCCTAATGATGCGCCAGAAGCGCCGGATTTCTAACGCGTCACAGAACTTTGGCAAGATCCGGTTCGACGTCTGGGACACGGCTGGTCAGGAGAAGTTCGGCGGTCTCCATGATGGCTATTACATCAACGGGCAGTGCGGTATCGTCATGTTCGACGTGACTTCTCGCATCACGTACAAGAACGTCCCTAACTGGTACCGTACGTAGCTGCCCGCCCTAGCGAGCCCCACCCATCCGGCCCGCGCGCCATGATATGTGCTAACGCAATCTCGTAGGTGATCTTATCCGCGTCTGCAACAACGTCCCCGTTGTTCTCTGCGGTAACAAGGTCGACATGAAGGAGCGTAAGGTCAGGGCCAAGAACATTACTTTCCACCGGAAAAAGAACCTCCAATATTATGATATCAGCGCCAAGTCCAATTATAACTTCGAGAAGCCCTTCTCTTGGCTCACGCGCAAGCTCCTTAACTGCCCTACTTTGGTGAGTTAGCGCTCTTTTAACTCTTGATTGAGTATGTTTCTAAGACAACGTGTCCAGGAATTCGTCGCCGCCCCTGCTCTCTTTCCCCCCACCACTTTCGTTGACGAGGAGGAAATCAAGGCGCGCCAGGCCGAGATGGACGAGGCCATGGCTCAGCCTCTTCCCAGCGATGAAAATGATGACGACCTTGAAACCGTTTGCAAGGCGGCGAATTGGTGGTCATGTGTGGTGGAGCCGAGGGTGGACTAGGATGGTTATGCCCGTTACGAAGGGTAATTATCTCCCAAACACAGAGGGCGAATAAGAGCATGAAGATGGGATTACGGACTAACGTATTAGGCAATGGAAGGTTGGCAGCAGTCGATTCGGGTACGGGCGAAGGAGCCGATGGCAATATTTTGCTCTTTGACATCTGGTTGATGAGGACTAAATCCAGCTGAAACGGAAGTAGATTTCCAAGTTACCGACCACAACACATTCAGTTGTACTAGGTAGAGCATGTGCGACCAAGTCACGCAAGCATTCTCTTCTATATAACTAGGCTCTTTCTCATATCTTTTCTCATACCGCCGGGTGATAAACGTGTCTCGCTTTCAACGCTGCCCGTTTTGGGTCTTATTTGGGCGGTGAAGCCCTCCCTACTTGTTCTTGGCGAGGCAAATACCAAGTTTCCGTCTCCATCCCACTAGAGCCGGCGGCAACGTTGGCTGCGTTGAGAATAAACGAACAAAAAAAATCAAAACCTTGACCTGATTTATGAACCGGAGCGCTTACCTCACCATTCAGGAGGCCCGTCTTGGACGCCTCCTATTATTGAGTCTCGAGGTAGTGTAGTCCCAGGCCCTCCTGCGTATGATGTTGCTCGGATGGTGGCTGGCAGTTGACGTACAGGACGCGGGCCGTTGTTGGGTCTCGGGTAGTTGTACCAATAGGGGGGAAGCGCCGACGAAGCGTACGTGGGGCCCCTGCGGGGCTCACGCACGTCGCGAACCTCGACAATGCCCATGCTCTTTACTTTGTCACCTTCCCACCTATCTATGTACGGTACCCATCCCATGCTAGTCTAGATATGACCAGGCTGGGTAACTCTCGCGTGAGCTATCGTGCCCGGGTCGCGTAACGGTGGCCTCAATGCTTGACTAGGAATCTTGGGCCTGAACACGTAAACGGAGTTCCTGGATATGACCAAGCTGTGTACCGTGAGCTATCGTGCCTAGGTCGCGCAAACGTAGCCCCAATGCTTGACCAGGCAAAAATCCGGAGCCAATGCTTGACCAGGCAAAAATTAAGGTACTTTCAGCTTATCGCCGACTGACAAGGAATTTGTGCATAGAAACCAAGTCAGCTAGAGGCGGCAGCAGTAATATCTCTGCTGTAAACGCCAAAGGTTAAACTTTTCCTTAGCATTACACGATACCGCTATCTAATTCCTCTAAATCTAAATCCCCGATTCCCGCCCAAATCCCTGATTCCCGCTCGCACACAGAGTTGTCGTGCTTTTTGTGACCACCTTGTGCCAGACCCGACGAGCATCTTCCCCGGCCTAAACACGCGAAACCACCAAGGTCCTGATCCACACATGGGCTAGAGAGCACCGGCTAGGCTAGCAATTGCACAATTTGTGCAAAGAGTACAACGCCACAGCCAAAAAAATGGTAGAGAGCCGTCCAAATACAGGCCGGGGCCCCATATAGGTCGGTTGAGCTTGATTCGGTTAGGTTGGGCACCAGATTCAGACCCTTGATGCCTTGCGTGATGCCCTGCCCCACCGGATCTTGGGTGTTTTCGTTGTCTTGTGCCCTGAACCTTTGTTCACTAGGTAAACAAGCCGTATAATCTGTGGTGTTGTTGCAAGCCCGCGTAACGACCGCACAATGACCTCTCGAAGCTCGCAAACTAGTCGTTGGAGCTCACATACGAATTGATTAAGGAGGTGCACGTCTCCTATTCGGCAGGTCTGCTCCTAAGCACCAGAAAAGGCGGCGGCTTTCTTCGTGATATATATGAAGAGTGGGCTAGCGAACTCAACAAGCGGTCAGGCTTCGCCTTGACATGTATCGGTCTAGCCTCGCCCTGACATGTATCGGTCTGGCCTCGCCCTGACATGTATACAATGTCAGGACATATATACAATGTCAGGATTGCTGCATGAAAATGAAGAAGGCGAGGCAGGTCAAGTGCATCTTGGATCGTTCGGGAACCTCTTACCCACGTACGCCCATCGGCGATGGGAGAGATGGCCGGGCAGCAGGCTGCCGCTCCCGGCTCCTGAGACAATGTCCGTTCCACAGAGAGATCAGCCAGAGTTAGGGCGTCCACGGCGGCTTCCAACAGAGAGCGTTAATGTCAAAGGCGGCTTCCAATAGAGAGTGTTAATGTTGGAATTTGTCAAGCAGAAGGGCCTCGAAGGTTCTAGATAGAGACTTCGCCACCCACTTTGCCACCATAATAGTAGTATAAGAAGGGGCTTCTGGCACTGCCAGAAAGCTAGAGAGAAGAACACACATCTACAATCCATCACTTGAACCACCAGCTTTCGGCGTACAGTTACTCCCTGTTGATTCCAGTACCGGTACCCTGGTGAATCCAATAGTTAATGTTGAAAAAGTCGCCGTACCCCGGCAGGCAGGAGCAAGAGCGTTAATATTAAGCTGCGTTGATACTTCGTGAAGGATTTCCACAGGGTGGGCGACGAATAACAATATTCGCGTATTTGTCAGCGGATAATTCCGTATTTGGAATATCGCAAATATTGACGAATATTCGTTCGCTTAGTCAGCCTGCCAGAAGTGCCCAAAAACAGCCAACGAATATTCGTCTGCTTACCTAATCTGCCAGCACAGCCAACAAATATTTGGCTGCCCAACCTAACCTAACCACCACAAATTCTACCAAATCCTTCCAATTCACATCAGGAAAGATGTCTTTCATCTCTGAGGATTCTTCAATATCCAGAGATACGGGCCGAATTCTGAGCCCAATCACAGAGCACACACGACCACCCCAAGACGAAGAACCGGCACGAAAAGGCAAAAACCGCATGTATTATTGCAAATATTGCCCATCATGGAGTGCTCAAAACACATCGAACTTCCGGCAACACATTCAATCCAAGCATGGTATTGCAATTATCAGCCAATCGAGGAAAGCCGACGATTCCAGCCATACAACACTGCAATCTCTATATGAGAAAGCAATGGTGATCAATCAGACCTCTGAGTTTGATGCTCAAATCTTGAAACGAGCGTTAAATAAAGAGGTTATCACACAGGCGATTATTTCGCTTATTGTTGTTGAGAATCTTTCTTTCCGGATCGTCGAAAGCCCCTATTTTCACACCCTTTGCAAAGCTCTTAATCCAACGGCATCAAACGAGATCCTTTCATCACATTCGACTATCAGAGAGCATATCAGAAAATCCTGGCTTTTTAATAAGGATCTTATTCGGAAGAAACTTCAATCATCCCGCTCAACAATCCACCTCTCCCTCGATGTTTGGACTTCTCCAAACCAGAAACTGTTCCTTGCAGTTTGTGCTCATTTTGTGGATTTCGAATCAGAAACCCTTCAAAAAGCACTTATCGGCCTTCCATCTATCCAGTCACATCATGCAGCAACACAATACGAAGCCCTCATCTGTATTCTTAAGGATTACAATATCTGTTCAAAAGCTGGGGCAATTATTAGCGATAACGCTTCTACCAACGACAGTCTTTGCAAAATTCTCGAAGCAACCTTCAGCGAAATGGCAGTCCCTTGGTTATCATCAGATAATCGAATCCGATGTAATGGGCATATTATCAATCTTGCTATCCAGGCATTTCTATTTCAAGCAGTCGATGAACACAACAAAGGGGCAGATAAGGAGGCTCAGATCTCTGATGATCTAAACCCTCTGATTAAACTCCATAATATTGTCCGCCATATCCGAGGATCTCCTGCTCGAATCCGCCAATTTACTCAGCTTGCTGGTCGAATGATCCCTTTAGATAATTCAACACGATGAAACAGTTGGTATTTAATAGTTCAAGTTGCTATTGAGCATGAGGGTTCAATTTATTCATATACCGAGTCCTGGTATGAATATCTTCAGAAGGATTTTCTTTTTCCGGAAGAATGGGAATATCTTCGAGCGATATCGACTTTCTTACATCCGTTTTATCGAGCAACAAAGTGTCACGAATCCCTGTAGATTCCCTGTGGTTATGCACCAAGGTGGGGCATGCACTTTTGGCGCGAGCCAATCAGGAGTGTTCCAGGATTCCGAGCTCTGGAGCTCGGGGACACGGGACAGGTCCGACCGGGCGGTGACCCGGACGCGGGACCACGGGACAACGGAACCACTGTTATTGGTTACGTAGATAGATATATACGACGATCGTGTCCACGGTCTTAGATAGTTCTTGCTTGGTTCTTCAAGCAAGCAATACACATTCGCTGCACTCATACACTTTGAGTGGCATTCCGATTTGACTGTATTACCCGTGCGATAGGAGCTTGCCCTTTGTTCTATCTTCATAATTACCAACCCCAGCATTCTGTGGAGCCCGTGCTCCCTTACAGACAGACGACCCTAACAGTCGAGTGATTTGTAATACAAAGGCTACAGAGGGAGATCAAGCGACAATTGACCGAGTTCTATTCACAATGGACATCCTTATTCAGCATTTCAAGAAAAGCCTTTTAACACATCAGTCAAACAGTCTTCTATCTTCTCGGATCGAAAATAGCTAGGCTATATTCGACAAATATTATTTAAAGACAGAGGACTCTCCATATTACGCAGCAGCAGTAATTTTCCATCCATCACGGCGAACCTTATATCTCAAACAAAACTGGGATAAGAAATGGATACGGCTAGCAATCAACTCTGTCAGAGATCTCTGGGAAAGGCATAAAGATCACTCAGTAAACGCCTCTCCAACACCGCCATCAATGTAGGTTGATGATCTTGATGAATTCGACATCCTTGCTCAAAACCTTGATGTTCTTCCACGACAACAAATAAAGGATGAATTCGAAGATTATATCTCAGAAGCTGCAATTTCGATCCAAACTTCAGCATTATCCTGGTGGCTGAATACACAACAACAACAACGCTGGCCAAGGCTATCTCAACTGGCAATCAACATTTTATCCATTCCGGCAATGAGTGCTGAGCCAGAGCGAGTGTTTTCTGGGGCTCGTCGTACAATCTCTTGGGAAAGAATGCAACTAGGTGAAGATACTATTGAGTTTCTTGAGTGCTTGAAGCATTGGATGAAGTCAGGGCTTGTAAATAGTGGCTTGGAGGAGATGGATCTTGATGACTAGGTGGATTTGGTGGGCTTGGCGAATATTGAAATGATTACTAAGCAGATTTGACGAATATTCGTTGATGTGTCAGCAAATGTTGACGAATATGCGATATTTGATTTGTCAGCGAACGAATATATCGCCGCCCACCCTGATTTCCAAGCAATCGTATTCGAGACATGCGCGGCAGGCCTGGCTGGGTGCTCTGCTCTGGATGCACATCTAGAAAGGCCATTTTTTCAGCAGATGCGTTTTGTAGCTCAGGGCACATGAATGGCAGGTACTGCCCACCTTCGCACGTCACTATTACAAACCACTCGACTGTTAGGGTCGTCTGTCTGTAAGGGAGCACGGGCTCCACAGAATGCTGGGGTTGGTAATTATGAAGATAGAACAAAGGGCAAGCTCTTATTGCACGGGTAATACAGTCAAATCGGAATGCCACTCAAAATGTATGAGTGCAGCAAATGTGTATTGCTTGCTTGAAGAACCAAGCAAGAACCATCTAAGACCGTGGCTACGGTCGTCGTATATATCTATCTAAAGTGGGCCAATCAGGATCCTCAGTGTCTACGCCCTGCGGGTCCAGGGCGCTCTGCTCACAGGGCGCAGGAGCCCCACGGGGCGCCCGCCCTGTCCGCCCTGTTGGCCTTAGCAGCTAGTCGGACGGGGCGCTTCCTGATTGGCCGCATCCCACGCGGAGCGGGGACTGCCCGTCCCCACCTCGTTACCCAATCATGGAGCAGGACAGAGCGCCTCCTGCACTTTTGAACCAGGATCGTAACAAGAGGGTGTCGGTTTGCACGAGGGACGACCAAGCATCGGGGAGAGGTGTCGGTATCTTTGGAGCGGCTGCTGAGGTTTAGCAATGTACCGCTGCTAGAAGTTCTTGATGCCTGCGACAAGGGGCGCCATACCTACGCCTCTGCCATGTCCTACGCCTCTGCCATGGCCCTGATGCCTAGAAAGCAGTGATGCTTTGGCTTCTGCCAGAAAGCAGTGATGCTTTGGGCTTCTGCCAGATGTCACCTGCTCGCACAGAACCGTGATGTCTGCCACTTGCATCGGTAGACCCGGAGTCTTCTTTCTCTTTATCGGCAGCGTCCTTGAGGAGACGGTCATGGATTGGGCCGTCTTTCAGCTCCTGCTTGAGGGCCCGTCGTACGCGCTCCTCTTCTCGCTCAACTTCACGCCTCTCCATTATTTGGCGATAGCCCTGGCAAGTCAGGGTCTATGTCCTTGACGCCTGCGCCATGGGCATCCCCCCGATGTGCCACAGCCTGACGCCTCAGCCCCCTGTGCCGCCGAACACCGCGGCTGTCTACTGTTTACCGACATCTCCCGGCCGTTGCGTTCACGGGCCGCCGTGGCCTACCGTCGGTCGGATGATGTTTGTGCCGTGTTCCCTGTGTGCGGTGTCAGTGGGATGATGCTCCGCGCGTGGGTTCGTGCCGTGTTACCTTTAGAGGCCCCTGTGGTCCACCGTATACCATGCGCGCCGTGTTCCCTGTCCGCGGTCCACGGTCAGTTAGATGATACCCAGGCTCTGTAGACCACCGTCGGTTAGATGATGCTTTGCGGGTTGCGTGCCAGTTACCTTTGGAGAGGCGTCTGTGGTCCACTGTCGGTCAGGTTATGCTTCGCGCGGGTTGCTGCGGTGATTCCTACTGGCTGTCTCGGTGAAAAACCCTTCCCTCTAGACGAGTCTGCAGTCCACTATCTGTCACATGATATTTTGCGCGGCAATAGGCTGCCTGGCGAGAAACCCTGGAGCCATTTTACCTTTGGAAAGGCAACATCAGAGTCTGCGGTCTACTGTCACATTATGCTTTGGGCGCAGGCTGGCTGCGGTAATTCCTACGGTGAAAAACCTTGCGTCATTTTACCTTTGGACATGCGGCTGTCTGGCGAGAAACCTTGGTGCCATTTTACCTTTTGGGATAGTCCACCATCGGTCAGATAAGCTTTGGGCGCGGGTTGGCGGCTATAATTCTTAGTGCTGGTGCCATTTTGCCTTTGGACATGGTAGTTCCTGCTGTCTGGGTGAGAAAGCCTCGTGCCCTTTTGCCTTGACAGCGGCCTACATCTAGTCCCCGCGGCAACTCCTGCCGGTCAGAAAGCTTCGTGTTATTTTCATTTTACCTTCACAGCGGCCCCGGCTGCTGGCCAGACAGCCTCTACTTCTCAACCTTGCCCAACATGTGCCTCGGGAAGGAGCCTCTGAATTCTCACTGGAACAAGCCTCGTAACTTCTTCACGTCTGCTGCACTCGCTCCTCGGTGACCAGCTCTTGCCGCTTTACTCCCGACCTCGTAAGAATACTGCCTTCTGTTTTCTGCTGCTTTCCTCGTAAGAATACCCGTATCGTTTACTACTGTCTTCCCACTTCGCGTCACGTCGGCTCAACTCGCTTCTCGGTGACCAGCTCTTTGCGCTTTCCTCGTAAGAATACCGTGTCTCCTTACTGCCGCCTTGACCGCCCCCAGTACATCCCCCGGTGAGCCAAATTTTGCCTTTACCGCCCCCAGTACCTGCCCAGTACCTTTCTCCGGTGAGCCAACTGTTGCCTTTTTACTTCCACTCCTCATCTCCTTCACGCACCTTCCGCAACCCGAAGCAGATTAGGACTGTACTCTCGAGCACCTTCCGCACGCGAGATTAAGACTGCTACTCTCTAGCACCTTCCGCACGCCCTCGAGATCCCCCCGAGCACCTTCCCTCAACCTGGTAAGTCGGCGCGTGCCTTGCTGCCTAAACTGCTCCCGCTTTTGCCTTCCCACTTCGACCTTCATCCTCCAACACACTTCGACCTTCACCCTCCAACACTTCGACCTTCATCCTCCACACTTCGACTCTACATCGTCCACCACACTTTCTTGACCGTCACATCACCACACTATCTTGACCGTACATGATACTCTTCTTGATTGTACATCGTCTACAATTCATCTACTTCAACATCCTCTACTTCAACATCCTCTACTTCACTGCTCCCGCGCACGGCTACTTTACTGTTCGCGAGTACGTCTGCCTCACTGCTCCCGATCGGCGAGCCTTTTTTCCCGCGCACCAGTCCTGCCCTTTTACTTCCTCACCTGTCACCACACCTCCGCAAGCCAAAACCACTAACCGTCTCGTCAGCAGCCTCAAGTCCATCTGTCCGCTAACCGTCCTCGGTCGGCAGTCAGCAGTCTCGCGGAAAGCCCTTGGTGAGTTCAATCTTTGTAGTTTGCCTTTCCATCCTGCAACTCTTTCCAGTTTGCTTTTCTATTCTACTGACCGTTCTCGCCAGCTCAGTCAAACTCCAATTTCGAGTTTGTACCACTCGGTAAGTTCTAACTGCCATGCCGCCCCCACTGCTGGTATACTCGTGATACCTACCTCACCCGAGCCTCTTTTTTTCAGGCCGAGGCAATTCCTGCCGCCGACCTTTGGCGCGCACAGGAAACCTTGCTGCCCCGGCACACAGAAACCTTCTTCACATCTCCTCGCGCTTCCACACCTCTACCTACTTTTCACTTCTACCTCAGCGCACTTCATCGCACTCTCACCTACTTTCACTGCCTGCTCTTGCATTTCAGCATCACATGCCCGCAATCAGCATCACGTGCCCGCACAGAATCTAACAGACGGTAGAAAGTCAAACTGCAAGAGCTATCCGGCACGCGCAGCCCACTAGCCAAACCGTAACAAGTAGGCAACCTCCCCTCTCCAAGATCTTCCTCGTGCACCAACACTGACTCAGACTACAGCCAGTCTACTCGAACAGCTTACAGCTTTCAACTTCCTCCAGACCCCATCTCTGATCCCACGTGGCAATCACTGCACATCAAGCAAGTCTATCTCTATCCCCGTTGCCTCTCGCCGTTGTCTTGGAGCAGCTACGCTAACAAGCTACAGCACCATGGACGCCGCACTTAGAAAAGACTTCCGCGACGCCATCTCGCACATGCAAGGCCTGATCAATACTGCCAACAATGCTCTTGAAGATGCTGAAGAGGAGAAACACGACTATCGGGAGACGAATCTCGAGCTGCAGATTATTTGCTACAACAAGGACCAGATCATTGCTGAGCAGAAGAAAGATCTCGAGGAGCTGGGCAATGCTGTCCAGACCCTGCACTTGAAAATCTCGCGCTTGGAGTGGGCCGGCGCGTGCCAGATACAGGTTGTCGACAATTTGCAGCGCGACTCGGACAAGCTCGATGAAGCCAAGGCCAAGCTTGGCAAGGTGATTCGGGAGCGCAATGAGGCTCAAGACACCATCCACGAGCTCAAAGAAGAGATCAAGAAAGTCCGCCTTAACGATCAGGAGAGGTTCATTAACACTGTCGAGGACATGGGAAACAGGCTTGGCGATGCCGAGTACCTGGTCCATACTCAGAAGACGGATATCAAAAAGGCCAAGGAGACCATCTCCAAGCAGAGCACGCAGATCAAGAAGCTGAAGGCGGACGTGGCGGGTGCCAACCAGACGCGGGACTCGGCGCTGGTCACGGTCAACAACCTGCAAGCCATGATTTCTCACATGCGCATCACCGCCAACGGCCAGGACATCAAGATCACCGACTTGACTCTGGACGGCAAGCGCAAAGCCTGGTCGGCTAGTGTCCAGGAAAACACCATGAAGCACATGGAGGACTACATAGGGCAGGTTGAGGCCATGCACCTAGACCTAATGGCGCGCATCCAGAAGACTGAGGCACGCCTCCAAGCAGCCAATTCAGCCAATTCAGCCGTGGGCACCCTGACTGCCTTCCTGGCCTCCAAGGGCCACTCTGTTTTCTGCCTAGTCCCGCAAGCCCCTGCTCAGGGCAGCAGCACCACTAACAACAACTCTGCTCAGCAGCACAATGCTCAGGGCAGCAGCACCACCAACAACAACTCTGCTCAGCAGCACAATGCTCAGGGCGGCAGCACTATCAACAACTCTGCTCAGCAGCACCATGCTCGGGGCAGCAGCACCACCGTTGCTGCTACTGGCTCTGTTTCCACATGCTCTGCTCACCCTGATGTCTCTGGCGCCCGCGCGGCCGAGCGCGAGGCGGCCAACCACCACAGCATGGTGTTGGCCAAGAGACAGCTGATTGCCACCCTGATGGATAACGCCATGCCATCAAGGAGAACTTTTTAGGCGGGCGCTCTGTCATGACGTCTTCTTTTCGGGCCCTCCGTCACGGCGTCTTTTTTTCGGGCCCTCTGTCACGACGTCTTCTGGGGACCTCTTTCTTTCCTGCTGGCTTGTTTCTGCTGGCTTGGTTCTTTGTGTGGAGACGGATGCTAGACACGACGACGAACGGGTCTAGGTTTTCTTTTTTAAATCTTCCCCTTATATCCTTTCCGGTCGGGTCTCTTCATGGGTTTTTTTCCGGCCTACTTTTCGAAGGAGGTCGGTAAGCGGAGGCGGCGGCGGGGCTGTTGGGTTTTGCACGGGTTGGTGAGGGGTGGTAGACCGTGCGTCTCGCAGCGTTCGTGGCCTTTGTCTTGCGTGTCTGCTGCGGCTGGTGGGTAGTTAGTGCCGTAGGGGGGGGCAAGGACTTTCTATGTTATTCGTGGCTTCTCGTCAACATTGCCGGGGGGGGGGGGGGGGGGGGGAGTTCTAATTATACACACATAGTAGAGCGAAGCTGCAGCAGCGGTTCAGCACGGATAGCACAGATAGCACAGATAGCAGCAGCTAGTTCAACACGGTTACTGCGTAATGGTGTTGGTGTCTTTGTGTGTGGTGTTTGTCGTGTGGTCGGGGTGTGTGTCGGGGCTGGTGTTGTGTGCTCGGGGCTGGTGCTGCGATGGCGGGTGCTGGTGCTGCCGCCATGGTGGCAGCCCGTGCCGTGGCAGCTTCTTGTCTGGTGCTGCCGCCGTCGTTGAAGCCCGTTGCCGTCGCAACCCGTGCCGTCGCAACTTGTTGTCTCGTGCTGCCGCCGTTGTGGCCGCCCTGTCCCGCCTGCCTGCCCCTTTGTCCGTGCTGCGGCAGCTGGCGCGCCGGTCCCCCTGTTGTCTGCTGCGCTGGGGCAGCCTGCAGTATGCAGCACGCATACATGCTCGTAGGCACGTAGGCACGTATGCAGGCAGGTAGATATCTGTCGGTCTTGTCTAGCCGGCAGATATGTGTCTGTCTGTCTGTCTAGCCGGCACAGCAGCACCCATTCATTGACATTTCTTTACTTGGTGATGGTGCTGCTGCGGCTGGTGATGCTACCATGTCTGTCATCCACCCCTCTCGGCTGCCGTGCTGGAGCAGCATACACGCACATCTGCCATGGCAGCATACACGCACATGTGCCTTACTATCGTTATTTTGCCTCCCATCTGCCGCGCTGGGGCAGCATACATACATGTGCCTTACTGTCGTTATTTTTATTGTGGTGACAAAATATATAGAAAGTATATCGGCCGACCAACTCTAGGAGGGGCTAATCCCCATACTAAATGTGTGGGCGAGAACCCATATTTAGGCGAGAACCCATGTGGAGGCTAGTGGCCCAAGCGTTCAACCAGGGCTAAGCCGGGTAACAATTTTGCCTCCCTACGGCTCGCTTCATGTTGTTTTAGTCGGTTTAGTAGAAGTCGAAGCTTCCACCTCGTCACTATAAAATGGCCTATCCCAAACCAGCGCCAGGCGTTTCTAATGAGCCACCGGGCTCCTGACGAGCCACCGGGTTGCTGGCAAACTGGGGGTTGACTTTCAGGGACGGCAGAAAGGGGAAATAAGAGTAGAAATAAAGAAGAGCGAATGTAAATGAGGGGAAAGAAGAAAGCACCTAGACTGTAAGAGAAGGCAGGTACGCCTGATCAAGGTGGTCACAATAGGAGCAACAAGCAGGGTGAGCAATGACTGGTATTAGCGTAAGACTTCAACCTAGCTTGAGCTAAAGAGGTGTGCGAAGGCCATGGTCTATATATACGTGAAAGGGGTTACGAGTCATCCTTGCGTGGCCAGGGTGGTAGTGGCGATAGTGCGTGGCCCTGGTAGCGGTGGCGATAGTGGCGATGGTGGCGAGGGTGGCCCTGGTGGTGGTGGCGGTGGCCATGGTGGCTACGAGGGTGGTTTCCTTACATAGACACACGATAACAATATCCCTCGAAACGAGCTCACAGACCATTACTCTTTATTCTAACGGTATTTTCGTTTTGCAGACATAGCACATGTAGGTCCAAGGGCTAGGTAGCTAACCGGGGCCTTGTCTACCAAGACACATGTATTGATGTGGCTGACATAATTCACGAGAGCGAGTCCAGATGATGTAGAAAGGAGAGCACTTCGAAATCGGTATGAACAAGTCCCGGCAATCTATAGTGACTATTGCGAATGTATTACAAACCACTCGACTGTTAGGGTCGTCTGTCTGTAAGGGAGCACGGGCTCCACAGGATGCTGAGGTTGGTAATTATAAAGATAGAACAAAGGGCAAGTGTCACGAATCCCTGTGGATTCCCTGTGGTTATGCACAAAGGTGGGGCATGCACTTTTGGCGCGAGCCAATCAGGAGCGTTCCAGGATTCCGAGCTCTGGAGCTCGGGGACGCGGGACAGGTCCGGTCGGGCAGTGACCCGGACGCGGGACCACGGGACAACGGAACCACTGTTATTGGTTACGTAGATAGATATATACGACGATTGTGTCCACGGTCTTAGATAGTTCTTGCTTAGTTCTTCAAGCAAGCAATACACATTCACTGCACTCATACACTTTGAGTAGCATTCCGATTTGACTGTATTACCCGTGCGATAGGAGCTTGCCCTTTGTTCTATCTTCATAATTACCAACCCTAGCATTCTGTGGAGCCCGTGCTCCCTTACAGACAGACGACCCTGACAGTCGAGTGGTTTGTAATACATTCGCAATAGTCACTATAGATTGCCGGGACTTGTTCATACCGATTTCGAAGTGCTCTCCTTTTTACATCATCTGGACTCGCTCTCGTGAATTATGTCAGCCACATCAATACATGTGTCTTGGTAGACAAGGCCCCGGTTAGCTACCTAGCCCTTGGACCTACATGTGCTATGTCTGCAAAACGAAAATACCGTTAGAATAAAGAGTAATGGTCTGTGAGCTCGTTTCGAGGGATATTGTTATCGTGTGTCTATGTAAGGAAACCACCCTCGTAGCCACCATGGCCACCGCCACCGCCACCAGGGCCACCCTCGCCACCATCGCCACTATCGCCACCGCTACCAGGGCCACGCACTATCGCCACTACTACCCTGGCTACGCAAGGATGACTCGTAACCCCTTTCACGTATATATAGACCATGGCCTTTGCATACCTCTTTAGCTTAGGCTAGGTTGAAGTCTTACGCTAATACCTATCACCGCACAGTCAATCGAATGAGACAAGGCTGCATTTACCGGGCTGTATTCGTAGAATCTAAAGCTAAGGCAAGAAAGAAGGAAGGAAGGAATCGAGAGCGGCTAGGCGGCCGTGGGGAAATAGTTGTAGGCGCTAAGGAGTGGAGCTCCTGCAAGAGTGCACGAGCCACAAAGCCTAAAACCGATGCGCCTAACCAGCGGGTTTTGGCCCTGCCGTGACAGGCAGACTCACCCCCGCAGCTCAAAGCGCCTTCTTATCACCGCACAGTCAACTGCATGAGACAAGGCTGCAATATGGTCGCTGTATTCGTAGAATCTAAAGCTAAGGAAAGAAAGAAGAAAGGAAGTTTCTAAAGCTTGGGCAGGGCGCAGGGAAATAGGACGTGGGGTGCACGGGCCATCTAGTCTAGTGGGGTCCGGGTCGGACCCACTATTCCAGAGTTGTCTGCACTTGCCGTGACACTTCTTCACTGAGAGATTCGCAATGGCCTGTCTACGGCGAGCCCGTCACACGGTGGTCAATAAGAGGACCGTCCACTACGCGCGCATCCTGGGAGCTCTCGGAAGGGACGAGACTGTATAATACAACAACACGGCTATTGGTTCGCCCTAGCAGTTGGCTCTACCAAGTTTTTGTTCCAGGTAGAGGGAAAAAGACACCTTTATATCTAAAGCTAACCTTTGTAATTATCCCTAGATCAGTTAATATCTAAAACCAACCTTTATAGTTATCTCTGGATCAGGCAATTATCGCTGGCACCGTATTGCCCCAACACGGCTATTGGAATTTCGCCTGGTAGTTGGACTCTGCCAAGTTTTGGTGCCTGGCAGTTAGACTCTATAAGTTTTGGTGTCTGGCAATTAGACTTTACCAAGTTTTGGTGTTACTATGGCTATCAGAATTTCGCCCTGGTAGTTAGACTCTACAATTTTTATATTACCCCCATATCTAGTCAACGTTTGTGATTATCTCTAATCAGTCAAGTCCCGGCGGTTATCGCTAGCACCGCGTTACCCAATACGATGATTAGTCGAGATATCAGTAAACACCTTCACTCAAATATAATCATACTGAGTACAATCCCGTACAACTCCTCTCGGTAACTCACTCTGTCCCGCCATTTTGGCGTCTCTTCGTAGTCGTATTCTGAGGGAAACAAGTCGCCAGCCAGGAACAAGAAGGTCGCCAGCCAAGGGAATGAAAATTACCAAAATATATATATAAAAGAGCAGAAAGTGGCCCGAAGAGAGTACTGAGATATAGGCAGGCTTGGCACTCTCCCTCGTTGCGCTGCAGTACTGGCGACTCGAGGAGAGTACTGAGATATAGGTAGGCTCGGCGCTCTCTCCCCTTGCGCTGCCAATTGGTGGCGGCGTTTGGATAGGGTTGAGGGGCGGTTGCGAGAGCGGTATAGAATTCGAATTCGGGATAGTAATTATTATTGGCATAGAAGGAAGAAGCGAAGGTGCTCTCTAAGCCAAGGCCAGAAGATTATCAAGCGGGGTTTGTTCCCTTTATATAGTCGCCGGAACTAGCAAAGAGTAAAGATTCATAATCTGGCGCTATAGCCCCGTCCTCCTGAATTTCAAGGAACGACGGAGGCGGTCGAGAGCAAGCTTTAATACGAGCCATTGACCGACAGAGTTGAGACAAGCAGGAGTGAACAGCAGCATGGACAAATCTTCTGCATAGCGTGCTGGTTATTAATCCCCTACATAACGACTCAAGTCAGTTTGTGGAGAACCGGCTTGTGGAAAACACGCTTTGTGTTTCTGAACTGTCAAGGTGGAACACGGAGATGCACAGAACCTTGCCTCAGGCAACAGGCTTTGGGTAGAAATCCCATCAACGTGAAAGTGGCCTTGTTTTCTGAACTCCCTCGCATAGAACCTTTAAGCGTCAACGTAGAAACAACACATCCCTCGCACAGAACCTTGGGCCTCAACATGGAAACAATGGGACTGTGCGGGCCTGCCAGCCTGCGGGGCCAGCCAGCCCGAGTTTTCCGCCTCGGGCATTTCACGAGCTGTGCACGTTTGTGGGTTTGTGGCTTATTACGCACGTCCGCTTCTGACGTCCGCTTCTGGCGTCCGCTTAGCGTGTTCCGCTTTTGGCGCCCTTGGCTTTGTTGCCCGTCACCACAGCCGCAAGTCCTTTATCGCTGTCACCAGTTCTACTGAAACCTCCGAACAAAGCCGCAAGGAGTCTCCCAAGTAAGAAACCACCCTCTCTTTGCGATGCGTGTCTCTACTCCTCTGCGATGCTGTCTCTTCCCCTCTGCGATGCGTGTCTCTTCCCTTCTTTTCTACGCTGAATGTCTCTTCCCACACTGCATATCTCACACTTTTACTGCGACAGAGAGGTCTCGATGTACCACACATGGCAGCCATGGAGCCGCGACGTTCCGCCAGACACACGGCAGCCACGGAGCCACGACCCGCCAGAGACATGGCAGCCATGCCACGACCCGCCCGGCTTGCTCAACGCTGGCGCGTCGACCCTTATAGTACGATAAACTTAATCCCTGACGACGAAGAAGAAATCGACGACGACCTCAAGGACGACGACCTCAGAGACGACGCCAATATGGAGCTCGTCAAGCACCCAAGCTACCGTGAGGACTGCCTTTGGCCCAACCATATCATCTTCCGGCATCCGCACAAACAGCTTCCCGATGCCGTAGCTGCCCATGTCGAGCACATCGCCTCCATACTGCCCGAGATGCCTGAGCTCTCCTCGGAGATTGTGGTCGAGGCTCTCTACGACCTGGAAACGCTGGGTGCCGGATGTGCCGAGCGTGATATCCGCAGCCACTTCCAAACCCATGTCTTTCCCACCTTTTTCAGACACTCAAATGGACATTTATTATCATCGACCAGCGCGTATATGGCTCGCCACCTCCTACCCAACCTCCTGGAGCTGGAAGTCATACAGCCATACCCTGACGTGCTCTATGGTTATTCCACCACACCCACTTTCACCTTCGCACAGCGGTTGACATAAGCTCTGCTCCATTGGCAGATTCCACACTACGCACAGGCGGCCGCCCACGCTTTGTTCCCCTTCCTTGCCGTCCAGTTTGCAGGGACTCAAAGAAGCCTCTGGGTTACGGCGAACCAGTGTGCCGGCGCCTCGGCCGCTTGCGTTCAGGCTATCAACCAACTCAACACAAGACTCAATACAAGACTTGGAGATAGTGGATATGTTCCCAATCACTGCTACAGCCTGGCCATCAACAGCAACCTTGCCCAGCTACATGTCTCGTGGAGAGTCGAGGAGGATGGCAAGCAGGTTTTCTATATCCAGCGGGTGGCCTCTTTCTCGCTGTGCAGTGCGAAGCACTTTGTACGCCTTCACCAGTGGATGATGGCCATTCTCGATTGGGGAAGAGGACAGCGCCTGAGGGACATCTAGGTCGCTGTGGATAACATTGGAGGAGCGTAGAAGGTGAACTAGCAGCGCAGTAGAAGGTGGTGAACTGGCAACGCACGACTTTTCGCCAGTGGCTCATTCGGGTTTTTGGAGGCAAAGGGAATCGGGTGTTTGTTATTAGTTGCGCGTGTTTGTCCCCCATGCGTGTTTGTCCCCCATACATGTTTCGCCTGCGGGCAGATAGCTGTCTCGAGCAATCTACGTTTTTCTAGTAAACTTACACCTCGGGATACCATCAAGGGGAATGTAGGTGCTTTAACCTGGCTGCCTAGCTGAGACTTTACGTGACAGCGGAAACACGCCAGCCAAGAGACGGGAAACCGTCCGAGATTCTCATCTTGCTCATGGCCAGATGCCCATCGCACCACCATCGCACTACCATCACGATTCTGGGCGCTGAACTAACTAGCGCGTCACCTCAACTACAGACCACCAGACTCTCTGGCGCGTCACCGCAACTACAGACAACCAGACTTCTTGTTCCTTGGCTGGCAACTTTCTTGTTCCTTAGCTGGCGACTTGTTCCCCAGATACGACTATGAAGAGACGCCAAAGTGGCGGGACAGCAGTTACCGAGAGGAGTTTTACGGGATTGTACTCAGTGTGATTGTATTCAGTGTTTACTGACATCTCGAGTCATCATCTATTCAGTGTAAAGGTGTTGGCAAGGGCGAAATCTAATTGCCTATTAGGGTACGGTGCCAGTGATAACCGCTGGGAACTTGACTAATCAGAGACAATCATTACAAAGGCTGGCTTCAGATATTGACTGATGCAGAGAGAAGCACAAACTTTAGTAGATATGAAGGCGTCTTTTCTCTCTTTTCACAAACGTTGGCTAGATATGAAGGTAGCTTTTTCCCTCCTTTTACAAACACTGGCTAGATGGAAGGCGCATTTTCTCCCCACCTGGAACAAAAACTTGGTAGAGCCAACTGCCAGGGCGAAATTTCCAGAGATAACCACAAACGTTGGCTAGGTATGAAGGCACATCGGCGGCTTCTTCCGAGGCTGTCTCGTTTGCGGTTGAGCTGGCCTCTTCAAGCTTCTAGTCAACAGCGTCGGCGTCTAAAGCAGTGGACTCGTTGACTTCGGGGACCTCTTCCGGAGTAGGCGTCTCAGACTTGGCCTCAACCGCGGGCTCGACTACGGCGGGGGCTTCGGTGGCGGGTGCTGACTCTGGGGTCGGCTCCTCAGCCTCCTCCTCGATATGCTTGTTAATGTATCGCAGCATGTCGTTGAGCACAAAATAGCCAAGAGGCTGCTGAGCAAGAAGGCTGCTGGGCAGGCACAAAGGTGTGCTAGGCCAAGCCTGGCCTAGCCTAGACCACTTAATGGTCCATGTACCACCAGCCTATCCCCCCACCATAGATTTTTCGCCTGCGGGCAGATAGCTTAAATTCCTCAAGCAATCTACTACGTTTTCCAGTAAACTGTGCACCTCGCATAAAAGGTCTGCACAGATTTCTTGGGCTCACCCGCCTCGTTGGAGACCTCGCCAATGACTTGGATAACCATGTTCTCGGCGGATCCCTGTGAGTCGACATTCGAGATGCAGGCCTTGGAGTCCTGGAAGTCGAGGTTCTTGATGCGCTCCTGGATTGCCTTTGATGGTAGAATAAGTCAGCAGGGTAGGCCAGCAAAGGTGATGGGGGGATGTAACTACTGACCTGTTTGCCGATGGCGACCAAAGAAGCTCGGCCTCGATGCCGTAGACGAACTGAGATCGCTTGCCGTAAAAGAGCTAGCACAATGTCAATTGTCACGGCCGGCTTAGAATGAGGGCGGAACTCCTCAATTGGGCGCTATAGACGAAGATTCTAAACTAAAGGGAAAAGGGAAAAGAAGCTCAAAAGCCTCCCCTCGCGAGATTCTTCCAGGGCGTCTCAAGGTGGGGCTCTGGCTGGTCGGGTGGATCCACCCAACTGGCGTCTGATTAGTCAGAGCGTCTGGGAGGCCTGGAGGACCAGGCCCTCACATCAATCGTCTGTCGAAATAGCTGCTGGAGCCGCAGCGCAAACTCACGTGAAGCTTCTCTGAGGCTTGCTCGGTGTTGTGTAGTACGTTAGGGCAACACCAAAACTTGGGAGAACCAACTGCCAGGGCGAAATTCTAATAGCTTTGGGTGGCGGCGGCGCTCTGCTCACTGACGATGCAGCAATGGCCGCTGTTTAACCAAAGCTGGCAGCTGTTCGACTGAAGCTAGCAGCACCGCATCCCGCTTAGCCTGCTGCTGATTGCTAGCCGTTGGGGCAACACAAAACTTCATAGACTAACTGCTAGGGCGAAATTCCAACAGCGTTTTCCCTCCACGTGGAACAAACTTTGTAGAGTGCAACTGCCAGGGAGCAATACTTGTAGAGTGCAACTGGCGGGGCGAAATTCCAATACCGTATTGGGGCAACAGCAAAACTTGTAGAGTCCAGCTGGTGGGGCAAAATTCCATCTCCACCCTCTCTCGCGTCGACGGGATGGAAAGATGCCTACTCCTCGTAAGGTCCCGGACTCATTCAGCGAGACATATCGCAAGTGTCGAGGCCAGGATTAAAAACTTGGTAAAGTCGAACTGCTAGAGCAACACCAAAACTGGTAGAGTCTAACTGCCAAGGCGAAATTCCAAAGCCGTATTGGGGTGCCATCGGGGACTTGAGATAACCACAAAGGTTGTCTTTAGATATTGACTGATCTAGAGATAACCACAAACGTTAGCTTCAGATGTTAAGTAATCCAGAGATAATGTAAGGAAAGGACAACCCAAACACCAGCCGCGCGCACAGGGTGCGCGCTCACCACCTGTTACCAACTGGCCGGAACACTGCCAGTTGGCACAAGCCACTACGCCACGCCATGGCGCCCCGGGCCTGAGCCCCTGAGCACGTATATAAACAGTGGCCCTCGCCCACCTTCCTTTGCGAGGGCCAGGTTGAAGTCTCACACCAATACTACTCGTTGCTCGCCTACCTTCTTACCTGCATTGTGACCACCTTGATCCGGCGTACCTGCCTTCTCTTACAGATAACCACAAACGTTAGCTAGATATAAAGGCGCCTTTTTCCCTCCTTGGCATAAGCCATGCCTGCTCTTGCCAAGGCTGCTATGAAGGCGCCTTTTCTTTCTTTTTACAAACGTTAGCTAGATAGAAGGCGCCTTTCCCTCCTTCATCGGGCCCAACATTGGCATCAGCGAGCCACGCCCCTCTTGCTAAGGCTGCTATGAAGGCCCTTTTTTCCCTCCACCCGGAACAAAAACTTGGTAGAGCTAATTGCGGCGAAATTCCAATAGCCGTGTTGGGGCAATACAGTGCCACCGGGGACTTGACTGATGCAGGGACAACCGCAAAGGTTGGCTTCGGATATTAACTAATCCAGAGACAATCACAAAGGTTAGCTTTTGATATTAACTGATCCACAAAGGTTGGCTAGATATAAAGGCGCCTTTTTCCCTCCTTTTACAAAGAGAGCGTTTCTATACACTGTCAAGTCGTTGCCGTACACTGTAGGTACATCGGCGCCAAGGCCTTACGCTCACCGCCTAGGAAAATACCATATTTTACAGCCAAAATTACCGTGTTCGCTGGCTGCCCCGCCCCAAGCGCTGGTAACGTGGTTGTACCGTAATCACACCTCGCCGCCGTCTCTAACGTTAATATACTTCTAAATGCGGTAATTGAAGCTCAGGATCGTAGATTCGCTCAAAGCGTTCAAATCTGTAATTAAAAGTCGCCCATTCCCTGGCAAGTGGCATGTAAGTATCGTCAAGATACGTCAAGATGGCTTTTTGGGCGGAAAAAACGGCTTTCAGTATCTTCTAGGCTTGATTAAAGCCATCAAAGCCAGGCGCGTACATCATATGCTCCCAAAGCAAGTACATTCCCGCCTTTGTGTACGGGACCTCGGCTGGCAAGGGGCCTAGGTCAACTTGTTGACCATCACGAAGTCTTCTCGTACGGAAAACAACCTGGTTTTCTTCCCCGTTGTTATCGTTATTCTCTTCATCATCGTCATTGTTCTCCTCGTTATTTTTCTCTTGTTGTTGCCCTCCCTGGCCCTGAGCCTGCGCCTGAGCCCGGGCAACCTCCTTTGCGGCGGCTGTATTCCATTTCTTCTTGAAATGAAGGACCACGTTCTTGTTAATGTGGAAGATGCAGAGTTGATGGTGAGCGTCAGGGTAAACCCGGGCAATTGCATTCCTCATCGCAGCCTCAAAGTCGGTAATTATGACCTGGGGAGGTGGTGCGCCGAGCCTTTGGCGATGTGCGTTTACCCGCTCCATCAGCTAGTTGAAACCTTCGTCACGTTCGTTGTTGATCAAAACGAAGGCACAGCTGACTGCCTTACCCAGGTTGTTCTTGATAACTACCTGGAAAGGAGCGACGCCCTTATTGCTCATTTTGTATGTATCATCATACAACTGGTTGGCTTCAGATATTGACTGATTCAGAGATAACCGCAAAGGTTGGCTAGATATGAAGGCGCCTTTTTCCTCCACCTGGAACAAAAACTTGTAGAGTCCAACTAGTAGGGCGGAATTCCAATGCCGAGAGTCCAACTGCTAGGGCGGAATTCCAATGCCGAGACTCCAACTGCTAGGGCAAAATTCTAACGGAGACTTGAGATAATTATAAACGTTAGCAAGATACGAAGGCGTCTTTTTGGGAACTAGCTGTCGAGATGGCCGGCCTTGGGAGTGTTCGGGGATGGGGATGGGCTGGTGATGAAAACACTGGTCAGGTCACACGGGCACGGCATAGGGATCAAGCTGATAGAGACACGGTTCAGGGCGAGTGTATTTCCTCCTCAACTAGCTAACCAAGCACACATTGTCCATGGTTGTTTTCCCCCCTACACCTAGCTAGCCAAGCACATTGCCACTCTAACAGCATCCCAGATCAACCGGCTGAAGACACTGGCCGGCCTTGTTGGGAACGGCTACGCGCACGGAGATGGGCATCAACTGGCTGAAGACACTGGTCAGATCACGGCGGGCATGGCATGGGGATCAAGCTGAAGACACTGGCGGGCATGGGGACCAAGCTGATGAAGACACTGGTTCAGGTGTATTTCCTACAACTAGCTAGCCACACATTGTCTACTCTAACACCCATGATGACCGTGTTGTTTGTCCAGCCGTAGCGGGAGAAGGTGATTCTATTACCGTGAGGGTGCCGAGTTCTCGCATAGGATGCATGCTCTGGTAGCTCTCGGCTAGCTTAGCTGTTCTGCTTTCAAACGTTAGCAGGCTGTCAGTGGCGGGAGAGGTATTCTATACAGGGTCCATACCGTGAGGGTACTGAAAGTTTTCGCACGGATGCATGCTCTGGTAGCACTCGGCAGCGACGCCAGCGAATCGAGGCTAAGCTGGTCGACGCAGCGAATCGGGGCTGAGCTGGGCCTGCGAATCGGGGCCAAGCTGGTTCAGGATGCCGGGGCCACGCTGGGTCAAGCTGGTCCAGGATGCTGGGCCAGCTATTTCAACAGACGTCTGCAACTTGGCCAACCCAGTCTGTGCCGGGAGGCGGCAGCCGTCATTGCTGTCCCACTCTAAGGGGCGACAAAGTAATGACATTGCCGTCGCCCCTTAGAGGGGCGGCTGCCGTCGCTCTTGAACATATTACCTCCCCCGTCTGGGGGTGGTTAGTACTGCTGGGTGTGGTGGTAATGCCTGTGGTGAGGGTGTGGTGCTCGTGGTGGTAATGCTACCCGTGAGGGTGTGGCGGTAAAGCCCGTGGTGCTCGTGGTGGTAATGCTACCCGTGAGGTGGTGCACTTGCGGTGCTCGGAGATGGGAAAGCTGTAGAGAAAGATGACAAAAGCTGTAGAGAAAGATGACAAAATCTGCAGGAAAGATGACAAAAGCTGCAGGGAAAGATGACGAAAGCTGTCCTACGTACCTTAGGGGCGGCGGAGTGGTGCCGCGCCCAGCGGGGGCAGAGCGGCATTGCCGTCCCACTCCAAGGGGCGACAAAGTGAATGGCTTTGCCGTTGCCCCTGGAGGGGAGGCTGCCGTCGCTCTTAAACATGTTGACTTCTGTGGCTGTGAGCGATTGATCTACGTGCGTGTCGTGGTATTGCCCGTGGTGGGGGTGTGGTGGTAATGCCCGTGGTGTGGTGCTCTTAGCTATGTGCTCTTGGTCTCACGCGTGGGAAACTTACTATATACGACGACCGTAGCCACGGTTCTAGATGAATGTGAACGGCAAAGGATGAATGGTGAAAGGCGAAGGAAGGAGCAAGTGCAGAGCCCCGCCTGGGGAAATAGAACACGAAAGCGCGGAGCCTGCAGCAACACGCCAGCACGTGGCGGCCACCGCGACTCTACCAACAAAACGCGCTGACCCCGTGTGGCTTTCCTCCCGTCATTAGCTGGCAGCACCTGCCCACCGAGGTCTGTTGCCTGGCAGCACCTACCCAACCGACGCCTCCCGCGTCTGGTTGCCCAGAGTGACTAGCACCTTCCGCAAGCCAGACTCTTCTCAGATCCTCCTCGCAAGCCAGACCTTCTTAGACCCTCCTCGCAAGACTAGAACCTTCCACGCTGAACCTTGTACCCCTGACCTTCTCCCCTTCTACACCAACCTTCCCGCAACATCCTCTTCCCGCAACACCTCTTCCCCCAACGCCACCTTCCCGCAACATCACCCTCCCGCAACACCACCCTCCCGCAACAACACCTTCTTGCAGCACCGCTGCGAGTCTATCTGCATTCTCTCGGAGCGCTGCTGAATCAGAACCTCCATCACGCAAATTTCGACATCGTCTGCCTTCGCAGATAATCTGCCTTCCTTGTAGACAATTTCATTTCTCTGCGGTCCTGGAAGCCCTCGACACAGAGCCTCAAGAGCAAGTCGTAGAATCAAAGGCGCCGCCACCTTCCACGCGGCGTCCAAACATGGAGTCGTTGCCACCTCTCCCCCCATTACCTTCTCCCCCGCCTGGGCTTCCGAAGATGAAGTCGCCGCTACCCTCTTCCCCCACGTATCGGCTTTCAAACATGAAGTCTTCGCCACTTACTCCCCGCACGTATGGGATTCTGAAGATAGAGCCGACATCGTCTTCGCCTATACATGCGCCTCTTAACATGGAGTCGTCGCCTTCGTTGCCTACACGTCGGCGCGAGCTAGTCGTAGAGCCAGTTGTGGAGTCGGAGTCGTCTATGTCTTCGTCGTCCATGTCTTCGTCGTCCTTCAGTCGGCTTCCACCGGCGGTGGAGCCGTCTTCGTCCTTCATCGATCGGCTTTCAGCCGCGGGAGAGCCGTCTTCGTCCATCGCTCGGCCCCTGCCAGACGTGGAGACGTCGCCAACTTCACCCCCCACGCATGGCCTTCCCATCATGGACATCAAGGACGAGTCCCAGGACGAATCCAATGGTTTTGACCGCTTCCAGCGGGAGTTGATCCGGCGCCACCTTGCCGATGTGGTGCGTTGCCCCGTGCCTACCTTGCCTCGTACTACGTTGCCTCATGCCTCGTCCGAGAATGCCATTGCTGACGTTTCGCAGAGAGCCCAGCCCGACAACTTCGAGTACTGGGAGAAGCTCGTGCGCGCGTGCGAGCAGCTCGACGGCGGCATCAACCGCAACTCGCACCCCTGGGCCATCGAGATGGTCCGCTCCGTCTACAACCGGTTCCTGCGCAAGTATCCCCTCCTCTTTGGCTACTGGAAGAAGTACGCAAAGCTGGAGTTCATCATTGGCGGTACCGAGTGTGCCGAACTGGTAAGTGCCGAGAGTGCAGTCGAGAGCGTGCAGTCGAGCCAGTAAAGCTGATTGTGAACAGGTCTACGAGCGAGGCTGCGCCAGCGTCACCAACTCTGTGGATCTCTGGATGGAGTACTGCAGCTTCAAGATGGAGACTTGTCACGACGCCGAGATTGTGAGAGAGTGAGTCATAACAGCCAAAGCAAGGCCTCACACCACACAACACACCACACAACACACATCACACACCACACAACACACACCACACAACACACCATAGTGAGAAACACCAAGGATACCTACTTGGCTGTTCTCAGGACACCCTCTTGACTGCTCTCACAGGACCCTCTTGACTATTCACAGGACCCTCTTGACTGTTCACAGCACCCTCTTGACTGTCCACAGCACCATTTTGACTGTTTACAGCACCCTCTTGACTGTTCACAGCACCCTCTTGATTGTTCACAGCACCTTCTTGACTGTTCACAACATCTACCAACCCACTCTCGCACAGGCCGTCTCCGCTCCATCATGTACCCTCGTCATCCGCTCTATCATTTACCCTCACCCACCCGTCTGTTGTCTTTCCTATTTGATGCCCTTTGATGCCCTTTGATGCCCTTGATTCCCCCCCCACACATGCTGACTGCCATTGCTAACTGCCACTGCCCAGGCTCTTCGAGCGCGCCGCGGACCACGTCGGCATAGACTTTCTGTCCCATCCCTTCTGGGACAAGTGGCTCGAGTACGAGGAGCGCCTGGAGAATGCCGACAAGATCTTAGCCATCCTGAAGCGCGTCACCCGCATCCCCATGCACCAGTACGCCCGATACTACAAGGACCTCCGCACTCTGGCCGTCGACAGGCCCCTCCAGGAGCTTGTCCCCGCTGTCGAGCTGACCCGCTACCGCTTGGAGATCGAGGCCGAGTGCCAGGCCTTTGGCTTGCCGCCCAAGGTCGACCTCGAGCTCGAGCGCGACTTGCGCGCCAAGATCGCAGCCAGATTCTACGCCGCGTTTCAGGCGTGCGAGGCTGACACGAACAGCCGCTGGGCCTTTGAGGCCGGCATCAAGCGCCCGTATTTCCACGTCACCGAGCTCGACCACGCCCAGCTGGCTACGTGGCGCAAGTACCTCGACTTTCAGGAGGCCCAGGGCGACTACGCCAAGACGGTGTTCCTGTACAACCGATGCCTCGTCTCGTGCGCCTGCTACGACGAGTTCTGGTTCCGCTACGTCCGCTGGATAGGCGCCCAGAAGGACAAGGAGGAGGAGGTCCGCCACATCTACATCCGCGCGGCACAGCTCGTCCCGGTCACCCGCCCGGGCATCCGGCTCCAGTTTGCCTACTTTGAGGAGTCGTGCGGCCGCGTCGACATCGCGCGCGCTATCTACAAGGCCATCCTCCGCAAGCTGCCGGAGTCGGTCGAGACCACGACGTCGTGGGCCAACCTAGAGCGGCGCCAGATCGGCGTCGAGGCGGCCGTGGCCGTCTACAAGGCGCGCATCGACTCGACCGGCGTCGACCCCTTCGCCAAGGCGGCCCTGGTCACCGAGTGGGCAACGCTGCTGTGGAAAGCCCAGGGATCGGTGGTCGGAGCTCGCAGAGTCTATCAGGAGCACGAAGAGCGGTACGCTGACAGCCGCCAGTTCTGGCAGAGATACATGCAATTCGAGATGGAGCAGCCAATCAGCTCGGAGGACCACGAGTTTCATGTCAGCCTACGCCTCATGGAGATCATAGACCAGATACTCACCAAGAGCCGCCTCTCGCCGTGGATCAAGCAGGAGTTCACGCAGATGTACATGAACTACGTGCAGCAGCGCAGAGACAAGGCGGCCATGAAGGAGTTCATCTCCCTGGACCGGGACATGTTTGGGTGCGTGTTGCATGTTGCATGTCTACGTTCTTGTCTACGTTCTCCTTTACTAACCTCTTCACAACCCTGTAGACCGCAGTCCGTCTCGCGCCTCACCAGGGCTAAATTCCGGAAGGACATCAACGGCTTACCTGTAGGCGGGCTCGACGAGGCCACTCGCGTCAGGGCCGAGAAGCGCTACTACAACTTCTACGAGCTGCACAGGGACCCCGACCCGAACGCCGAGGGCCCTGCCCCCTTCTATTAGGGGCAATCATGCGGTGTTTTGCTGTGTTTTGCCATGTTTGCGGTGTTTCGGCATATCATTCCTTGGGAGTTACCGGGAAGAGTTACCGGAGGAGTGAGTTACGCATTGTACTTAGTGTGATTGTATTTAGTGGAAGGTGTTTGCTATGGAAATGGCGTGGCTTGTGTGCCTCCTCCTGCGTTGCTCTGCCGAGATAATAGCCTAGATTCCCACGGCTAATCAAGGCCTTCTCAACTCTGCCTTCTATATGTGGTTTTGCTAATCTTGGTTCACTAAGACTCAAACTGATCTTGAGTCATCATTATTCAGTTTGGAGGTGTTTAGTGTCACGACCAGGGCAAGGCATTGAGGTGAACTCAGTCCATTAGGTGCTATCGACGAAGATTCTAGACGTGGCGACCCAACAAAGAAATCGCCCCACAACGAAATTGGCCCACGCCATGCCCACACCCACTCCACGGGCGCAAATCATCCATTTCTACACAAAATAACTAGCAAAAAAATACTCAATCCTCTTCTTCGGCCTGTCTATATTGTTCGAGCCCACGGGCGATTATTTCCCGGGCTTCTTCGACTGCATGTGGCTGGCTTTCTGCCCGAGCCGTTTTTTTCCGCTTTGGGGGTATTTGACTAGCTTTTTGTGCCTTGGCGATGTCCTCTATACGTGCAAATTGCTCATTTCCATCTTCATATACCCTCTTACGCGTGCGAGGCTTTGAAGCCTCTAATTCGGTTGTGAGATGCGTAATTTGTGCCTTCAAAGACGCGATCTCTGTATTCTTCAGATCCAGGGACCTCCCGACCTTAGTAAACAAGGCCCGCACACGCCGCTGAGCCGGACTGAGGGCATTCCGAATACTGTCCTGGTACTTCTTGATGTCCTGACTGCCGTGCGGTGTTTTGAAGAGCCTGTCATCGTCGTTCGGGGCCGTCGGCGGCGGTGTTGAAGGCCGGGCCGGGAGTGCCTCATTGTCCTTGACCGCCTCAGGGTCATCAAGTAAACAAGCCGGGTTGAAGGGCCAAATCCCGGTTTTACTGAAGCCCGACATGATGTTACGGGCACTCATGCCTTTACCCGAGGCATCTCTGTAGCAGTAAAGGAACCGAACCTTGTTGACAGGAGCTGACGATGTGAAGCTCGCGAGGGCCTTGGTATTTTCCCTAAAATAGGTCTTTAAAGGTGAAAAGACCGAGCGATCGAGAGGCTGAGACTTGTGCGATGTATGAGAAGGTAAATAGACGAACTGGACCTTATTTTGGAAGGCCGCTAACATGAATTTTTCGTTCATATGGCTCGAATGTTCGTCAAGGATCAGTATACGCCATTCGCCCGGCCTTTGGGGCTTTGTTTGGATCAGGTAGACCTCTTTGAGCCATTTCAGCGCAATACTGGCGTTGCTCCAGCCTGTAATTGAGTAATCGTACTTCCATTCCCGGAATTCCTTCGTCAGGTTGAAGTAATCAGGAAAGTGTTGTCCTTGAAGACTGGCCCCGGTAAATATGATCACGGGCTTCAAACGAACGCCCTCAGCAGTGCCGCATTCGATAACTGAAACCCAGGTTGTTGCATCAGAGCTTTTCACGTAGGTTTGGTTCGTCAGGGAGCTTCCTATGACCTTTCCGGCCCGGGTCTCGAGCTCCTGCATGCCGTGCTCATCCATGTTAGCGATGTTGGCCGGGATGACCTTTTTATCCTTGATTTGGAAGGCCAGGCGCTTGAAGAAAGCTTCATAAGCTTCACGAGTAAATCCGCAGACTCGAGAGGATTCCAACAAGGTTGAATTCTTCATCTTTACCGCCGGGTTGCGGCGTAGGAAGCGGTCCACATATCGCTCCCCAATGGTCTTTTTCGTGCCGGCCTCATTGAGTATAGCTTGAGCGAATCTCTGCACCTGACGACGGCTAGGAGCCCTGCCTGCAGCCTCCTCATTGAGGCACCAGTCGGCTAGGAAGCTTTCCTGCGCATTGGAGAGGTTTCTTTCGGCTTGTTTACTTTGTGCTCGATTTTCTGCCCCGTGGATGCGTTTGCAGAGGGTAGAAGGAGGGATCCCGAAGTCATGCGCGGCCTGCTTCTGCGATGCGCCCTGTTCAACTGCAAGTATTGCAGATTGAATTAACTGCTCTCGACGGTTCGACATGATGTATTTTGAAGCTATTCGAGCCTGAATTGATGAAGTTGTGTTGTGTTGAAGTTGAAGGGCGGGAAATTAGATGACAGGGGCAGAGATTTCGTTGTGGGGCGATTTCTTTGTTGGGTCGCCACGTCTAGAGAAACTGGACAAACATTAATGCTGTTCACTTGAGCTCGGAAGCAGACAAGAAGTGTAACTATTACCGGAGAAACTGGAGAAATTGGAGAAACAGTAATGCTATTTACATCAACCCCCAAAAGTGTCAGGGGCTTGAATGGTAAAGAGATGAAAAGCCACTAACAACATGGCCTCTTCCAAGGACCCAGACGCCGATTTTTAGTAGATTGATAACACAAGACAGCGATATAATAAATATGTAGTAGTAATTTGTATATTTGTCACGGCAGGTGCAGACAGCTGACCAGATTAGTGGGCCCCGTTATGGGCCTCTGGTCACAACGGATTTAGGCGGTGGTCTGTGCACCCCGCAACCACGTTACCCACACCACAGCCTACTTCCCCCGCGCCCTGCCTGGGCCTAGAAGCTTCTCTCCTTTTTCCTTCTTTAGCTTTAAATTCTACGAATACAGCAACCACATTGCAGCTCTACCTCTTTGCAGTTGACTGTGCGGTGACAATGTCGCTGAAAGCTCTCCAAAGTAGGTATCTTTTGGACACGAGGGTTGAGCAAATAGATGAGAATAGCACCAAAGACAATAGCATTGAGCATGTCGCTATGCCATTTGTTGGTAAAACAAGGACAATAGATACGGTCGTCTACTCTCTCTGTAGCAGAATTTGGAACCAATGGCCAACGTCCGTTCTCTACTTGTCGTCTTACAAGAGGATGGCGCTGGGAATGTGCTGTTCCGAAGGCGGAGCATCCACAGCATCAGGTAACAGCTCTAGGGAGAAGCCTGCTTCACTTTGAGCCAGGCTTAGAAATTCCAGTGGGGAGCCGGTTTCGGTTTCAGGTCGAGGCTCTGGACTCAATGAATGTGGTGAAGGAGGCGCCTCATGTCGACGACGGGCTCTTCTGGAGAGGAGTCTACTTCATCTGGTCCCGGGCTTAGCGAGTCTGGGAAAGAGCTATCGGTGGCTCCATCATGACATATACTTAGAAGACTCGCTGGCTCATCGAGAGGGCCTCAGGGTGGGCGGCGATATATTCGACACCCCTATACGAATATTTCGCGAATATGATACGCTGAAATCGACAGAAGCTCTAGTGAGGTTAACGTTAAAAATTAGTGGGATGAATACTGTAACTTAGCGGGCTGGCGCTAAGCTACAGCGGGTATTTTCCCTTCACGTTTTGCTGCCAGCTCGCCCCCTATGGTGCCCGCAACAGCAGTCCTCATCTCGCTAAGTTTTAGTGCATCATATTCGCCGAATATTTGTACAGGGGTATCGAATATATCGCCGCCCACCCTGGAGGGCCTCCAAGAACTGCCTCCTCAGTGGCTGGGCTATTTGTACCCGTCCGAGAGTCTATTTCAGTTATTCCGAGGCCTTCCGGCTCTGGGCTGAAATGGCGCGAGACACATGCCGATTCTGCAGGGCTCAATATATCTGAGACAACGTCCTCTGGGTCCGATTCAGCGTATCTTAGCTCTAATTTGGCGTCCTCTTGCTCCGACTTTGCTTGCTCTGGCTCTGAGTCATCGCCTTCTGGCTGTGACTTTACGTGCTCTAGACCCGAGTCTGCGTTTTGGCGTAGGCTGGGGAGCCAAGTAGAGGGTAGGTCGCAGGGAACTGTACCCTAGGATCCAAGTGTAGGGTAGGTCGTAGGAAACTGTGCCCTACGACCCAGTGGGCTGTGGAGAACTCTGCCCTGTGGTCAGGGTCTTCTTGGGCGGTGAAAGTGCTGAAGAAGACAAAGAGGAGTTGTATTATAAAGAGGGTCGAGTACAAAGTTTGGTAAGTGCAAATGCTTGCTTAAGGAGAGAGAAAGGAAATCTATCTAAGGAAAAGGCAAGGAAAACGCAAGTAATGCAGTATACGAATATGAGATGAAAAACCCAGTGGAAAAAACAGAAAAAATACGTGCAGGCTCAAAAAGAGTCACTCCGCCGATGAAGGTCAAAAGCACACTTACAACAAATATCGGAGTTTTTCTTCCATCACACAATTAACAAAAAAAACACTCCTGTATGCCAACTTTTGCACAACTAGCAAACTAGTCAATCAGGCCAGAACCCAATACACCGCTGCAAGAAAAGCAACAGCCAGAGCCTAGTACACCGCTGCAAGAAAAGCAACAGCCATGGCCAAGCCTGCAACGACGCGCGTAAAAGATGCGCTCAAGCAATGCGACAAGTACGGGCGCGAGGATTGGAGCGACCGCGAGTGTGGCCTTGTAGTCGCGGCTCTGAAGCGAAATGACTAAAAGACAAACTAACCTAGCTCTCACGAAGCCTAGCGCATCAGCAAACAGCGTCTCGACAAGTTTGTCAAGACCGTTTAAGCCTACCCAAACTGCACAACAGCAGCCAGCGCCGCAGCCGACATTGCTTGGCCGCAAATGGAGCACGTTAAGGCAGTTTACATCCTGTGTAAAGGAAAGCCGCGCGACATATACATAGAGGCACTGGAGGGTGCGAAGCTCGAGAACATGATCAAAGGCGATGGTCATCGCGCGTATGATAAATGGTAGACTGATAGCATTCCAAAGAACGATCTTTTCTTCAAGACCGCGTACGCAATCGAGGAAGGAGCCAGCAATTGACTGGGGCGAACTCCGACTATGAGTAAACTCCTATTCGCCTCGAAATCATCACCTGCGAAGCCATCACCAGCAGACTCAAGCCTTGATTCACTACTTTACACCTGAAGAGAGGAAACCCAGCGTCTGGACTCAACTCATCTGAGTCCGACATCGAGATTGTCAAGCCACCCATGAAGAAGAAGAAGGTGGTCGAGGACGAATTGGATGACCAGGACAAGCGGATTGCCATACTCGAGCAAAAAATCAAGGAGCTTGAGAGCAAACTCAACAAGCAGAATAACTTGATTAAAGCCATACTGCAGAAGCTCACGACGCTCGACGAGCGTGACCAAAGACTATATCGCCATGACTGAGAAGATCTGACGCGACACCACTGAGCCAATGGACGTCATTCACTCGCGCAACATGTTCCACAGCGCAATCGATCGCGCCCAAGAAGGCAAAGGAGACAAAGTGGGAGGGACGGAGAATATGGTCGCCGACTACGTCTTCAAGGTGCGAAAGAGAATTGTGACGAATACGTATGACGGCACCGAGGCAGCATACGAATTGTTTATTGAAGAGATGCGCAGTTTGACCAGCACAGAGACAGGAAAGATGGGCGTCATAATGGAAGAGGGACAGTTGGTTATGACAAATGAAGCATGTGAAAGCATCAAGGATTAGGCCAATCAGAATGCAGCACAGGAAGAGTTCTAGGGGCTTGCACTTAGGATATGTATTACGTAATTAGTACACGGCCCTACCACAATCATTCAGGCCCTCGTAGGGCACTCTAGCTTGTTAAACCAATCACCTTCTTTTCTTCTCTCATTCCAGCGTAGCATTAGCCATAACGTATTTGATAAGCGAGTTAGCCATGATAAGCAAGTTAGCTACCTTAACGAGACCGGGTAGCGTGCGCAGCCAAATGCGATAAGAAATTGATAAGATCACTAACAATTTACTAACATCTTTTTGCTTGTGCCCTACCAAATCTCGTTAAGGTGGCCAACTCGCTTATCATGGCTAACTTGCATATCATGAACGTTAACAATATATTGGGAATTATCACGGCTGTCACCACACAGTCAACTAGATAAGGCAAGGCTGCATTAAGGTCGCTGTATTCGTAGAATCTATGTCTATGTTTGGGTAGTCTTGGTTCCCGAAACTGACTGGAGTTATCATGTGGGGGATCAACGACCAGCACGTTATCTAGAAGATTTGTCTATGCTGCTGTTCACTCCTGCATGCCAAAGGCAGGTAATCTTGGTTCCCCAAGATATCTCGAGTCATCGTGGAGGATTAACGACCGCACGTTATCCAGAAGATTTGTCTTGCTGCTATTCACCTGCCTGCCCTCTGATCTACATGTATTTTTTGGTATCTTGGTTCTCCGACTCAACATATCTCGAGTCATGGTGGGTATTAACGACCGCTGCTGTTCACTCCTGCATGTCAAAGGCAGGTCATCTTTGTTCTCTAAGACTCAAACCAATATCTCGACATCTCAGTCCTTATAAGTGCTTCGGCGGTAATTAGTTCTTGTAGGTATTTCGGCAGTCCTTGGTGTTTCGGCGGCGTATCTCATTCCTGGCTAGTGTTTTGGCGGCAGATTATTCCTTAGCTGGCGGCTTTCTGGCGGCTTTCTTATTTACTTGGCCAGCGGCTTTGTAGGAAAATTCTCCCGAGGCTTCTAAGTTTGACCTAGATGCTGCTCTTGGCAACCTCGCTGACTGACCCTTGTGGAAATTGCGAAAAGCTTATCGGATAGGGCGGTTGCACCAAGCTCAAAGAGTGCTTCGGCGCAGAGCGCATCCGGGGAACGTTCCTCAGCAACGGAAATGTGGAATGTTCGCCGAGGCAGCTTCTCGTTCTCGGTGAATTGTGCAACGGCTGTCACCGAAATCCAACTGGCAGCCGGAAATGGCATCGCTCCTGTCATCGAGGAATTCGAGCATGAGAAGAACCAGGTCTTCCTCGAGCCAACGAAGATAAATCAATCCGTCCATTTGTCCAATTTGGTGATCAAAATCAGCGCAGGACCTGGGTGCCAGAGATGGCATTGTCGACTTGCAGAGATGGCAAGTTGTCGGGCTTCTCAAGGCCGCTCCATATGGATTGTGGGGGAAACGTGAGACTTCAATCTCGTTGCTATCCACACAACCACGTGCCCTTTTCCCGCTCACCTACCATAACACCAAGAAAGATACAACACCACTCATGGGGGGGTTAGTTAACACTAGATGTAACGTCACAGACAATGCTAAAGAAGGCCATTCAGGGGCGAACAGCGACCTTGCTCAGCTGCTCAACGACAAGAGCGGCAGCTCCAAGCTAGTGATAGGTGTTTGCCTAACCGCGCTGCGCCGATAAGACCCAACAACGAGCCGCTGAAGCTAGCCAGCCAGCTAGGGCAACAGCCCCTGCCGTCTCTGACCTACTCAGTTGGGTAGCCTGAACTAGAGTCGGATATATCACTCCCTCACCTCCCTGTGGCCCACACATCTCCCCTTTCTTCATCTCCTGTCCGGCTCCACACTGGTTCGAATCCCTAACCATCACCTTCCCATCCACTTGTATCCTCTTCGTCCTACTGCTACTGTCAGCCTTCCTCAGCTGCCACCGCACAACTTCACAACCTGTACTTGACATCAGATTGTCGGAACCGAGAACTCACCTTTCCGCAACACAAGTCTATTCCTGATAGACACTCAACTCTTCCACCCCCTCGTAATACGTAAACAATGTCCCAGTATCATCCTCCTCGCCTGTCCCGCCCCGAGCCCAGACACAATAACCCTCGGAGTACAGACCGACACGGACACACAGAGCGCCGTATCCCGTCAAGTTATTGTCTAGGCGGAAGGAGACGGCGGCGCCGTCGGGGAGGGTGTAATCTGTGGACTAGTCGGAGAGGTTCTAGAGCGGGGTTTCTGGATTGGGAAAGGAGCAAGGGGGCAAAGGCAGAGGAGTAGAGGATGTCAGAAAGGGAATAGTGAGGAGGACTGTGATTCTTTGGTATGCGTGTAGAAGGCGAGCCATAATCTAGTAACTTAGGAGCGAGGTTGCTAGGGCGAGTTTGTTGGGGCGAAGTTGCTGTTTGGTGGGATTCTGGTTGAGATGAGGGCCGACTTGTGGAGGTTCAGGTTGGGTTGGGGCTCGATGCGGGGAGGCAGCTCTCGGCTGAATACCTCGTTGATACTTGACGTAGCCGAGCTAGACTAGTCTGGTTAAATACGAATGTGTAAAGTGCACGTTGGTGACACAAGTCAGCAATGGCTCCGACGTGGCGGCGCCGGGATATAGTCGGCTGTTCCAAATACGGAAGCCTGCTTCCGTAGGTTACGTGCTGAATCGTAGTCTTGTATTGTACTTAACTACCGCAGCGGCAGAGTTAAACTGATGGAGAGATGGACGACGGATTCGGGAGCGGAGGGGTTCATAAGACTTGACTTATGAAGGTTAGATCAGCTGACGGGGCATCATCGGCAGCGGCATCAGCAGCACTATTGTTTGGCAGCAAGCAGGCAGCAAGCAAGCAAGGTTGCGAACAAGTTGTTACTGCATAACTACCTAATGAAGATAAGAGCTAATACAGTCCCAATTCCACGGAAATGACAAGGATAACCTCCCATGGCAAAACCGCGCTAGAGCTAATGCAGTCCTAATTCTACAGAAATGGTGTAGAGGCAGGGTGTTTTCCACCTTAACACTCTTAGCGTTGAGGATGTCCGTCGGGAGGTGCGCCTCCGGGGGGCGCCGTGAAGCCGGGGGGCGCCGTGAAGCCGGAGGGCGCTGTGAAGCTGGGGGGCAGCGGCGTATCGGCAGGAGCGGTACCGGGGAAACCGCTCGAGGAAGAGATTCCGGGGTAGATGGGCGGAGCGGTAGGAAGACCGGGAGGGCCACCAGGATACATGTGGAAAGCAGGGGCAAGTGTCTGCTGCTTGGGAATGATGTTGTGCATTTTACCTTCGGCGGCCAGCTTGCGTTCGGCCTCGTCGCCGTGACGCTCGCCATTTCCCTCCTTTTTATAAGCGTACTCGACAACGATGGCCTTGCTCAGGAGGTACTGGTTATTCATGGTAGCCTGGGCATTGTCGGTAGCCTCGAAGGAGTCGAAGCTCACGAAGCCGTAGCCCTTGGACATGTTGCTCTCGTCGCGGATGATGGTGGGCTGGCGCAGGATCTGGCCAAACTGGCTGAAGGTGTCGTATAGCATCTTCTCGTCAACTAGCGAGTCGAGCTTGCCGATGAATAGCTCGGCGCCGACCTCGACCTTCTTCTCCTCGTCGGCACTAGCTTTCTTGACGCGGATAGGCTTGCCCCAGACGCGGATGCCGTTGAGCACCTTAGAGGCGTACTCGGCCGAGGCAGGCGTCTCGAACTCGACGAAGCCGTAGCCGTGGTGGGTCTGAGAGATGCGGTCCCGGGGCATGTGCGCCTCGCGCACGCGGCCAACCTGGGTCATCAGCTCCATGAGCAGCGCGGGCGTGAAGCGCTCATCGATGTTGGCGACAAAGACAGTGGCGTCTTTGTCCTGTTTCTTTTCCCTGTCGAGTTGGTTGGGCGACCAGGCGCGTTACGTCAGTCGTGCTCACTCTTGCTCTAGGAGCGACTGGACAGAAGTGGGGGGACTGGACAGAAGTGGGGGGACTGGACAGAAGTGGGGGGGCTGGACAGAAGTGGACGAGAGGCTGAGAGGGACAGAAGTAGACGGGAGGCTGAGAGACCCTAGGCATACATACCAGCGTCTCAACGCCATTTGAGCTCGAGTCCAAGCAGAATCAAGTCCAAGCAGAACCGGCAAGTGCAAGATGCGCTCCAAGTGCAGCGCTCCAAGTGCAGCGCTCCAAGTGCAGCGCTCCAAGTGCGAGATACGCACTGCTTCTCTTTTCTCAGACGTGGTTTTGAGACGATTGCTGTGAGTGCGGTTGCGGATAATCCACAAGATGATTCAAGTGACGCAGCGAGAGTTTGAATTCGTGGCGTACCACGCGCGGCAGGCAGTTTGAGCTTCCACCCAAATCGCACTGTAATAATTCAGCTAGCACACACTGTGAGCACACACTGAGCAAGTGCACTTGCGTTATCTTGGGGCGGCCGGAGCGGAGTATCCTGCCCCCGGGACAGCATGAAAAGTAGGCCAATAAGGGCCTTAGTAGGTACATAGTAGGCTAATAGGGGCCCTTAGTAGCTACATAGTGTACCAAGTACCCTTAGTCAAATACGTTGCAAAAAGACATTTCTTGCGTCTAGCGCCGCCCTACCGAAACTCGGCGTCACAATGTTTACTCTGTCGGAGGAATTAAAGAACTGGAAGCCAACGAATATAAGTCTTCTTAGTCTTCTCTAGCACCTTCTGTTGCCTCCCGAGGACCCTGACTATAGGGTAGAGTCCCTGCAGCCTACGAGGTAGACTGCCGAGCAGAGCACTCACGGTTTAGGTAAGCGGCCTGTATCAGAGTTCTACAGACCTGTTGCAGTCACCTCACTCTGGACTGACGCTTCCTTCGCTGATGATACCCTTGATCGGAAGAGCTCTCAGGGCTACGTGCTGTCTAGCGGGCTATGGCCTAGGGCGAACAAATAGACCACCGTGACGACTTCAACCACTAGTTACGCCAGGCAGTCTACAGGAAAGAAATACGCGTCGAACATGTCTCCACGGCATGCATGCTCGCTGACGGGCTCACGAGACGCTGAAATGGAGCCATTCAGGCTTTCAGAGACCAAGTTGGTCTTGTTGACATGACGACCATGACGAGAAGCCAAAATGGCGGGACAAGAGTGGGTTATATCGGGATAGAGAGTTACACCGGATTGTACTTGGTGTGAGGTGTTTGGCTGTAGAAATGATAGCGGTATGCCTCTTACTGCGTTGTATCTCTACCCAGGAGACAGCCTGGTCATTTCCTAGCATAATCAAGACGTCTTCTCAACTCTGTCCTCTGCATGTTGCCTATTTCCTGCCAAGATTCGGGGCATTGTGGAATACAGCAATGCCTGAGCATCTTGACGCGGAAACACTAGTTTATCACAACCCCAACGCAAGAATTCAAGCCGCAAGGCCATAGACTTCATCAAAGAGGATGTCGGCATGTAATTGAAGAAACTACGAACCAAGCCAGCGTGCGGCCAGCACCCAGCACTGTTGACTGACCCCTGCAGATGAAGCCTCACGACCTGAGCCGGCTGTCGAAACCAGTGCAGATCAAGCCTCACGGCCCGAGCCAGCCGTACCGTCAGGAAGCTGCGTAGCAGGGGCCCCGATGAATCCTCGACAACCCCTCCCTCCTGCGAAGACCACCGCCCGGCGAATCCTCGACAACCCCTCTATCCCGCGAAGACCACCGCCCGCCGCTGGCTCCCCAGTGCCCGACAGCCGAGCCAGCAGCTCGCAGCCACAGCCAAAGGAACTGCTTCGCTCTATCCTTCAGCATGATTGAGCATGCCTTGTGGTGTAGCTGAGGTGGAATGCCGGCTCTCTCGCACAAGTCCACAGAGATATGCATCTCCGAGTCCGAGATTTCGTAGAGCCGCCTCGCAACTTTTCATGGCTGTCGCTATACATATTGACTAGGTCTGCCCACATACGTATATTATATTTGTTGAGCATGCCCGTGTATCGGTGATTACTCGACGAATCTCAGCTATCTACCTTAGGCGAAATATATCTAGTGGGGGGATGAATACAAATGAGTGACTGATGGTGAACACGGATGAGCGACTACGACGAGCTCCCTTGCCTTGTCCAAAAACCGACTCCTTTCCCTCCAAAACCCAAATGAGCCACGGTGAAAAGCGAACCTGCGTTGCCAGTTCACCACCTTGCGCTCTTCGGATGTCGTCTAGACAAGTTTATGTCCACCTACGCTCCTCGGATGTCGTCTAGACGAGCTGCATGTCCACCTACTACGCTCCTCAGATGTTGTCCAGAGCGAACTAGATACCCATCAGGCGTACTCCTCGTCCCTAATTGAGGATGGCTACCACCTTCTGGTAGAGGCGTGTAAAGTTCTGAGTACTTGGTAGAGCCAACTGCCAGGGCAAAATTCTGATAGCCGTAGTAGCACCAAAACTCAAATTCTAATGCTACATTGAGGCAACACCAGAATTTTTAGAGTCCAACTACTAAGGCGAAATCTCGACAACTAGAAAGGGTCGCTTTAGAGACAACCACAAACGTTATTTACCCGCCTTTCTTTCCAGGTTCCAGCTTGGTCCTTTTTCTTGGCCAACTTACCTCATATAACGTGTCACTTCATTTGGGCAGTGGCAGTGCTCGTGGAATGTAAGATGAGTACCGGAGTGGTAATTGTCACGACCAGGGCAAGGCATTGAGGTGAACTCAGTCCATTGGGTGCTATCGACGAAGATTCTAAACTGAGGAAGGAAAGAAGGAAAAGTCCAACAACGCGTCGCGTGCTCGCGAATAAGTTTTCATCTATCAGTGGGGTAGGTGGGGCCTCGAGGAGGCTTCTGATAGGCCTGGGGTTCTGGGCGGCTCTGGCTGCTTGAGGGCCAGTTTGGTGGACGGGTCCTCACAGTAATACCCTTCTTGTCTTGCGTGGCTTGTAGCTTGATATAGAATCATCCCGTCCCTCCTTCCCTAGCCATTGCCTGCGCCCTACGCTCGTCTCTGATAATTTCTCCTCACCTCCCGCTTCGCTGACTCTGCCCACACACAAGAGTCAAAAAGCCGCGGTATTAAGTTCCCAAAAAGTTTCTATTACAGTCGGCACACTATTGGCCGGGCAAAATAACATCAAAAACAACCAACTCGCTCTCCACGTATAAGCAGTCCTCCTATTTGGTCCTAGTTCTTATGATTAACCTTGGCGTCTAGGTTTTGAGTGTCCGTAGTTGAATTGAAATCTTTCCTAGTAGCGGTAGTGCTAGTAGCGGTCGTGCTAGTAGCGGTAATGTTAGTAGCGGTAGTGGCAGTAAGGTGTTGATGTTGATGCCGAGTATGGCGGTTATGATGATGACGGCTATGATGATGATGATAATGGAAAGACTGGAATTGTGTTAGTGGTGGACTCTCTTTATAGATATTTGCCTTCAGATATCGCGAATACCACTAACCGAGTTCGTGACTACGATTGCTTTAAGGTAGCAGATCTTGACAAACAGTTATAGCCGGCGTGTTATAACGAAACAGACGTTGTTATAAGGATGTCTCTCCGGCATGAGACCTGGTAGTTTGCTATATTGCTTTCCCGTTTGGAGCACGTAGATGGATGTCTATTGTTACAAACTCAGTATAATTTGTTGCAATTGAAACAGTCAGGGTGTTTGCTTGTTGCCGAACAGCCACCTGGCATTGACATCTTGCCATTCTCTCAACACACAGAGACCAGATTTATAATAAAAACTATTTTCTGAGTTTACAAAAGACCTTTGAAGCAGTTTGCCATGTCGGGAAGTTTGCAAGTTCCAGCTCCAATCCTTATCTTATAGAGCTTGATTATTGGGGCTTTGACCTGTCGGTAGGATCCCCCCATCTTGAACCTGCCAATTTCGACACAAAGGAAGCACACAAAGTCTTTCCAGAGGCCTGGAGTTACCTGTGCACTGACCAAGTCTGCTTCTCCGGTCAGAGGTTAGAAATTACCTCGCACTTCTTCAGATCAACTTCACCCTACATTAGTCGGACAACCTATTGTTGTCTCTTTTTCATAATATTCAGTACCTGTATTAAACTAGAGCTGAAAAGTGTCGACCTATGAAACTGCCATTTAGTCTTGTGACTATTTATCTAATAATCAGCCAATCTAATCTCTTTCTCTAACTATCTAGCTTATTATATACTGTAGGAATCACCAGGGTACCGGTACTGGAAACAGCATGGTGCGCTGCGCGCCGTAAGGTGGTGGTTCAAGTGATGGATTCGTTTGTGTCTGTCTTGTCTTTTTGTCTATCTGAACAGGTGGGCGTAGGCCAATATATATGCATCTGTCAGGCCCGCTCCTCCACAGACGTTGCTGTGGCCAGGAATGCGGAGCCGCATTCCTTGGATCAGCGCGTCATTCCAGTATGTTATTCCAACATATACCTATTCTTGCTTACCTTGCGATTGTCCTATTGTTGCCCTATTTCCGTCCCAACACATACCCAAGAATTTTAGAGCCGCCAAAATGCGTATGACCTCTTACCCATGCGAGGTACGGCGATGTATGAAAGGCGATGAATTGCTTATGGAAGTTAAAATTTATCAGCCCGCAGGCGGGAGATCTATGTGGCATGGACAAGGTAGATCCGGGGGGACTATTTGGTAGACCCGGCTGGGCCAGATTTTGGCCTGTGCCAGCACATCACCTTTCACTCACTTTGCCGCACTCAGTCCTGTCCGGCCGCTGTTTCGTCTCAATATGCGCCCACAAAAAATTAACGGTCGCCAAAAAGCGGCAGCCCTCTTTTAATTTCCAAATTCTTAACATTTTCACCTCTTTACACCACCACCTCTTCACACTACCGCCTCTCTACACTACCGCCTCTCCACACTACCGCCTCTCCATACTACCCCCTCTCTACACTACCGCGCCTGCCATCTACCTACCCGCTTTTTATCCACGACTTTTGTGTGACGTTATAACGCTTACCCCTGGCCATCTCATCTAATAAGATGTTTTTCGCGTGGATATATAATATGATCAACAAGCAGAGTAAGAAAGCCCCCCCCGCGCAGCCAGGCGAAAGTCGCTGGAACTGTCGCTAACCGGGCGCGAACAAAACCCTAGGCAAGCCAAACGGGAAATGCGCTGTAGCCGACGGACAGCAGCGCCAAATGGCCGCGGAGCTACTCAAGACAATTAAGCTGTCGCTGCCAGGAACCAGCAAGGCTGAGATCCGAGAGATCAAGAGCTGGATCATGAAGTATTCTCTTGCGGGTGAGTCTGGCCTTTGCCGCCTTCAAATCGCCTCGCGCAGCGGTGCTGACGAAATACTGAATAGTGGTCGAGAACCGCCCGGTCGAGGCCGACGTATACCACGAGCGACTGATGGGCCTGGCTGCGGCTACTACGCGCGGCTGCGCGTCTGGCGAAACCCCGGTCATTGACACTTGGGGTAGGTCAACTTTGCTAGTCCTCTAAACTCCCTTAAACTGTGAATCTAATGCTAACACGTGGTAGTCATGATCAAGTACCCTGAAATTTCTTGCGAGATTCTTGAACAAGGCTTTTTGGTGGTCCAGGGCGAGTCCGACAAAGAGGAGGAGCCGCTGGTGCGTTCTAACGACGCCTAGAGATACACGCGGGACCGGCCGCCAGATTGCAATTATTTCTCGGGGGTAGACGTCCGCAGATATGTGTGCAAAATTAGGGGACAAAGGTGGGATTAGAACAACAAAATATCGGGTTTGACATCGGCGCTAGTTAGGGATACACAAAAAGGAGCACAAAACGGGATGTGTAGATTTCTAGAATTTAGAGACCGTCTCATAGGCAGGAGAGCAGTGTATGTTGCTTACGCCTTGAAAGCGAGGTCGCTGTGATGCTTACACCTTGAAAGCAAGGTAGCTATTCTTGTCTAGAGGGGATACTAATAGGATAGCAAAATAAATGGAGGATCACATTGCCTGTAATGCTAGACTTGAAGTCAAAGACGCGCGGAAAATGTTGGAGACGACCCGATTTAGGAACCGACGAAGGGAGAAGGACAAAACAGGCTACAAAGTAGCTAGGGAGGAGGATTTACACAAAGAACCCTCAAATCTTGGTAACGAACGACCGGGAATTGGTGTATTAGTAAGCAAAAGGCGCTGCGTCACCCAGAGATTCAACAAGACAGAAAAAAAACGCCGCAACCCCGGCCCTCCCTGAAGTCCCTAATACCCCCATATTAGGTCGCTAGATAATGGATATGAGTAAGGGAGTTAGTCCGGGCACGAGAATGAGGTTCAGAAAGGTCTCTCGAGAAGTTAACGGACTTCAAGCCGAGTTGGTTTTGAAGCAGGCACGAATCAAAGCCCTAGAGGCCGAATTAGAACGCTTGAAGCCTAAGAAAAGAAGGGAAATTCCAAACCTGAATAAACGGTTCATGACTTTGGCTACCACACTACTGGGTAGCAAGGCTCCTGCAGAGTCTCAAGTTGAGGCTCAACTTGCGGCTCAAGCAGAGCCGCAAGAAAAAGAGGTAGATGAATAAGACAACGAGGATGACGCTGCAGATGACAACAATCTACCTGCAAGAATGACCAGATCAGGGCGTTCAACCAGGGTGCCGGAACAAGAGAAGGCAAAGGAGGTACCACCAGCCGCAGCACAGACAAGGCAAGGAGGCACCACCAGCCGCAGCACAGACAAGGCAAGGAGACATCACCAGCCGCAGCAGCACAACAAGAAGAAGGCAAACGATGCCCTCCCTGACGGCCGTCACCACCAGCTGCAGCACGAACAAGAAGGCCAAGGAGACACCATCAGGCCAGGAGACACCACCAGCCGCAGCACAGACAAGAAGGCAAGGAGAGAGAGAGAGGTCTGCGACGACACGGCTCCTCGCGGCTGAGTCACAATTACAGCCAGCCGCAGCAGCACGCACAAGAAGGCAAACGATATGCCCCCTGTTGCGGGGCTCAGCCCTAGAGTTAGCGTTCCAAACTTGCTACAGATTGTCACCACGACAGGTTACGACGCCCTACTGCTTCCAAAATTGAAGCCATCACCAAGCTGCTTTCTGCATTCGAGAGCCCATACTCGGGAGTCTAGTCCAGTTGATTGACCTACTCAGTATTTTCTAGGGCGCAGGTAACAAGCGGGGTCTGCGACCCGAACACAGGTAATCGAGCGGTTACTTTGGCTAGCACTGCGGAGCAACAGCTCTGCGGAACAAAGTCCTTCGAACTCGGAAGGTGGAGACGCCACCAACAAAGCCAACAAAGACCCGCAAGACTATTTACCTTCCCGACAGTGACTACGAGCCTGCCGAGGTCGAGGTTCTTGAGGATGGCACGATTGTTGAGGAGACACGCGACATTCCGCCACTCGGCACCATGAGACCTTCTGACAACTCTGAGGAGGAGTACTGGAAGAAAGTGCTGCTCTCGCCCACTGGTGATGAGACCCCTTTGGCTGGTTATAGCCCTATTAGAGACACTACTGCTGTAGACGAGGAGGACGGTCACGGCTCTGACGAGCCTCGTCCAAGTCGCTCACGGGCGTCTAGCAGTGCTTCGTCCGAGTTCACTGTCTACTCGACGTCTGAGGATGAAGGATATGCTCCCACTGAAGGGTATGTGTCCCGCCACAACTCCCCGTCCAACTCACCCCCAGGCTCTCCACTTACATCTGCGTCCACTCAGGTCGCCTCAACCACAGCTGTAAACCGGCCTCGTATCGTGGTCTCTCTACCAAGCCCGCCTCTGACAAAGCTCCGTCGCGGAAAAGCCCCAGAGACTCGACCTGAGCAGTCTCGACCTGAGCAGTCTCGACCTGAGAGACCTACACGACTGCCACTCGACACAAAGCCTCTGACCCATCAAGCCTGGCGCTCCTACACGTAGGGCACCTGCTTCAGCTGCGCCGGAGCCGGAGCCAGTCCTGGAACTAGTTCATATCCCCGAGGACGACTACGAGGTCGAGAACAGCGAGGATGATGACTACGGAGCAGCGGACCTCGGAGTTGTTGATACTTACATCGGCAGACAACACGGGTGACCACGACAAGAGCTGGGGGGAGTGCCTTGAATTCTTCAAGATTAACTCGGAGCAGTACGCTCGGCAAGAGGCGACTAAGGCGTCTGAGCGCAAGCGTGTGCTAATGAAGAAGTGGCCTAGAGTCAGCGTTGGGTACTTTGACTACTAGTTGTCTGCGAGGCTAAGTCTAAGCTTGACATGAAGACGTTCAAAATTCGCTTCTTCCCGGGGATTGTGATGCTTGACGAATTCTACGAGTACATTCAATCTAGTAGTGACCCCGACTCTGAGCACGTCCCCGTTGTTTCTTGGCTCATGGATGTCAGGGCCGGTGCCACTGGTCTACTTTGTGTCTGTTTGGCACCATATTCGGTGACGAGACAATCTCGGACCTGCGCCCTACCATCTCCCTCCTTGAGAAGGAGACCTAGAACGAGACTCATTTGACAGCCTCGCTACTCGTTACAATTCCCTCTCTACGTCGCAGAGCAACGGCGAGCTGGTTTCACCAGACGACATGCTCGAGTTCCGCCGCTCCCCGAAACACATTCTTTGGAAGATGATGGTGCGGCGCTTCGGCACGGATGAGTTCAGGGGTCGGAAGCTCACAAACATTGGCCTGCTCTGCGTCAACATTTCGCCTTGCTCCTAGCCGACATGCCAGTCCTTGAAGGAGAAAAAGGAGCTGCCTGACCTAGTGGGACAGCGCTCTTTGGGGGGGGAGGAGTTACCTCAACATTTACGACCTTCAGACTTTATTCTCGACGAAGTTGAGAAGAGCTTACCGTTACTGAGACTACCCCAGCCGCAGTAGCTGCGCTCGTGCCTGAGCAAAAGCGAGAGTGGCGTCTAACAGAGCACTCATGGTGGCGTACAAACACAGCAGTCATGGTAGCAGCTATGATCAATAACAGCCTCTCACCTCAGGTTCACAAGAGACTGTTAGCCTGAGGCTGGGATCTTCGCCATCAGGACCCCAGAGTCACCTATGACCTGATCAAGCACGTCAGGCGGGGGGCCTGACGCAGGAAGCCGTCATGGACTTTAATATCGAGTTTGTGAAGATTGACAGACCTTCTCACTGGTACTAGTCGTCATCTTGACTAGTACTAAAGTCTAACAGGTGTCACATACAACGCTGCATCAATTGAGAGCCAAAAAGGTGCTTGTATTCGGAAGGTTCAGAAAGGTGGGCATAACCTGAATACCATAGTTATGCGGCATTTGGCTGACACAGTCTAGGCTGTAAACGGTCTAGCATGTGCGCCACCTGCGCCCATATGTGGCTTAGATGCGGCTCCTTCCGACACTTGCAGGTTAGGGTACAGGGAGCAGGGCTTTTCGCACTCTTTCTTTCCTTTAATAATTTTCAAACAACTAGATCTGGGCTTGTCAAGTTTAGCCTTTTGATGGGCTTCCCGGTGTCACGTGTCACGACCAGGGCAAGGCATTGAGGTGAACTCAGTCCATTGGGTGCTATCGACGAAGATTCTAAACTGAGGAAGGAAAGAAGGAAAAGTCCAACAACGCGTCGCGTGCTCGCGAATAAGTTTTCATCTATCAGTGGGGTAGGTGGGGCCTCGAGGCGGCTTCTGATAGGCCCGGGGTTCTGGGCGGCTCTGGCTGCTTGAGGGCCAGTTTGGTGGACGGGTCCTCACAGACAACGCGTCGCGTGCTCGCGAATAAGTTTTCATCTATCAGTGGGGTAGGTGGGGCCTCGAGGAGGCTTCTGATAGGCCCGGGGGTTCTGGGCGGCTCTGGCTGCTTGAGGGCCAGTTTGGTGGACGGGTCCTCACAGAAGGCATCGCGACCTAGTTCGTTGTCCGAAGACAATGCGGCGTACTGTCAGGCCCGACGAGAGCGTCATATACAAGCTAATTAACCCCGACGTTGTCTATAATCATAACATCAAAGCTGTGAGGACCCGTCCACCAAACTGGCCCTCAAGCAGCCAGAGCCGCCCAGAACCCCCGGGCCTATCAGAAGCCTCCTCGAGGCCCCACCTACCCCACTGATAGATGAAAACTTATTCGCGAGCACGCGACGCGTTGTTGGACTTTTCCTTCTTTCCCTCCTCAGTTTAGAATCTTCGTCGATAGCACCAAATGGATTGAGTTCACCTTAATGCCTTGCCCTGGTCGTGACAAAAGCTATTCACAAAACTTAGCGTGCGAAGGTTTTCTGGGAAATTGCGGGTGTTATGTTTATATAAGCAAAGAAGGTGGCCCATGCATCAGCTTACATAGCGTAGGCACCACAACCTTAGCTTCTTAAAGAATTATCTTCTTTTCTTCTCTCTTTCCAAGATGGCATTAGGCACAACAATGGTAGCTGCGATAACAATATTGTAGCAACTCATACCATAGCATAATCAAGCTCGTTAGGCGCCGATGGGACGATTTTTGTCACGGCCGGCTTGGAATGAGGGCGGAACTCCTCTATTGGGCGCCATAGACGAAGATTCTAAACTAAAGGGAAAAGGGAAAAGAAGCTCAAAAGCCTCCCCTCGCGAGATTCTTCCAGGGCGTCTCAAGGTGGGGCTCTGGCTGGTCGGGTGGATCCACCCAACTGGCGTCTGATTAGTCAGAGCGTCTGGGAGGCCTGGAAGACCAGGCCCTCACAAGTAGTCTAAGCAGAGCTGTAGTCTTTTTTGCATTTTTGGCCCTATTACATAAGCGAATTCAACGAAGTCAGCTTCGCATTTTACTGCAGATTTGAACGATTTGAGCAAATCTACGGTCCTGAGCTTCAATTACCGCATTTGGAAGTGTGTTGACATTGGCGACGGCGGCGAGGTGCAATTGCTGTATAATTGCGTTGCCAGCGCGTAGAGCGGGGAAGACAGCGAATGTGGTAATTTTAGCTGTAACGCTTAGGCGCCTATGTACCTACAGTATATGGGGACATTTTAGCAGTCGGAGTATACGCACACAATTTATAATTTAATATTCGTTTCGCCGACCGCGCAACCCGTCGCTCCCGCAGGGCAATTCGCGAAAGACGGACAATCGACGACTCGCGCCAAAGACTTTGGCAGCGGCCCCCTCAAGCTCTAAACCGACCCCTCCGTCAACTAGAGCGTGCGCATCATCGCCGACGACGACCGCTTCGTCGCCGACGCCGACCGCTTCGTCGCCGACGCCAACCACTTCATCCGCCAGAGAGCGCCAAGGCCGATGGAGGAGGTCCAATGGAGCGCGCTATGAGCACCGTCTTTGATAGTAACACGTCGAAGCCGGCCATCTCGTCTTTCATCTCTACGTGAGCGGGCAGCTTTGATAGTATTCCCAGTCTCCCTTGCCGGTATTCTCACGCACTCGAAATTTGGGGCTGACCTGTGAGATGATAGGGAGATCGGGCTTGAGGCTGTCGACGGCCGCCGCACGACCGCTACCGGCACTGGCAGTCGGCGGGCGCCGTGCTGTTCGTCGGCGCTGTCGCCCGCGGCGTGCCGGCAAGGGCGTGTCGTTACGCCGCTCTGTCAGGTAAATGCCGATTACCACAGGTCGGGGTCGGCGGAATAGAGGCAACTCTCAGAGGAACAACCTTCTTCCGCGGCAGCCTCTTGATCCTCTATATCTCGTTTCGACAGTAACAAGAACAACAGCGCCTGCAATAGCGCCGACGGGATCGATGACGTAGCGAGGATGTTCTTTGAGCTCGCCGCGACGTACCTAGGCCTATTCTCGAATCGAGTAGACGTGAGTTCCCCTACAATATACTGCCGTTGGAATTCGTCGTTGTTTAGGAGGAGCAACTTTACTAGCCCTAAGTAATTTCGTATATCGTAACGTATCAGAGCTGACGAGCAATGGAGCCGACGTCGTATCCCGACGGTAGCACGAGCCGGCTCGGCGGCTTCTGCTCGAGCGGCGAGCCCGCCGGCGCCACGTCGCCGATCCCTACCACCACTTAAGCCTGCGGCGGCGGCGGGCGTGGTCGACGCCCTTACCCAGTTAGACGTAGGCTCTCTAGACTCCAGGCGCGCCTCTTACTCGTTCTTTTCGCTTCTCCATGCCTAGCTACCGCAGGAGACGTCGACTTAGATAATAGAGAGTCGCTTCACTTTTAACCTTCTTCAACCGGACTGTCACAGTTCTGGGTCGGTGTCACGGTTCTTGGTCGGCTTGGGAAAACGTTCCCCCAATATAATACCAGCCTCCCCCCATCACGCCTAGATGCCACCACCTTCAACTCGCGGCTACAGTACGAGCCGGCAGTGGCTACAGTACGAGCCGGCAGTGGCTACAGCACAAGCCGGCAGCCATTACGCTTCCTACGCCGCCACCACGGGCGTGCCGCGGTTAGTCGGCAGGCCCGTGGCGCTCGCGCTGTCGTAGTGGAAGATAGCCGCCGGGAACGGGCTCTCGGGTCTTCGATGATATGCCTGCCTCCACCGTCGATGTCACGGCCCTCTCGAGAAGGCAGCGCTGTGGGAGGGGAGCTTGCGATCGACAGCTTGTGTAATTTTGAGACGTGTTGCTGACCGGCGATCGTCTTCGCCGAGGCGTCCGCGTAGCTGATCCTAGAAATCGCCGCCTCGTGCAGTTTGCAACTGATATATATGGGGATTCCTCATCGTTCTAATACTTCTCGCTATGCTTATCAAAGGAAATGAAGAGGAAAGAGAGAGAGAGGCAATACCCACCACGTCGACAGCGCCAGGATCCAGCGCGGCGTCAGCGCCAGCAGAGACCTTGGTGGCGAACTCGAAGGGCACCCCGTACAGGAAGCACATGCTAGACCAAATCTCAATTAATTTCGTTGCTTCCCAACTATCAAACTGACAGCCCAGCACAGCCTGTTGAGTAGGTACCTAGGCTGTACCTGATATCTGATACTGGCTATCAATCGGCGGTTGCGAACAGCAGCCCGCCCCCTGTTTACGTTGTTCAGCGCAGCGGAGAGTGCCAGGGTTCTTTGTTCGATAACAGCTGAGTTAAATACCTACAGCCTCCACTGCACAGGAAACAAACACCACAGGAAGAATGGATTGTTTACTTCCGAGTGTTACCAGTACCTGTATCCTGCTACAGAATGCCTGTAAGCCAACATAGAGGGCCACCACGTACACTGACTGATACAGCATGCCTGTAACTTGACACAGAGGGCTAAGATGGAGAGTATTAAACTCGTCGGCCGCGGGGGCCAGACTTGGACTTGGATCACACCCTCCCCCCTTCATCACGCAGGCCCCCCCTTCATCACGCAGACCAGAAACCCTTTGGTTGGATGCTATTGTCTCCCACCAGATACTATCACGTTGGAGCTATTGTCCTCGCAGGACGCAGAACTGTCTCGCAAACCCCTTCAGACAAAAACTAGACCCGGAGCAAGCATGGCTAAGAACAACAGCCCACGCAAGAACCGCCCACGCAAGGCAAGCCAGTCCAAGTCTACTCGCGGCACTAGCCTCAAGCAGCAGGCCCCCGTGGGGATGGCGAAAGGCAAGCCTCGCTCTGACAAGCTCGTCGGAGCTACCAACCTTCTTGGCACCTTGTTCGTCGGCATGCTCCTCCACAAAGCCGTGACATACCTCGCCGGAAACGACAGTTGGGTATATTGGTTCCTCGTTCTCTTCACCTGGCGATACCTACGCCTGGTCATCAACCTTGCTGGCTTTTGGAGCTACCAAGCGTCGCCTATACTCGCCACCCACACTTACACGCCAAACAAGGACGTCACGGTCATCGTCCCGACCATCGATCCCGGCCAGGAATTCGAAGACTGCGTACTGTCGATTGCACGAAACTACCCAGCCAAGATCATCATCGCCACAGTAGGCAATGTACTCCGTACCAAAGTGTTGGCGGCCATAAAGCCTATGGAAGAGGCGTACCAAAACACCAAATTCGAGGTTTTGACGACATATGTGCCAAACAAGAGAGCGCAAGTAGCGAACGCCGCGCGCGTAGTCAAGACAAACATCACCGTCATGGTCGACGACCACGTCTTCTGGGGGCACAAGATGCTCGAGTCACTGCTACTCCCGTTTGAGGAGGACCTGAACGTTGGCCTAGTTGGCACCAACAAGCGGGCGCGGCGTATGAACGGACTGGGCACGTGGCAGCGTATCTGGAACACGCTCGGAGCGCTGTACCTGGAGCGCCATAATTTTGAGATTCGGGCGACCAACACCATCGACGGCGGCGTCTTTGTCGTCTCGACACGCACGTGCGCCATCCTGACCGACATTTTGCACCACGACGATTTCCTACCCGGCTTCGAGAACGAGAGGTTCCTGCTCGGCTGGCTCGGGCCCCTCAGCCCCGACGACGACAACTATGTCACGCGCTTCGTGGTGCGCCACAACTTCGGCATCAAGATTCAGTACACGCCCGATACCCTCATGGAGACGACGGTCGGTGTGGCCTCCCCGCCGTACCGAAAGTTTCTCGGCCAGTGCCGCCGCTGGTCCCGCACGACGTGGCGATCCAACGCGTGCAGCCTGTTCACGGACCGCTCTATCTACATCAGCCAGCCCTATTGCGTCTACGCCGTCTTCTTGACCTCGTTGACCAACTTTGCCGCCGTTATTGACCCGGCCCTGGTATACCTACTAAAGCAGTCGCTGTGGTTTGCGGCCTATCCAAAGCTCGCCATAGGCAGTCTGGTCGCCTGGATCCTACTTTCGAAGGCGGTCAAGGTCTTTGCTTACTTCCGGCGGCACCCGCAGGATATCTGGCTGTTCCCGGTCCAGGTGTGCTGGGGCTACTTCCACAGCCTGATCAAGCTTTGGGCGCTGCTCACCTTCTGGGACGGCGCGTGGAGCGGTCGAAACCTCAGCGCGGTCCCGGTTGACAAGGGCCGCAGAAGCCAGTCTACATCGCCGTGAAAAGAAAAGATGAGAAGGATAGGAAAGAGAACATGTAAGAGAACATGTAGGAAGGAACATGATGGTTCAGGTATGGCCTTTCAGTAACTATTCTGATGGGAAGGATGGGGGAAGGATGGAAAGGAAAACATGCAGGAGCATGATGGTTAGAGTATGGCTTTTTCAGTAACTAGACCCAGACATAGATAGGGCAACCAGGAGTCAATTGGGACAATTAAGGAACAACCTTGCTCATGTTACCACAAAGTGAATTAAATATATAGAAAAAAAAACCCTCCTCGCATAATGGAGCTAATGTCACGAATCTCTATAGATTCCCTGTAGTTATGCACAAAGGTGGGGCATGCACTTTTAGCGCGAGCCAATCAGGAGCGTTCCAGGATTCCGAGCTCTGGAGCTCGGGGACGCAGGACAGGTCCGGTCGGGCGGTGACCCGGACGCGGGACCACGGGACAACGGGACAACGGAACCACTGTTATTGGTTACGTAGATAGATATATACGACGATTGTGTCCACGGTCTTAGATAGTTCTTGCTTGGTTCTTCAAGCAAGCAATACACATTCACTGCACTCATACACTTTGAGTGGCATTCCGATTTGACTGTATTACCCGTGCGATAGGAGCTTGCCCTTTGTTCTATCTTCATAATTACCAACCCCAGCATTCTGTGGAGCCCGTGCTCCCTTACAGACAGACGACCCTGACAGTCGAGTGGTTTGTAATAGCTAACTGAGCTAACATGATTAAACCCCAAAGGCACGAAACACGGCAGAAGAGTTTGTAGGTTCCGCTAATAATAGGCGCAGCCTCTGTTAATAATAGAATACAATCATTTCCTTCTTTAAATACCTATTCATCTCAGCACATATAATTAAACATCGACGACAGCCGAGAGCTCATCCAGGCTTTCCAGACGTGGTGTCGGCACCGCGGTCGTGCAGCTTGTAGAGCGTGAACGACTCGGGTATACCGCCAACACCAGTGGCTCCGCGGGGAGCTGGTTGGGCCAGTTTTGGCAACTCGTACTACTATTTGACACATTGAGCTACACGTAACCGTATCGAAGTCGTGGAAGGCCGTATTGACGTACTGCCGGCCGCCAGAGATCCAGCCGACGTACGCGTAGCAGATCTGCCTGATCTCGTCAACGGCTTCGTCTGCGCTCTAGGCCTTGTCTTGTCGACTTCTGAGAGCGCGGCGGGGAGCGAGGGTACCGCCGCCGACGGCAAGACAGAGCCGCCGCTGCTCTTCTGTATCCCGCAGTTTCAGGTAACGGGTTGCCCCTTATATATTCGCACCTCATCACCACTTGTACGTCCGTAGCTTATCGCACATACGTTACACCTCATCGCCCCTTATATGTTCGCACCTCATTGCCACTTTGTTGGAACGCTCTAGTCAGCCACAGATGTGGCGGTGGAGGGGCAAGTAGCCACATGTGGCTGTGGAGAGGCAGGGGGCAGGGCCACTGAACCTAAATAAGTGGCCTACGGTGTAAGGAAAGGGCACCCCAAACACCAGCCCCGCGCACAGGGTGCGTGCTCACCACATGTTACCAACTGGCCGGAACACTGCCAGTTGGCACAAGCCACTACGCCACGCCATGGCGCCCCGGGCCTGAGCCCCTGAGCACGTATATAAACAGTGGCCCTCGCCCACCTTCCTTTGCGAGGGCCAGGTTGAAGTCTCACACCAATACTACTCATTGTGTAAGAGAAGGTAGGTACGCCTGATCAAGGTGGTCACAATGCAGGCAAGAAGGTAGGGGAGCAATGACTTGTATTGGTGTAAGACTTCAACCTGGCCCTCGCAAAGGAAGATGGGCGAGGGCCATTGTTTATATACCTGCTTAGGGGTTCGGCCCGGGCATCAGTCTGCGGTCGTGGCGCCACGGCGTAGCGTATGCCAGCTGGCAGTGTTCTAGCCAGTTGGTGACAAGTGGTGGGCGCGCACCCTGTGCGCGCAGTTGGTGTTTGGGGTGTCCTTTTCCTTACACATTGCTCGCTCACCTTCTTACCTGAATTGTGATCACCTTGATCCGGCGTATCTGCCTTCTCTCACATACGGCCACTTCCACCTTCCTTCTTAGAGATACACATAGACAACGAAATCCAACACTTGAACCACCAGTATACGGCGCGCAGCGCGCCCTGTTGATTCCAGTACCGGTACCTGGTGATTCCAACACACTTGCACGTTCGCAGCTCATTTGTCGGTCACCATTATCGAGATCGGCGTGGATGGCGACAGCGACGGCAACGGCGACGGCGACAGCGACGACGACGACAACCCTGGCGCACGCCATCCAAGCTTCCAAGAGCCCAGGCGCCTAGAACGAGACTCCCAAAACGGACAAGAGGGCCTTTTGCGACGCGTCTTGACGGCGAACTTAATGGCCATAGCTGGTTATCCGCAAGGTGCGGCGGCGTTCTGGCCGGTTTATTCGGCCGCCGAAGCAAACAGAGCCGCAGATCCGCTGCTGCAGCCATCGCCAAGCATATTGGTCACGGTATCCTAATAGTTTATAATTATCTCTCTACATTTATTTTTATTTTTATTTTTCCCAATTTCTTTACCTTTTAATTCTTTTAATGTTTTATTTTATTTTTTTTAATTTTTTTAACATATTCTTTATTTCTTTCTATTTTTGCACTCTGGTGAAGCGGTAGTAGTTCATTAGTTTGGGCTTCGTAGGAAGCTTGGCTCATGCAGGTCAGTGAAAAGGGGGTTACAGAGCACTGGGTGGTGGTAAGACTGCGCGGTAGTATTTAATTATTGGGGAGAAAGCGGCCAATGGGACCGCGGACCAAGGCTGTCGCTCGCTCCCTGTGGTGTAGTTGACTTCGGGATCGCACTTCACCAAAAGACACTCGGGTACGGCCGTAGGAGTGTAATCGGGCATTCTATTAGAAAACTCGTCATCGTCACTCCCCAGCGACTCGTGGCGTAGGGGCCAAAGAAAGCAAGACGCAGGGGCCCAAGAAAGCGAAGACGGCACTGTTCACTGTTACCTACGGCCAGCCTTCTAGAAGTTCCATTCTGCGACTAATGCTAGGCTGTGACTGAACTTTGAACGCAGAGTCGGCGTCGGGTCAAGTTTGAGACAACTGAACGGAAAAAGCAATCGTTTGCCCTGGAGGGTGGCTTAGACAGTGATTATGATAGCTTAAGATTGTTCAGTCTTTATCGTTCCTGCATTCAAGGGCTCCTGACAAAGTTCAGGTCTCAACCACGCCCAGGTCCAAGATGTGCTCACCACGCTCGTATTCGGGAAGTTCAACAAGCAGAGACTAGGTCAACGAGCTACGAGTTGCGCAGTTCAGCAGTTACAGTGGTTGCTACCCCCTGGGCAAGATCAAACAGAGACAGCAGACAAGGTCAGGTCTCGACCAGCCGGTCGGATGTGTTCACCACGCTCGTGTTCGGCAAGGTCAAGCAGAGACATCAACTAGCTAAGTGCAGCCTAGGCAACTTGTATAATAGTTGACGGTAGATAAGACGGCAGACAAGGTCAGGTCGAGGCTGGCCTACTGTCCTGAGTTCTCCCTAGCTGACTCCCTGGCTGACCCCGTGGCTGACCCCCTAGCCCACCGTCCTAAGTTCTTCCTAGCCCACCGCCTGGTTCCCCCTGGCCTTCCCCCCCGGCCCACCGCTACTACACGCCTGACGTGGCGGCAGCCGAGGGGCTTGGGTTCGTCGTGGCCGCCACCGCCGTGCTCTGGGTCCTGGGGATGTACTAGGTCGGCCTCAACCTGTCGCTGTGCTTTGCCTCGCTCGGCTTCTCCGACGTCGGGTCCATTGGCGGCAGCCAAGGTCAGCGTGGTATCGAGAGTAAGCAGCAGAGACTTCTCGTATTAGATCTAATAGTCTTACAATATAGGCACATGCGCCGTCTCTGGAGACATACTAAGAGCTTGAAACAGGGTAATTAGCGGTAGTGGCAGATTCTTACTAGGTAGCTACGTATTAAGGAACGTAAGCTAGTTCTTGCCTAGAAGATCAGTAAGCAAGGTGGAAATGGCAATTCCGATCTTTTGGGATACGGGACTGCCATCTCCTCTATCCGCAAAATCGAGCGCTTCTACAGAGAGTTCTGAAGAGAGGTCTATTCCGTTATCGCTTTCTACATCCAGGAACGAATGCTCGGCGCTGAGACGCGGAGCTAGAGCTATCGGCAAAGTACTTCTAGGCGGAATCTTATCTAGACTCTCCGTCCTCTGTGTGAATATAGTCAAATACAAAAGGCATGTCACGACCAGGGCAAGGCATTGAGGTGAACTCAGTCCATTGGGTGCTATCGACGAAGATTCTAAACTAAGGAGGGAAAGAAGGAAAAGTCCGACAACGCGTCGCGTGCTCGCGAATAAGTTTTCATCTATCAGTGGGGTAGGTGGGGCCTCAAGGAGGCTTCTGATAGGCCTGGGGGTTCTGGGCGGCTCTGGCTGCTTGAGGGCCAGTTTGGTAGACGGGTCCTCACAGCACTGGCGTAGCGAACTGATCGGACTCCAAACCAATCTGCCGTTTACCGTCTTCTCCGATAACGATGCGCTGAAATACTTCGCTACCAAGAGACTGCTTAATATTAGGCAGACAAGATGGGCTGAGGAACTGGCTGACTTCCACTTCTGTATCGAATACTGGCTAGGCGCCCTTAACGCTGCAGCCGACGCGTTAACAAGACGTACATATGAGCTCAAGACCCAAAAAGAGCGCTAAATGGCCCACCGAACCGTACAGATGTTCCAGGAACAAGCGGACGGTAGTGTTACGATCCTGGCACAGGTGTGCAGGAGGCGCCTTGAGCCCCCCTGCAGATTGGCTGAGGCAGCCAGGTGGGGTAGACCCACCTAGGGGCTGGTGCAGCCAACCAGGAGGTAGTCAGTTACGACGAGCCGCCAAGGCCCAACTGACCACCACTGGCAGGACGGTCAACCAGTCAGGAAGCGGTCAGTGTGATCAGTGCAATCAGTGTAGACTGATCGCAGTGATTGCTCTGACTTTTGGAGAAGGACTCTGATTGGTCCGCCTTAAATAGATATATACGACGACCGTAGCCACGGTCTTAGATAGTTCTTGCTCGGTTCTTCAAGCAAGCAATACACATTCACTGCACTCATACACTTTGAGTGGCATTCCGATTTGACTGTATTACCCGTGCGATAGGAGCTTGCCCTTTGTTCTATCTCCATAATTACCAACCCCAGCATCCTGTGGAGCCCGTGCTCCCTTACAGACAGACGACCCTAACAGTCGAGTGGTTTGTAATAGGTAGCCTAATTATGTCCCTGGATTGTAAGACATTTGTGCAAGAAATTACACCAGTCCTAGCCATAGTCAAGGCAGTGGAGAGCGATGAGCCGAGAGAAAGCCAGAGACAGAAGATCGAGCTCTCCCTTCTGGAGGGACCTCCGGAGACCTCCGGCCACGCGCTGATCGACCAATTGCTAGACTTTAATGAGAATAGCGAGTCTTTATTAATCTACCGGGAGAGAGCATTATTGGAGGAAGAAACCGAGCCCTCAATTACCCAAGGGGGGTTACTCCTGAGAGAAAGAAAGCTGGTGATCCCTGATGAGGAGAACCTACGGACTAAGGTCATTGACGACATCTAATCCAGGCTCGCTATAGCCTACCCCGGCCGAAATAAAACCAGGAGACTCGTGAAGGACGCTATTGGTGGGCCGGAATGGGAGCGTATATCAACAGATTCGTAGCAAACTGTCAATGCAAATCGCCGAAAACTGTACACGATAAAACCCCTAGCCTGTTACACCTAATACCGGCCTCCCTACGGGTATGGAAGGCCCTAGTTGTGGATTTCAAGGAGATGCCGAAGGATCGGGACGGGTTCGATAACTGTTGAAATAACATACTGGAATGACGCGCTGATCCAAGGAATGCGGCTCCGCATTCCTGGCCACAGCAACGTCTGTGGAGAAGCGAGCCTGACAGATGCATATATATTGGCCTACGCCCACCTGTTCAGATAGACAAAGAGACAAGACAGACACAAACGAATCCATCACTTGAACCACCACCTTACGGCGCGCAGCGCGCCATGCTGTTTCCAGTACCGGTACCCTGGTGATTCCTACAATAACTTATTTACGGTAATCGACAGACTCAGCAAATTATCATGGTGCACCCCGTGCCATAGAACAGCAACAGCCGAAGACGCCGCGAAGATGTACGACATCGGACCATTTAGGATCTTCGGCTTACCACAAGAAATCATCAGCGATAGAGGGCCACAGTTCGCGTCAGACTTCACCGACGAGATGTCCAAGATTATGGGAATACGTTAGAAGCTCTCATCTTCAGGGAACAAAAGACCGCAGGACAGGTGGTTTCTTTCCCTATTTGCCCTAAACCTGTACCCGCACCATGCTGCCTACTAGCAGCTCCGAGGACAAGACGCTCCGCCGCTTTTTGCCGTGTAAACGCCAAGCATCCTGCAAGCCACTATGGTATCCCATAAACTCCTTAATTCTTCCCAGCAAGTCACCCATTTCTCTCTGATAAATATCGCCTCCACTATATCGTAGCTTTGGGGAGCTTGGGCTGTTCAAGGTGCGGCATTCTCGTGCACCGCACGCTTTACTCTGCGTTCGTACTCGGCTCGATCCTTCTTGAAAAGGTTATGAGCTTCCGCCTGGGCAGGTGACTCGGGGTTGGGGTCGTTGAGCAGGTCCTGTACGCCGAGAAGGATCTGCTTAACCGTAATAGCCGGATTCCAGGCCTCCTCCTCGTTCAGGATAGAGAGGCAGACAGTACCCGTTGGGTAGACATTAGGATGGAAGAGAGGAGGTACAAATTTGCCTGCATAGCGAAGAGAAGCATGTTAATCTCGTGACCTGGCTGTAGTGACGTGTTTCAGTACGGAGTAGCTTTCGATTTGACTTACACTTGGGAGGTTTCGTGGGGTATACTGCATGGCGAGTAGGAATGATCAGTTAGCAAGATCCTTAACGCCCAGCCAAAGCCGGCGGGCGGGCAAAGGCGAGATCGAGGTGTGAACATACCATCGGGGAACGTGACCGTCATTCTGAATAGGCCTCCTTCCCAGATCGTCTTCTCTTTGCCGGGGATTCCGCACTCCCAAACTTTTAGATCGAGCACACCCTGGGAATTCTTTTGCGGTCGGGCAAAGAAGCCAAAGGGGTGGTCTTTGCGCCACTGCTTTCTGTGCGGTGGCACACGCGGAGTTAGCAAGACTATATCACGGAGAGAGGCATAGACAGACAAAAGTAGAAGCAGAAGTAGAAGCTGAAAGAGAAAGGGCGGGCGCGCCGCGCAAGGCCTCCGGAGGGTGGGCGTGTGTCGCACTTACCGCTCTTCGCGTAGGCGGTTTTGACACAGCGCCATGGTTCGTTCGTCTGCAGTGGGCAGAAAGCAACCGTTGGTTGAGCAATTTGCTGGAGATTTATTTGTACGGGGACCCGAGGGCACCACTAGACGTAGGCCGACGCAGTGATCGGTGCCGAGAGAGTGGGGGCGCGGCTGAAGTTGTAGTCACGGGAGGACGACAGGCGTAGAGGAAGATGTGAGGAGAAAGGCCCGAGGCAGGTCAGATATAGAATCCGCGACACGATAGGTCGAGTGTGGAGAGAATGGAGGTTGCGTTGCGCCAAGAAAGATGAGTTGAGTGAGGCCTTGGGCGCGGGCCTTGTGTTGTGGTGACAAAATGTGTGTTGCATATTTTTGTGAGCTAACTCTAGGAGGGTTAAATGTGTGGGCGAGAACCCCAGTGCGGGCTGCTTACCCAGGCTTTACCTAAGCAGAGCTAAGCTCCGCAACACCTTGTCTAGGTTGTTCAACTCTTGCAGGTTGTCGGTCAAAGGCGTTCATGCGATTCTCAGAAATTCTGCTGGCCCGAAGACGCAGGTTGCTGCTGTGCCCCAAAACGGGTGAGCAGCTATTGTTATGTAATAATGCCCTCCAGACGGAATTTTGCCATCAACTAGGCCACCAACGATAATCGGCCCCTATAGAGGCCTTGATGCCTACATTGTTGCCTAATAACAGTCATTTGGTCAAAGGATAAATAACAGTCATTTGGTCAAAGGATAAATAACAGTCATTTGGTCAAAGGATAAATAAGGCGTTCTTTTGTTTCATTTTTACCAAGAATACACAGACACTGGAAGACACTTGAATTGAGCTGCATTGTGCACAACACTTTCCTGCAGGCCTTTCTCATGGCACACTAGTGTTGCCTCTTCGATGTGGGCAGGCAACGCCGTGCCACCTCTATGGCGCTCTCGGCGGTTTCAGCCGCGGGTTTGACAACGACCTAGAAAAGGTGCGAAGACGAGAGTCTTGGTGCATGTGTGTGGTGGGTGGGCGGGTGGCGTGGCGTGGGTGCGGTTGGGAGCGCACCTCTGTTGTCTCTCTTGTAAGACGGGTTGCTGTGTACTATACCATGATATTTCAAGCATATTGTTCATCTGATATCAGGTCGGATTAAACTGTCTCGTTGGAGCAAACCAGACAGGCTTCGGGGTGTTTTTCTTAACCACCTTTTGTTTGCAATTCGGGCAAGGGCAGTGCGCCTAGGACAAGGGACAAGAAAGAGATCTAACAGGTAGCCAAAGCATCCTAAAACCCGTGTCTATATCTAGATACGAATATCTACCTACCTGATAGTGAACACGGAGCTGAATTCATGTTTGCTATCACCGAGGGCAGCCAACGCCGCAGACATAGATGGAAAGCGCTTCCGCATCGTATCATGTATGTACAATACAAGTCCCTGCCGTATTCTTTTCCAGTTACCGTAATGAGATATCCACTGCGACGGGAGGTGCATATGGGCGGTGCATGCTGCCGCGTCGGCCCAACCGCGAGGCGGTGTCAGGCAAGGCGTTCGTCGGGCTTTTTCTGTCAGAAGAAGGTGCGCCACGTGACGTAATTGATCATTTCCGGCCACAATGTGGCCTGATCTACATTTTGGAACAAAGGCTTCATTTTCATCTAAGTAGCAGCGCACCTAGGCTATACAGGCCGCTCTTCTTCTTCTTAATACAAGCACTCTTTTCACGACGTTTTCTTGCACCGTTGTATGCGACATCTTCCAGCCGAACGCGTCGCCGACCCGACCGATGCCGCCCAGCACCTTGTCGACGAGCGCCTTAGCCATGCCCTGACCGCGCCTCGAGCGACCGCCGCCGCTAGAGCTGGCCACGCCTAGCCTCGAGCCCCCTACTCCCGGCCCCGATCCGAGCGGCTCGCTGCTACCCATAGTAGGCAGGACGTTGTCGCTCCCTTACAGGCTGACGAACAGGGCGAAAGGCACGAGCCACACGCAGATGCCGAAGTAGGAGGCGATCTGGGTGAAGGAAGGGATGTTGCTGGGGGTGTCGTAGTACGAGGCCATGTTCTGGTAGGCGCGGTCCTAGTGGTCCGAGAAGTGCTTGAACTAGACGTAGTGGTTGAGGAGGACAAGGACTGCGAAGAGTGTGTCAGCAAGGGCGGGGATTCGTCTCGTGTAGGCTGTCTATTCGAAGACTGACTAGCGCAGACAGTATTGTGGCAGTACTAACCACAGGACGCCGAGCGGGTCGGACAGCTTGACGTAGGGGAAGCGGCGCATGTTGCCGAGGTAGACGAGGTGCGAGACGATGCTGAGCAGGGTCAGGGAGAAGGGGAAGCGGTCGACGACGCAGAGCACCAGGTGCAGGCCCATGATGGAGTAGATGAGGCGCGACAGGAACCGCTTGGCTAGCACTGTGTGCTCCTCAACTAGCTCCGAGAGGTAGTAGAGTCCCGACGCTGTGTCACATTGTCAGCAGGCCAGCGTGCCACTATTCGGAGCTTGGATTCGAGAGAAAGTACGTACCTATGGCCACCGTCAAGAAGTAGAAGCCCATGACGGGCCCGAGGTAGCCGACAAGCAGAAGGATCCACATCTTGGCTGCTGAGCTGTGTGTCGCTGCTCTGTCGCTCGATTACTCGGTGGGCATAGCAAGACGGACGGCAGCCGTAATCGTGTAATCCGTAGTGTTGTGAGTGGCAGCTTGGTTTGGCGTTGTCGGATAGAATGGCCCAAGTATCCGTACCTGCGCTGCCGTCGTTAGAACGTGTCCAATTAAGCTAAGCTACGCCATTTGTCCCATTACACTAAAAGGGATAGGGGGCCAAAAGCGCGTCTTAGTAGGGGTTTAGCGTGTCTACCCTCGCCGAGATTTTAGGCACCGGGAACGTGTGGCGGGGTTACCTGCCTCAACCTGCCTCGAGGGATTGATGTTACGAATCCTTGTCGTAATGCACAGTAGTGGGGCACGCTCTGTTTGGGGTAGACCAATCAGGAGTGTCCCGTGAAAGGGACCAATCAGAGGTGTCCCCGGGGCCCGAGGGTCGGGACCGCTTGAGGTCGGGCACGCGGGACAGTGTCCTGCGTGGCCGGCGTCCCGGGACCTCCCTCGGCCGGGACCGCGGGACAGCGGGACCCGCTGTAATTGGTCCAGTAGTTAGATATATACAACGACCGTAGCCACGGTCCTAGAATAGTTCTTGTTTGGTTCTTCAAGCAAGCAATACACATTCACTGCACTCATACACTTTGAGTGGCATTCCGATTTGACTGTATTACCCGTGCGATAGGAGCTTGCCCTTTGTTCTATCTTCATAATTACCAACCCCAGCATTTAGTGGAGCCCGTGCTCCCTTACAGATAGACGACCCTAACAGTCGAGTGGTTTGTAATAATTGAGCGTGGGCATCTGGCTACCAATTGTCCAACTCCCAAAAGTATTCCGTCGACCTCTTCAACCGCCGCAATGAGAGTTTGTTCTCTGGGTGCCGGGCTCTAGCTCTGCGGCCAACGCTCCCAAGCTCATCATTGGCAATGCGATGGAGAGTAGCGGCTCCAAGGCCTTTTCCCAGATCGCCCGACTTCCTCTCGTCCCCTCCCCCGACAAGAGCGACCTCTGGCTCCTCGGCCCCGAGTCTGTATCGCCGCCGCTAGCAGAAGGCGTCTACCACTACTGGTTCGAAGTCGACGACACCTCCCCGGAGAGCCATGGCACCCTTTTAGTCTCTGATACCTTCGCATTCGCCGTCAACTACGGCGTGGCCAACACCGCGGAGCCCAGTGTGCCGCCACAGCCCGGCTCTGTCGTCAGGCTCCGCGACGGCAAGCTCTGGCCCTGCGACGTCGACGGCGCCGATCCTCCACCCCCTGCCGTTCCGAGCCTGGCCGCTCTTCCAAGCAACTACCACCTGGTCATCTACGAACTCCCAACCTCCTGGACCAAGATTGGCAACGACAATCGCGGCGTCGATAAAGAGGTTGGGACCTTTGCCGACGTCTTGGCCCTGTTCAAAGCTGACGCCCCAGGTGACCACTTTTCGGCCGTAGCTGCCGTCAATGAGGAAGCCATCCTTGCCAACCTCGGCGTAAACGCCCTGGAGCTGCTTCCCGCCGCAGACTCCAAGACGCAAGACGAATGGGGCTATGCCACGGCACACTATTTTGCTCCAGACTACAACCTCGGAACCGCCTCAGACCTAGTCCGCTTCGTCGATGCCGTCCACGGCCAGAACACGCGCTTCTTCACCGACGTGGTCATGGCCTTTGGCCACGACTCGTACGGCTCTATCAACTACGGCTCTATCGACTACGGCTCTATCGACTTTCCCGACTTCTACATCCACCTGCACTTGGAGACCAACAACCCGGACAACAGTCAATCCAGCCAATCTATTCAACCACAATGAAGTCTTCTGACGTACGTGGTAGTCTCAAAATTGAGGCTGTCGTCCTTGAAGGCGAGAAAAACCTCTCTCAATAGAATAACTCTCTCCTTAGTGTTCTTGAAGTACAAGGGGTCAAGCACTATATTGAGGAAGAGGTCAAGGGTCAAGTTGCCCCCGAGGGAGATAACCAAACGGCTCTCGATGCCTATGAAGAAAAGGTGGATCAGTGGCGCACCGAGCGAGCTTTCGACAAGACAGCTATTCTCCAGACCCTTACGGCGGTAGTTCAAGAGAAGTTCGAGGCACAGAACTAGAACCATAGAGAAAAGAACCCGAAGGTTGTAAGGAAAGGACAACCCAAACACCAGCCGCGCGCACAGGGTGCGCGCTCACCACCTGTTACCAACTGGCCGGAACACTGCCAGTTGGCACAAGCCACTACGCCACGCCATGGCGCCCCGGGCCTGAGCCCCTGAGCACGTATATAAACAGTGGCCCTCGCCCACCTTCCTCTGCGAGGGCCAGGTTGAAGTCTCACACCAATACTACTCGTTGCTCGCCCACCTTCTTACCTCCATTGTGACCACCTTGATCCGGCGTACCTGCCTTCTCTTACAAAGGTCTTGTATGACCTAATTCGCCGTGTTATACCCCGACTTACCCAGGGACCGATAACCGACTTTGTGATGGAATATATGAAGATCGATCGGATGTCGTTTACTTCTATGTTGGCCTTCTTGTTACGTAATAATGCCCTCTTGACTGAATTTTGCCACCAGCTTTGAAACCAACAACGCCTACAACAAGGCCGAAACGATGATCAGCCTAAATGGAAGCCTTAAGGCCTACATTGTAGCCGAAATATCAGTCTTCTGTTCAAATGATAAATAAGGCATTCTTTTCCTCGTTTGTTTTTCCAAAAACGGATTAGCATGAGACACACTTCAATTTAAGCTATTTTTTGTGCGCAACACTTCCTGACTAGAAATCGATTTATCAATAAGAAGCTCGCTGAGCTCAATGTTTCTATTAGCGAGAACTTCCACGTCAACGCCGTTATTGGAAAGCTTAAAAAGACTTACCCTGAGCGATACGTGTTTTGGCTCGCCGGCTTGAAGTCAGGAAGCATGACTTAGACCAGCCTGAACTCAGAGCTAGAAGAGATCTCCGCTAGCGAGGAAGCTACTGCGAAGTTCACCAAGCTTGCACTCCCCAGCAACAATAACGATGACAACAAGAAAGGTGGAACCCAAAAGAGGATTGTGTGCTCGAAGGAAGGTTGCACGTTCAAGATGCTTAGCACCTACCACCATAGACCCTGCGGGCATCACGGCCCGAAGACTGCCGAGCACTGTTGGCACTGCGAACCTGAGAGAGCTCCAGAGAACTGGCCAAGCAAGAAGAGACTCGTTGAAGAGAAGAAGAAGAAGAATGAGGATTCAGGCACATCGACTACTGCAGTGGTCCTGCACAACAACGGAGGACTTGCAAATCCCTCAACTTCCCCGGACTCGCATTTACTATTCTCCGGCAATTTCTTCGCGCCTCAGATAGACCTTCTAAGCGAGGACCCGCGGCTGGCTGCCCGCGCCCCCGCGCAGACTTTCTACATTCTGGAATCCCCTCATGCCGGTATGCCTATGCCCGAGCCACGAGCAAACCCTGAGAGGGAGCGCAGTGGTCTGGAGCAAGCCTCGAACCCGGCTGACAACCCAGATTTTCACATCAGCCCCCGGTACTGAACGCGTTGTTCATGAGTGCTGAAGCCTAACAAGCTGTTAAGGCAAATGAGATCACGAGGAACTCTGTTGTGTTTGACACAGGAGCCTCGAATTCTAGCTTCAACCACTTGAAGTGGTTCACAGAGCTGCATCCTATCCCTGACCCTCTACACTATGTGTGTGCGTCAGGATCGATCAGTTCCTCCTACTACATGGGCAATATAGAGCTCAACACAGTAACAATAAAGGGAGAGAAATGGCGTATGAGAATCCCTCACGTATACTATTGCCCCGAGACCCCAGCAAATGTAGTCGGAATATACTTCCTGAAGCTCAATAGCTATGTCTGGCGAATGGAAGAGAATGACATGATCCATAAGCTAACAAAGAAGCATGTTCAGTGCCAGTACCTAAGGAACATTCTCCTTATTCCACAACAACCTCCCGAAGACTTCGATCAATTAGTAATTACTCTAACGCATGCAGTACTCTCATCAATCAACTACCCAACGATGCATAAGCGGCTGATGCATTCGTCGAGGGACATCGTGCTGAAGGCATGCAAGGAGGCAGGAATCAAGCTGAGAGGTCAACAACAAGATTACTTCTGTAATGCCTGTACAAGAGTAAAGAAGACTGATGAGATTGGAAAGAAGGCACCGCCTGAAGGATGCAGCTCGCTTAATATGATTAGAGTTCACGTTATATTATACGTTAACCGAGGCCACCTGGGCCATTACTATATTGTTCTATTTGTTCATATTTGTGAGGGCCTGGTCCTCCAGGCCTCCCAGACGCTCTGACTAATCAGACGCCAGTTGGGTGGATCCACCCGACCAGCCAGAGCCCCACCTTGAGACGCCCTGGAAGAATCTCGCGAGGGGAGGCTTTTGAGCTTCTTTTCCCTTTTCCCTTTAGTTTAGAATCTTCGTCTATAGCGCCCAATAGAGGAGTTCCGCCCTCATTCCAAGCCGGCCGTGACAATATTTACTTAGGCTTTCTTTAGGTTCGCTTTACTAAAGAAAAACACGATGCATCTGAGCAGGTCAAGGAGTTTGTTACATTTGTGGAGCGTCAGACAAGAAGGAAAGTCAAGATTATTGGTCTTGACCGCGGCCCGGAATTCGGCTTGAACACGAAGGCATTCTAATCTTCCAAGCTAAAATCTTGGACCAAGGAAAAGGAATCGCTATCAACAAAACAACAACACAATCGCTCTTCCAGAATGGAAAGATCAAGCGAATGAACCGTATTATTACTAAGCGGTCGAGAACATTGATAATCGAACTCGGCATACCTGAATTCCTTTGGCCTTTTGTAGTAGAGAGCGTCGTAAAAGTAACTAACCTTTTACCCTCTTCTGCAAGTGAGAAAGACCTTAGCTGCCTGAGGTCTTTGCAACGGCTACTGGCCTCCCCAAGAGGCTAGGAAGCCGTACATTTGTCACCTTCGCAGCTACTACTGCAACCCCTACTATTATATTAAGCCGAAGTGGCGCACTCAGGGTGACAAATTCGAACCCCGCGCGAAAGTCGGAAAGCTTGTAGGCTACAATGACATGCACGGCCGCATGTACTGGATCTATGATCAAGAGAAGCAGCAGGTTGTGCGCGTCAGCGTAGTCAAATTTAGAGAGCAAGAAGACCCAGAACCTTCAGCACGAGAGACGGAAATTGAATATAAAGCTGTCTTTAACGATCCCACAGTTAACGACGTTGAAGGAACAATTACTACAGTGGGGACGCAAATGTTCCGAGCCCCACCCACTTTGCGCGAAAACACGTCGCGGTACTGGCAGGTTACCTCAAACGTCAATTAACAATTCTACGCCCAATTTCTATATAAAATATAAAATTGCTGGCGTCGCTTCGCTCGTCAGTCGCGCGGCCCTCCGCTACGCTACGGGGCGCTCCTTCCTCACTCTCGCTACCGGCAATTTTTAACCTGAACGACGGCTATTTTTATTCCAGGGTTGCAGTTGAAAAAGTGTGGAAAGCGAGAGCAAGCGAAGCGACAATATCTGTCCGAAGGCCAAAACATCCCATTACATAATACAATGCTACTTAACCCTACGACTATCTAGACCTTCCACAACTACACAACAGTAGAGCTATCAGTTATATACCCACTTGTCTCAGAGCTCTCTTCATCAGGCACCTGGTCTAGGGGCTGGAGCATCCTTGTGTCGTAGTCAAGCGTCTTTAGCTTCATGCTATGCACTGGCTCCTCTCGGTATAATCTGCTTCGATCAAATGGCGACTCAAACATCAAACCATCCAAGGTCTTAACCCTCGAAACCGCCACATAAGATAGGCCAGATGCAAACTCTGGCACAGAGATATCACAAACTGCCTTGTCGAGAGTGATGCCTTGTGACTTGTGCACCGTAATTGCGTAACAAACGAGCAGTGGGAACTGCTCCCGGTACCCAGTGCCGGCTCCAAGGGTAAATTCTTGACGGACCCTGAGAATGGGAACCACCAACTTAGCCCCATCACGAAGCTCTTCTTCGTTAGGCAGTAGGAATGGAAGCCCGGTATAGTTGTCAAACGTTACCATGATTACCTGCGGTGGGTCTTCTAGGACGTTTGCACCTTCAGCCCACGAGACGTTGTAAACAGTGCCTTGGGCACCATTCACAAGCCCAACGTTGGCCCACAGGTTCCTTGTCAACATAACCCGACAGCCAACACAAATAGGTAGTCGCTTGACGAGATTACCTGCGTTGGAAGACTCAACCCTCTCTGCACCAACACCTTCGTGTTTTGCGTTGACCTGTATAACTGCCTTCTGTAAGTTTAAAAGGTGTTGATGGTTGTATTCATCCACCTGCGCCTTGATGGGAAAGATGCAAAGGGCGTTGTCAAAGGACTCAACCTCTGTAGTTGAGAGTTTGATCGCACACCTTGACGAAAGAAACTCCCATGAAGGGATGGATACTTTGGCCCGCTGTAGTTCTTCTAAGGCTTGCCGGAACAACGCTTGCCCTTCGCCTTGCTGCCGTTGTACTGTGGTTAAGAATACCGACTTGTCGAACGAAAGGTATGCGTTACGGCCGACAATCTCCAGATCCCGTAAGCCATCAGCCATAGAATAAAGGGGCTTGTTTAGAACCGGGGGGAGTTGGAAAAAGTCGCCGATAAGGATGACGCTAAGCCCGCCAAAGTACTGGTCGCGGCAGTCAGGAAAGATTTCTCGAAGCCGCTGATCGATCCAGGCAATAGTTTTCAACACTAGCATACTCTTCTCATCAACCACAAGATAGTGAATTGAGTTAAACCGTCGCTGTAGGGAGCTAAGGACTGCTGGCGTCTCTGAAAGTGGCTGATAATTACCGTCAATAGGAAGCCAGAAGAGGGAGTGGAGAGTCTAGCCCCCAATCTGATTGCTGGCCACACCAGTAGGCGCCGCTCGAACAATTGGCGAGGGTCGGCTATGTTTGGCCGCTTTGGCTTGTAAGCGAGAGGAGATTACTTTAACCATGTATGACTTGCCAGTCCCACCGCCGCCGTCAACCTGGATTCGAAGTGGTGTTGGATTTTGGCCTTAGATAGTTGCCTTATAATGCTTTAGAATAGCATCATACACAAGCCGTTGTTTGGCGTTTAGGGCATCGCAAGCCTTTCGTGGCATCTGCTCAACGTCGTAGTTGCCAGGAGCATCTCCCCGGAGCTCTTTCTAGTAGCCTCCGATATTGAAATCTTCGTAGGAATAAAGGCTGCTGTGTTGAGTCCAGTCGTAGTTAAGGTCAATATCACGGCGGCCAAGCAAATCTGCCTCCTCTTCAGGTAGTCGCAAGTCAAACCATACGTGCCATCTCGTGCCAATCCTCAAGGTGATATCACCCACATCACCCCCAGCCTCAAACTCATCCTCGTCTGGTTTAGGGTCCTCTTTGTCTTCAACACCATAGTGATCATCTGGGTGGTGGTGTTGATTGGCACAGTGCTCGTAGGCCAATTCGTAGGTTTCAAACTGTAGATTGTCAACAACTACTTCAAGGTCTGCAACTAGACGATGTGGATGGTTTAGTAGCAGCTTTACACGACAGAAATCGGGCCATTGCTGGTGTGAGCGAATAGACTTGTACTTGGGATAGTAGTACAATACCCTAGATCGAGCGGGAGGCTGCCACATACTCCACCTTAAGGGATTTCGTGCCTTGAAGTTCCAGTTCTTAAGAAACTCGACGTATGCCACATGCTCCATCTCAACTGGCCGTTGAAGGTACTTATCGTAGACATTCAACGTATCTTCAACATCACCGTTGGCGGTGACATTGAGAGGCCGAGCATGCTGCTCTCGAGGCCGGCAGTCAACGCTTTGTACCACTCGGCTATCGTCTTAGAGAGGGAGGCCGAGTAAGATATGGCTGATCTCCTGGGCTGAGTAATCCCTCTCCCTCACTAGCTTATTCATCAGCTTGGATACGAACGACAGCATTGAGTTCCTGTCAGAAACGTAAGGCATTATACTACGCGCAATCTGCGCGTATGTATTAGTCTGGGTCTCTGACTTGCTACAGTACTTTGCAGCATAGTTGAAAACAGCCTGTACACCAGTGCAAGGCGAGTAGTCGGTATTGGCAAGCCAGCAAAGCGAGATAAGTGGGTTGTACTGGTTCATATGGGTATCGTTCCGCTGAGCCTCAAACAGCCACCACTTCTTCCCCAGCTTCCTAATAACCCTTGCCTTCGCCTGTTCTGCTCGGAGGAACTGAAAGCCGCATGTCGGCTGTGGAGGAGGACATTTTTCAACTGGCTGGCCAGCTGGCTGGCCGCCTCTCTCACCGGCCTTTCGAGCTTGTTCAGCATCTTTCTTTGTTAGCCGAAGACAATATGCTGTAGAGCAGTGGTGGCGTTGACAGCGGTTGACAATTCGAATAAGCCACTCCCACGTGACGTTGGTTTCGAGAGGGTTAACAGATAGGGGGTTACCCTCATCGGCACCCTGGCCTCTCTGTGGGTTCATAGCCGTAATGTGGTACCCCCAGACTTTGGCAAAGCGATCTCGTGACTCTTGCGTCGACATATCTAAATCTGGGCTTTTATCGAACCAGTACAGACCATGAGCATGGCTGCTCCCACGACCCTGCCACTCGTAACGATACCAAAAGTCAATCAGGTTAAACTTCTTCTCCAAGACAATTTTTCGAAACAGCTTATTCCGGGAGTGGAAATGCAACGCCGCAATGTGTGGGTTCTCTCGTAGCAGCTGGCGTGACCTAGCCATCCGCGTAGGCTCGTCTAGAACTTTCCACTCCTCATACCCAGGCATATGCTGGTATAGGCTCTGCCAGTGCAGGTCGGCAGGGCTCTAGGTGATAAACGTAGCTGGTACGCCTAGGCAGTAGGCAAACGCCTCACACTCGCGGCGGCGTCGGTACCAAAAGGGGCGGGTACCTTTAATTACACCAGCAAAACGCAAGATGCGGTTCAAGATAGCCTGGGCCTCTGGCTGCTCTGGGTTGGCTAGTGCCTGTTGGAGATCTTCTTTTGTAAGCGGCGTACGATGGTGCTTGCCCACGTAGAACTTGCTGCTGCTGCGCGCTTGTTGGCGCATCAATGTGTTTAGGGCAATAAAGCGAAAGCTGTGATGCTTTGCAAATCTGCCGTCCTCCCACTTCATGGCGTGCTCGATATATTCCTGGTAACTGATGTTACGCTGCCTTGGCTCAACAAAATCTGCTGTGCCATGGGGAAAGAGAGTAGAGCAAGCTAGAGAGAGCAAGGCATACTTCTGGTTAAATTCATCCAAAGGCGTGCGACGGATAGATGGCATCTGCAGCTAGTGTGCGGGTTGAGGATTTGCTGGCTGTAGGGGAACCTGCTCGGCATCTTCTGTAACAGTCTTTTCAACATAGCCACGGAGCTGGTTAAGCTCGGTCTTTTGGATTAGCAAGTTGGGCACAGCAGCTTCATCTACAACATCACCATCTTCAGGCTCCGGCTCTTCAACTGATTCATCAGCAGGGCCAAAATCGGCAGGTACGCCCGTTGTATCGTTGACCTCATGGATGGTATGTTGGTTAAATACATTGCCATCCTCGGGGAGCTGAGAGAGATTGTCGTAGTTAAGGGTAAAGTCTCTGTAGCCAGGGTGATTGGCGGCGAGAAACTTAAGCCAGGCCTCGATGGCTGCGCGGCGGACGCGGAATCGTCGGCAGAACTGCCGATACATCTGGGCCACATTCTCAGAACCGCGTGGCCGAAGGATAACAATGTCCAAATCTCTAGGTAAGAGAGGTAGCTCATTGTAAACCTTGCCAACATCGCGCAAGAAATGCACAACATGCCCACGATATTTGTACTGCTGCCCACGAACCTGTACTTTGTTAGTTGCTACTCCTCGCTACACGTATCCCTACCACGTACTGTAAATACAGTGACGCTGACGTGGACCCTTGCAAAAAACATCTCTTCCAATGGCTCTAGCCGGGGCAAGTCTTGAGGTATAGAGCCAAAGTCTAAGTTGTTGTTGGCAGAAAAGAAGAAAGGCTCATCCCCACGCTTCTTATCATCTTTATCGTGGCAATGCTTGCAAACACCATCAGGCTTCAGCTCTACATCGAACCATCGCCTTTTACAGCGTGGGCAATACTGCATCTTCTCTGCAGCAAGTGCTTCATCGAATTCCATCTTGATGGCGAGGTCTTCCTCGTCAAGGGGCGACTCCTTGTCAGCCCCTGTAAATTGAGGAGATGGCTTGTCGAATTCGCGGAGCGTGCGTTCTGTAAAAGGCGGTTGTCTGCAGGGGCGGCCGACAGGGTTTCTTGCAAGACGCGGGCGTCCTCGGCGACGGCCGCCACCAGGCGAGAAGGGAAAGGGTAGCGGCTGCTGTAGAGAGGGGCGGCCAATAGGGTTTTGTGCTAGACGCGAACGGCCGCGGCGACGACCACGAGCCGGTAAGAAGGGAGAAGGTGGTGGCGGCCGCCGCAGAGAAGGCCGCCCCTGTCGGGGGAGCTTTGGTGGTGTGACTGGGCCTGGATTATTGTTACCGTCTTTTCTCTCTTCCTCCTGGGCAGCTTTCTGGGATTCTTCTGACTGGGTAGAGGGAGGGCAACTGGTAGCAAGCCCATGGGGGTCTCTAGGCTGGACAAAAGGCGGGAGAGTGCCATCGGCATTGCTAGGAGGTTGTTGTTGGTGAAGAAGATTGCTCATTGTCGGGGTCTGGGAAGTTTCTCCACCATGGCGTCGCTCAACACGGTGGCGTCGCTGGATAGCGGAAATCTCATTGCGCGCAGCTGCCATTTCGGTCGAATCCGTAGAAACACGGCCGCCTTCGTGGTACCGCTCAGAAAGAAAGAGATGGGTGAGATTTTGCCGAGGCACAGGGGCAGGAGGTGGGTTTAGGCTATCCCCTCGGGCAGCTGCAGCAGCCGATTGGATTCTGGAGGTTGATCCATCTCTCTAGGTATTAAATTAGTAAATAGAAGAACAATGATAACAGAACAGGTGACATTACCTGCGCCTTTTTGCGGTTGCGGCAATCTGCACAATCAACAACGGTCCGGCGAGGCCCTCGGAAGGACTGGAATTGATCAAGAGGCTTCTCGACGCTGCAGGAGTGACAGACTTGACGGGCAGCCGCCGTAGAAGCGTCCACCATGGATACTGAATAGCCCGGCCATAACGGGCAAAGCTGTACCACGGTCGGAATAAGGTTGGTTGTAAAGAATAAGAAGCCTGCAAGATTTATCAAGGCACTGCAACACAACCGATTGTTGAAGGAGGAAAAGTGTCACGGTCGCCACAGGGCTCATGTGACAGGATTGATTCTATTGGCTGCATTGTGCTTAGGGTGTGGCCTGTGCGCACTGAGCACCACTACCTATTTCTCCGCGCCCTGCGCGGACCCGGCGATAGATTCCTTCCTCTTCCTTAGCTTTAAATCCACATTCGTTACTGCCTTCAACCATTGACATCCCTACTGCGTAAGGCGAGCCGTCACAAAAAGTATTGTGGTGGGGCAAGGAAATTCAACGCGGGGCACAAGAAACGAAATTGCCGCACGTGCCGCACATGCACGTAGTCACGTGCATCTACCCTTCATGTACCACTACTCGCCCCAGTATTTAAACGCTTGCATCTAAACCAAAACCAATTGTATTCAAAATCTAACATCAGATCTGGAATTGCCTTACCGTTACGCACGCAATAGTACTGGGTGCATTGACTTTAGGGCCAGTTGGCTGGTTTCGTCGGCTGTGGTTTGTCACGACCAGGGCAAGGCATTGAGGTTAACTCAGTCCATTGGGTGCTATCGACGAAGATTCTAAACTAAGGAGGGAAAGAAGGAAAAGTCCAACAACGCGTCGTGTGCGCGCGAACCAGCTTGCATCTATCAGTGGGGTAGGTGGGGCCTCGAGGAGGCTTCTGATAGGCCCGTGGGTTCTGGGCGGCTCTGGCTGCTTGAGGGCCAGTTTGGTGGACGGGTCCTCACATGGTTGGTCTTGGCTAAGTCTCTGGCCTCCCGTCAGCCAATCCGCGTACGGAATTAGGCCCCACACTTTCTTATCAGTTTCCTTATCAATTTTGTATGGGAATTTTAGAAAGTTTGAGCGTAATATTGTCCTTCAGACAGAATGAAACTAGAATAAAATACTCAAGAATCCCCGCTCTCCGTTGACACCAATCACAACCCCCTTAGTACTTGGTATACCACCCATCCGCAGCGATAACTGCCGCCAACCTGCGCCACATGCTCTCTGCCAGCTCCTGAAGAAGCTCATTTAGAAAATCGTTCCACACCTCATCCGCTGCTTCTCGTAGCTGTTGTAAGCTTTTCTCAGCTTTCGGCATATCTGTAAGCTCCGGATACCTTCTGCATACTCTTCTTTAAGCAGTTTCTATAGATTTTCGATGGGGTTTAAATCAGGTAAATATGTTAGCTAGTCGATCAACTCAATGCCTTTCTTCTCAGCTCAAGGTCAACCAATCTTGCACGATAACTGCTGTATGTGTACGAGCGTTATCTTGCATGACTATAGAGCCAGGATCACAAATTTTAGGTAGCTAGGCCTGAAGGGTTTCAAGTATTCGCTGTGCGTTGATACCTCTATAGAGAGAATCAGGATGGCCATATAGAGGGACCAACGCGGACTTTCTAAAGAAAGAAAGCCTCCTCAGAACATCTGGCTATGCCTAGTTAGTCTAGTCTTGCCCTGGATATGCTTTGGAAGTAACCGCTCTCCCTTAACTTTGTTGGATATAATAATGTAGAGGAGGTCAAACGTACGCGTCGGCAGATACGCGTCGGTAGAAAACCTACTTCTGCTGTTCACCATCACCACGTTGTTACGATCCTGGTTCAGGCTCGCAGGAGGCTGCACGGAGCCTCCTGCTATTGGCTGGCGCAAGGAAGCGGGGTAGTTCCCCGCTTCACGGGAGTGCAGCCAATAGCGTGGCGGTCAGCGCGATCAGTATGATCAGGGCGATCAGTGGGAACTGATCGCACTGAGCACACTGACCGCACTGATCACCTAGGACCAACGCTCTGATTGGTCCGCCTTAGATAGATATATACGACGACCGTAGCCACGGTCCTAGATAGTTCTTGCTTGGTTCTTCAAGCAAGCAATACACATTCACTGCACTCATACACTTTGAGTGGCATTCCGATTTGACTGTATTACCCGTGCGATAGGAGCTTGCCCTTTGTTCTATCTTCATAATTACCAACCCAGCATTCTGTGGAGCCCGTGCTCCCTTACAGACAGACGACCCTGACAGTCGAGTGGTTTGTAATACACGTGCCACAGTCACCTCATCGCTAAAAATCCACAGCTTCCAAAAGTTGCCAGGCTTCGTAATATACCTTTAGGCAACCCCTAGGCGTTTCTGGGCAAGTTCTGAGTTTAGCTTCAGCCGCCAGAGGGCCTTCGTGTGCTGGATGCCCTGCGATTTGAGCCATTGGGTTATTGTGTCAACATGGCAGGCTACACCGGCCTGCGTTTTGATTTCCGTGTTGGAAATGAAACGATCTTGCTTAATTAAGCGTAGGATATGCCGTTTATTGTATTTTGTAAGGACCTTTGGCCAGCCTGACCTGGGTAGTGCAACTGCTGATAGTTGGACGCGACAGCATTTCGTGATGCCATGGACCGACCCCGGCGAACAGCTCTCTTCAGCGGCAATCTGGGTCCTAGATTTGCCATTCTGTACCCCGACGGCAAATTTGGTACGCTTGTGAGAACTGTAATGCTTATTTGGAGTCTTTGCCTCCATTTTTAGTTGATTTGCAGCTATTTGAAAGAGGAAGGGTGTGGGACGGTGGTGCGCGACCGCGACGCGTAAAGTGGGCGGGCTCGGAACTTTTGCGAGGTAACTGTGCCAAAACTGTGCAATTTGACATACCGATTAGCGAAACCCTCAGACCTACTTTAACTGCTTCCACAATGCCAGCACCTAAACAACACACATATCGTGAAGCTAACAAGTCGCCAAGCGCGATGAAGCCCTCAACAAGTTATCTTCGTCAAGAAATGACGCCTAAGAAGACCCCAGACCCTGAGAATGAAGTTCCCGATAGGCACGCCCAAGTTACTGATGTTTCCGATGACTCGGTAGATGAATTCTACGAGATGAACGAGGCTCTGGGGCAACCACTGCCTAAGTCACCTGCGCCTATACAACCTATCCGAAAGGTCCCTACCTTCTAATATATAGAAGAAGACATTCATGACCTAGTACATAAGTCAGGTGGGAGACTTTTGGAACACCCCTGCCTATGGAACAGCCCCTGAATCGGACCCCGCACAACACCACAAACTTCAATTGCCAACAACTTTGTCAATTAATTAGCTACAATGATGAAGTCTTCAGTATCGGATTCTCCTGATTCTTCTCTTTCAGAATAACTAAGGTCCTTTCTGCCAGCCTCTCTCTGTGAGGCACGAACCTCCTCAATTCCAGCGAACTGCGTATTAGGGTCGACTTGGACCTTCCTTCTCTTTCGGCCTCTTGTGCGTTCTAGGCTATTTTCTGCAGCCTCCAATTGATGCGCCGTATTGGCTAGTTGGAAAACCACGTAATCGAAGGCTTTTGCGGCCTTGCGTATGAAAAGTCGGCCGTTGGCAGTCCGTTTCTGGCCGGCTAGAAAAACCTGCCCCTGAATACGGAAATCCTTCGGCTTTTTAGGGGTAAACCATATAGGCCGGCCCTCCGAATTCTTATTTAGAATGGGGTTATGGACCTCTTGAAGGTCTATAGAAACCGTAGAGGTCAGTTGACCAACGTCGCCGTTAGAATTCTTAATAACAAGGCCGTTGCTTAGGGGCTTCCTGAGGCTGACCGGCCAGAGGCCTGTAGCTTTCCAGCCGGCTTTGATATTAGATTCAGTCATTCCATAGACCCTGGCTTGCCGGTAGCATTCTAGGAAGGCCCTGTTTTCAGCAACAGTGCCTTCGTCGAAGCCGGAAACAACCTCGTTATGCTTGGCTCTGTACCGGGCTTTTAGAGGGCCGAAAACCGATAAATCCAGGGGCTGGAGAACGTGGGAGGTGTGGGCTGGTAGAAATAACAATTGTACGTTATTAGAAAAGGCTAGCCACATGAATTCTTCGGTGGTATGACTACCGTGGCCATCTAAAATAAGGAGGCGCTTCTCCGAGGGCGTAGCTGGCCGAGTCTCTGGAAGAAAGATATTGCGGAGCCATGCGACGGCAGTATCATCGTCAGACCAGCCGTTTTCAGTGGGTTTCCACTTCCAGCCCTTAAATGGCTGTAAATCGCGTGGATACCATTGTTGTTGAAGGCTTCCACCTTTGAAAATGACGACTGGGTTCAAATACCGGCCGTCAGCGGAAATACACTCGATAATCGAGGTCCAAATTCGGTCTCCTTTCTTCTTTTTCTGGAATTTCTTTCTTTCCTTAGATCCAACAACCAGGCCGTTATCTCCAATGCCAGAAGCAATGCCAGTTTCATCCATATTATACCTATGCTTGGCTGGAATAGCCTCCACGCCTGGAGGCTTCAAATAGTCAAACCAAGGCCGGATAACGGCCTCAGAGGCTCGATCAGCACGGTTTGCATGGATTCTCCGAGGCCTAATTGTAGAAATAGATGGATTTCTAGCCAAAAACCGGCTAGTCCAGCGTTTTCCGAGGGTCTCGTTATCTTCGAGCATTCTTCTAGCTAGTTTCCGAATTTGGGCGTGGGTTGGAGGGTGACCGAGCGACCCTTGGAATAGAATCCATTCGGTTAAGCGTTCTTCCATAGCCGGAGAAAGCTTTTGATTTAGAATTTGGGCCTTGGAGGCTGGCTCGGAACCACGAACCCGATTAAAGAGAGTAGTAGGGGGGATGCCGTGATTTTCAGCAGAGCTACGGAGTAAGCCGGTTTCTGCATACTCTGCCAGCGCATTCTGCAAATCCAACTGTGTATATCGCTTCATCTTTCATTTCTCAATTGAATGGAGAAAAGAAGATAAGTATTGAAGCAGAATTGGTCGAGTTGCAAGCGATTGAAATAGGTGAGTTGGGTGGCGAGCGGCAAGTCCTTGATGACAAACCTTGTTCCAAATCCAGGGGTGTTCCATAAGCAGACCACCTGACTTAACTCAGTACTAGTGCCATCGTGGCCAGTGTATCGTTGGGTCCTGAGCACAATTAGAAAACGGCTTCGGGGCTGAAGTCAATTTTGTCAGGAATAATAAGGGGTTGGCACTATTCTTCCACTGACCTCCATGACTCGCAAGCAATTTCGGTGGCGTCAAAGTTGGCCATGGCTGGAGATGACTAAGATTCACTTGCCAGCCGCGGGAGCACCAAAGCCAAAGGCGGTGAGCAGTCTGGCCGGTGGATCTAGTAGGTATGCACGGCCGAGGCCACTTTTCTGTGGCACTTTCCAACGTCTAAGCGTGGTGACGGCCACTACAGGATGCCAACGGTGGTGGGGTGAGCAGCCAAAGGGAAAGACGCCAGAACAATAAGAGGGAAAGACGCTAGAACAAAGATAAAAAGACACTAGAACAATGAAGATAGAAAGACGCAGAACAATGGTGCAGCCTAGATTGGGCCGTCAGCCAAAACAAGCTTGCCAACGCAACCGGCTAACGTATACGCAGAACGGGAAGATAGAAGACGCCAGCGAATAATGGCCCCAGAATATCCCAGAGAAAGACGCAGCGAACAATGCAGCCCAGATTAGAAGCCGTCAGCCAAAAGACTTGCCATGTACGCAACCGGCTAACGTATACGTAGAAAGGGAAGATAGAAGACGCAGCAAACAATAGCCCCAGAACATGCCAAAGAAAGACGTAGCGAACAACGGTGCAGCCAGCCGTTAGCCTTACTATATACGCAACTGGCTAACGTATAGGGAAGATGGAAACACGCCAGCTAACCAAAACAAGACTTGCCATCAACGCAACACAAAGGTAGAAAGACGCCGAACATAGTGCAGCCTAGATTAGAGGCTGTCAAACAAGCTTGCCAACGCAGCACAAAGGGAGAAGAAATTAGTCCCAGCACATGTGCATGTTAGGAAAAATGTTGGGAGAAATATGTTAGAGGAATATATTGTCAGGAAGCGTTCCGGGCCTGTTCTCACTTAATCAGGAAAGATCCAGCGAGCAACTCCACATTTTGGGAAACAAGACTTGTCAGTCGTTCCGTGGGCTGTGTTCCGTGGGCCGTGCTCCGTGGAAGCTGTTCGCGTTCAGGAAAGACCCAGCGAGCCACCCAACATACGTCCCATGTTGGGAGACTAGACACTGCCTATTCGCCCCATGCATCAGGAAAGACCGAGGGAGCAACCCAGCACATGCCAGACATACGTATCAGGAAAGACGTAGCAACGTCCAGCACATGTACCTATTCGTAATAACCGCT